GTGATCTCAGAACCACTGGCAGTCATCTTTGAGAATTCCTGGAGAACAGGCGAAGTCCCGGCAGACTGGAGGAGGGCAAATGTTGTCCCTATTTTCAAAAAGGGGAAAAGAGAGGACCCAAATAATTACCACCCAGTCAGTCTGACATCAATACCAGGGAAGATTCTGGAGCAGATCATTAAGCAAACAGTCTGTGAGCACCTAGAAAGGAATGCTGTGATCACCAATAGTCAGCATGGATTTCTGAAAAATAAGTCATGTCAGACTAACCTGATCTCGTTTTTTGACAGGATTACAAGCCTGGTAGATGAAGGGAACGCAGTGGATGTAGCCTACCTTGATTTCAGCAAGGCATTTGACAAGGTGCCCCATGATATTCTTGTAAAGAAGCTGGTAAAATGCGGTCTTGACTATGCTACCACTCAGTGGATTTGTAACTGGCTGACTGACCGAACCCAAAGGGTGCTCATCAATGGTTCCTCTTCATCCTGGAGAAGAGTGACTTGTGGGGTGCCACAGGGTTCTGTCTTGGGCCCGGTCTTATTCAACATCTTTATCAACGACTTGGATGATGGACTCAAGGGCATCCTGATCAAATTTGCAGACGACACCAAACTGGGAGGGGTGGCTAACACCCCAGAGGACAGGATCACACTTCAAAACGACCTTGACAGATTAGAGAACTGGGCAAAAACAAACAAGATGAATTTTAACAGGGAGAAATGTAAAGTATTGCCCTTGGGCCAAAAAAATGAGAGGCACAAATACAAGATGGGTGACACCTGGCTTGACAGCAGTACATTTGAAAAGGATCTAGGAGTCTTGGTTGACCACAAACTTGACATGAGCCAACAGTGTGACGCGGCAGCTAAAAAAGCCAATGCAATTCTGGGCTGCATCAATAGGAGTATAGCATCTAGATCAAGGGAAGTAATAGTGCCACTGTATTCTGCTCTGGTCAGACCTCACCTGGAGTAGTGTGTCCAGTTCTGGGCAGCACAGTTCAAGAAGGACACTGACAAACTGGACCGTGTCCAGAGGAGGGCAACCAAAATGGTCAAAGGCCTGGAAACGATGCCTTATGAGGAACGGCTAAGGGAGCTGGGCATGTTTAGCCTGGAGAAGAGGAGGTTAAGGGGTGATATGATAGCCATGTTCAAATATATAAAAGGATGTCACATAGAGGAGGGAGAAAGGTTGTTTTCTGCTGCTCCAGAGAAGCGGACACGGAGCAATGGATCCAAACTACAAGAAAGAAGATTCCACCTAAACATTAGGAAGAACTTCCTGACAGTAAGAGCTGTTTGACAGTGGAATTTGCTGCCAAGGAGTGTGGTGGAGTCTCCTTCTTTGGAGGTCTTTAAGCAGAGGCTTGACAACCATATGTCAGGAGTGCTCTGATGGTGTTTCCTGCTTGGCAGGGGGTTGGACTCGATGGCCCTTGTGGTCTCTTCCAACTCTATGATTCTATGATTCTATGACCTCAACTGTAGCTCATGATTCCAGCAGAACTGAAGATACACCTCCATACATGCAAGAATTTATCACAGGTAATACCAACACAGAGACAGACCTTATCTGCACCTTATGTAACACACTCCACTCTGCAATACAGCAGGTGCCAATGACTGCTTGTTTCTGGCACCTATTAGAAATAGTTCTTTGCCCGGGTGTTTCCCAGTCATTGCTGCCAGGTGTGACTTCCTTTGAGGGTATAGTGACATTTTGCTACAGTGACACCTCTTTTACTGGTTTTATGCTTACTGTTGTTGTTTTCCGTAAATCACTTTAGTTTTTGAGTTAAACAGAAGTCTCAAAGTAGGCAGATAAATAAAAGTCCAGCAAGCTGCATTTGCTGGATCAAACCATGTGGGAGACTGAATGTTCAACTGCTTTTCTTTTCTCTTCTCTTCTCTGCTCTGCTCTGCTCTACCATTAGATGGCTCCCTGTTAAGGAAGAGTCAGCTGAATTGCATTCTGCCATTATAATGAGAAAATAGGTTCACAGTGGAAATCAGTTTTATGGCTTATAGTTAGAAAATGGTTCAGTGGACTTATGTGATACACTGGTACCTCTGGTTACGAACGCTTCTGGTTATGAACACTTCAGGTTACAAGCTCCGTTAACCCAGAAGTAGCTGCTTCCAGTTGCGAACTTTGCCCCAGGATGCAAACGGAAATTGTGCACCAGAGGAGCACGCGCAGCGGGAGGCCCCATTAGCAAAAGCGTGCCTCAGGATAGGAACGGTTTCAGCTTAAGAACGGACCTCCGGAACGAATTAAGTTCATAACCAGAAGTACCACTGTACTTTACTGTATAGCCGAGGTGAGTATGAGGCTCATTCATGCTGGATTTGGGGTAGAACAGGAAAGAAATGACTTATTTTGAACAAGTTGATGGAGTGACTTTGGGAAGTTGACAGGTGGTGCGCATTTTTCTACCTGCAGTGAGTTGGGGGAAAAGATTTTGCCATTCATACTGGATCTTTTGGGAAATCATTGAGCTAGGGAGATGTCTAGCATGTTTTGTTAGCCACAACTTGTGTAACATGGCTGTAGTTTTTATTTAAAAAGCATTTTTGTGGCCAGTGTTATTCAGTGAGAGACAGATCAGGTGTCAGCCTTGAAATTTCTACAATTCAGGTAAGCCAAGACGTTCCACTGAGTGAAAGGAGACAAGAAGAAACCACAGGCAAATATAATAAATAGTTTAAGGGGTATACAGAGAATATCCCTCTGTGAGGTGAACAGCAGCTGGATTTCTGTTTAAACAACATATGAAGGCGCATGAGAAGATTCACAGTGGGGTGAGGAGAGTCTTACAGCACACTCTTAAGCCATATCTACTCAGAAGTTAGTCCTATTGAATTCAATGAGGCATCCTTCCAGCCATCCTTCCAGCAGCCTTAGAGGGAACCTGTGTTTAATAATAATTTTATTATTTATAGCCCTGCCCATCTGGCTGAGTTTCCCCAGCTACTCTGGGTGGCTTACAATGTATCTAAAAAACATAATAAAACCATCAATCCTTAAAAACTTCCCTAAACAGGGGTGCCTTCAGATGTCTTATTAAAGTCAGATAGTTGTTTAATAATAAGAAGCAAGTTAGTTGCTGAATTTCCTTTTTCTGCTGCAACTTTTAAGGCTAGTCTCACCAATTGACCTGCTTGGCCTTCTCCTCCTGTGCCTTTAATGACCACACAATGTGCAGTGGCTGGGGTGATTATAGGGCATGGGAACCAACATGAGCACCTGCTCATGTTACCCAATGAACTGGCTGTTATAGGCAGTAAAGCAGCAGCCCACAAAAGTTTGCCAGCCCATTTAAGGGCACAGGGGTCTAGTTAGGAAAAAAGCTAGCAACCTTTGTTTCTAACCTTATCTCACTTAATTAGTCACCTAATGGGTGTAAGTTGTTTGTGGATTGCTAAGTGGTATGTAATTTCTTATTGAGGCTATTTCTTCCTGTATTTGCTTATAATAAATATGTAACAAGTTCTACAGCCAGGAGAGTGTCCAGTAGCAAGCTCTTTTTAGACTAAAGTGTTTAAAGAAATATCAGATATTCTTAAGGAACCTATTCAGTTTCCTCCACAAGTAGTACTCCTTTATTTCAGGATGCAAATGATGGCATTAAATCTAAGGACTTGTTGACTTTTTATTTGGTAGATGCACAAAAATGGAAAACGCTGTCCAATCTTCATGTTTCTTCTTGGTTACATAACACTTGGAACATTGCATTTCTAGAAAAGAACTTGGCATATTAGAGCTATAAATGTAATAGCAAATCTGGACTCCTTCCAAGTACCTTGATGGAATTTTGTTTCCTATGTCAGTGCAGAACAATTACAGCAAATTACAAATGTACAAATTACACCTGTCGCCTTGTATGCATGGACAAGGCGATACTGTGAAAATCCTGGCGTCACCTTCTGTCCTTATTTGATATGTACTGGATCTCCTTTCTTGCTATTTTACATTATGTATTCTACTTCCTTTACTCTTATATTGAGATTTCTGTTATTTTTACTGGATTTTCCAAAAATGTTACTTAAAAAACAACTCCCAGTCACAGCAATTAAAAGAAGACAGTCCTTGCCTACAGGCTTGTAAACTAAAAGATATAATGCATAAGGGGGGGAAAGACAGTGAGGAGAGTGAAAAAAGCAAAGAAACCAATTTTTAAAGTTAATTGTAGTTGGCATCAGCATCTGTCTGTCTCAAGATGCAATGAATTGCGTCTCTGGTGGTGAAGTCAAACCACTGTGCTAGTAGCACTGAAGTGATCTTCCTTTGAGTGCAAGCCTGGGCAGTGTGTGGAGGTCCTGGGCTGCCCAGATGACAAGTTATGGTTAACTTGTTGTCTGTGGAATGTAATTTATTAAATTTGTATACTGTCCTTCATCTGTAGCTCTTGGGCAGTTCACAACATAAAAATACAAGACCATTGACTTAGTGTTGTGTTAATCAGGCCACTGAACCAAAAGCATATATAATGGGGACTGGAATGCTCTCCGCAGACTGAAAATCATTTTTACCTATGCAGAATAGCAGTCATAGGGAGCCCACTGCTCCTGCTGCAGCCCAGTCACCCCCCGCCCACCCCCAGTGCTATTTTTAGGGGAGAGTTCCCATTTAGCACCAATATGGGTTTTCTTCCCACTGTAAACAGTAACTACAGGAGCAGAGGTTACACCCCCCCCCAGTTGCTATTTACTTAATTAATAGTGAGGTTGGGTTTTTATTTATGTAAACAATTATATCTAGTTTTAACTTAAGTCCTGATATTTCAGTTCTTGGATTTTGTCACAGCTCAAACACACTTTTAGTTGCTGTGCCTACTCAAAATAAACTGGCAAATAAAAAAATACTTTAAAATAAATAAACTGGCAAAGCAAATTGTTGCAAGAGCCACCAGCAGCGTAACATTTCATCCCATTGTAAGTAAAAAAAAAAAAAAAAGCCTCATCAACCAGGTGACAAATTCTGAAATCCAAGTGGCTGAATACAGGTGAGCACAACGTAGTTTTATTGAAACGTGTTTACAAGGAGTGGACAGAACAGGCCACGTATTTATAAGAATGCAAGGATAAAGAATTCAACCTGCCATGAAACAATATTTAACAGACATTTTAGCAGCTGTACACAAGGAAGCTTTAATGTGGCACAGAGAGGTACCTCCAAAGAATAGATGAACTGTACATGTAAGTAAAGCATCTTTTACATGAAGAAATAAATGCAAGCAGTATTTCAACTGTTTATACACCTCAAAGTAAAAGAAGATCAAGCAAGAACTCTCACTTGTGCTTGGGGTGGGGGAGGGTGAAGCAAGGAGGGGTGTAGAAAAGCTGGGTGGTCTTAGAAGGGTATTTCCTCTAAGTCAGAAGAGGTTCCAGCTTTGCCTAGGGATCACTGAGGAAGAACTGTGAAATGCAGCAGTCAGTTCTTGTCTTAGTTCTCTCAGCAGAGGCACAGTAGACTCGCCTTTTGCGTTTAGAATTCTTTCAAAGAATTTACTCCACAAGTCACTGCCAGCAGACCTAAAACCAGATAGGAAAGCAATTTTCATTCAGAATGTCACACACATGGATGCTTGGGGATGCTTGCTAATATGTCAATCTCTCAATTTTCACTGAAAAGGGTATTTTGAGTCCATAGTTAAGAGTAGATAAAATTATTAAATTTCTAGCCTACAACTTTTAACACAAATTTTAGAACATAATTTACAGTAATACTGTAAACTGTACACTGACTGGATGTGGCAGATTTGAAATTTACTGCAGATCACCTGGGACTAAAAACAAGCTAGTTGCCAGTAACTAATGCAGAGCTACAAACTGAAAAACTTGCGGACTCTTTACTGTTTGCTTCATTATGCCATATTGATTCATTCAGTTTGTTTACCCAAAGGGCAGGCCCAGTTGAAGACAAATAACTCCAAGGAGATATATATTCACTGCAGCTCTTGCCTCTTGCAATGCACCTTTTCCCTGTTAACCAACATTTTTTTTATATATAAAAAAAGTGTACTGGTTGTACAAGAACCATACTGTAATAATTTACACTGGCTAAAAAAGGCAACACCACATTTGCATTCACATGCTTCATTAATTCAAGATATGTACTCAGAGTAGTGCAACAGAATTCAGACTTGCTTATAAGATATGTGCATTGTGTCATGGAATTTGAACTTTAAGTCTGGTTACTAATATTCGGCCACGTTTCAAAAGCAATATATACACAGCTCTTTAGAAAGTTAGTTCCTGCTTCAATGCTACAGGCATGCAGAGATCTCCTTTCTAATTTCATAGATAGTATATGCAAGTATTGACCATCCCCCTTTAAAATGGAAAATATAGTTGCACTTAATCCAACAATCTAAACTATTTTGCACAGAGTACAATTTAGCAAATATTAGTTGATATTTGCTCACTCAATTTTGTCAGGCTACAGCTTTCTGCTTAAACAGCAGCACTGGAAATCTTTGAGGACATGATAAAGGTAAAGGGACCCCGACCATTAAGTCCAGTTGTTACCGACTCTGGGGTTGCGGCGCTCATCTCAGTTTATTGGGCGAAGGAGCCGGTGTTTGTCCGCAGACAGCTTCCAGGTCATGTGGCCAGAATGACTAAGCCGCTTCTGGCGAACCAGAGCAGCCCACGGAAACGCCATTTACCTTCCTGCCGGAGCAGTACCTATTTATCTACTTGCACTTTGTGCTTTCGAACTGCTAGGTTGGCAGGAGCAGGGACCAAACAACGGGAGCTCACCCCGTCACGGGGATTCGAACCGCCGACCTTCTGATCGGCAAGTCCTAGGCTCTGTGGTTTAAGCCACAGCGCCACCCGCGGCCCTTTGAGGACATGGTAACATTCAACATAAACCTTTGCACAAGGAATCAAACTCTGCATGTGAGAGTTCTGTGGCACTTCAAGTAGGAATGGGGAACCTATGAACGCTCCAGAAGTGCTGGGCTACAACCCTCATCATCCCTGATCATTGGCCATGCTGGCTGGGGTTGATGTCCAACAGCATCTGGAAGGTTACAGCTTCCTCACCCCTGACCTAAAGCATTCCTCCTACCAGCTCTCAAGAAAAACCTCATCCAAGAACCAGGAATGAAACAAGTTGAAACAAAAAGCATAACAACACCAGCAGCTGCAAACCCCATGTAGTGCAAATGTGTTTAGTATCTGTATTTTAGAGAACCAGGCTTGCCTAGACAGAGTGTTAAGTGTTAACTGAAACACCTTAGTCAGTTTTGCCTATCTGGAAATCTTCTATCTACGTAATTTAAGATTCAATTTAAGAACAGGAACAAGGAGTTCCTGCATACATACACAAACACTTTTGGCAAAGGTATCTCTTTTTCTGCAATATTCTGAACCTTCCAATCAACGTAAGAAAGCGCTGAATATACTGCTCCTTGCAAACCCATCACACCCACACCATGAGCCAGCTCCATGAAGAACTGCTGCTGATGTAAAACTCTCTATATTAAGCCCATCTATAAAAGCAGATGGCTATAAAAAGGCAGCTTTGTTCCAACTCTTTAGAACACATAAAGTGCAACAGATTTTTTCTGCCTTGGAACAGACTTAAACAGGAATTGCCAGGATGGTTGACAGCAAAAAGGAAAAGCGTCAATTTGCATCAAACAACCATCTATATACCCCCTTGATTCTACTTATGTAGGGGATTAAAAGCAAAATATAATAAAGAGGCAGGAGAAGTTGATTGGTAAACATTGCACAGCAGACCACTCTCTTGGGCAGCCTTCACCATTCTGATGCCCTATGGATGTTCTGCACTGCAATGCCCATCAGAGTCAGCCAGCCCAGTCTACAAAAAGTTAACATTCCTCCTTCAGAGAAAAGATTGGTATACTACAGATCTAAAACACATATCATTCCATGTCTGAGATAAGCCAGCAGGTGCAAGGTCAGCCAAGTCAGTTTACTATGGCAATGGCCCAGTACCATCTTTATAAGTAAGGCGAGTCAGTGAATGCTGTCTTTGAGTCGGAGGCTGTGTTATGTCTTGAATTGCTGGAGCAAGGAAATATTTCCTACTTGCATATAGATGTATCTGCAAAGCCTACGAACTGTATGTATACAACAACGTCCAAAACTGAAGCCTGATCTTCTGTACTGGTTAACAATTTTGGACCTTAAGCTATCTCTATGTGGTGACTAGAACTGGGAGCAACTTCCACCTCAGGGGGTATCTCACCTAAGATCTCCAACACATCATCCCTGACCATTGGCCATATTGGCTGAGGCTAAAGGAGTCAGAATCTATCATCTGGAGGGCCACAGGTTCCTCATCCCTGGGTATAGGGCATTGGGAAACAGAGAAGCAAAACAGCTGATGATGTCTGGCCTCTGACACCTTGGCTTCCAAGCTAAAGATGTTGGCCATTCCTGAACCAGAATGTAGCAGTGGTGTGGATATAAATTTGCTCCAGAAAATCAAACATTAAACTGGCTTGAAATTCAGTTGCACAGCTACATTGGTATCCCTTCTCCTCCCTCAAGACCTGTTAGCATCCCTCACCACTTTACAATATAAATAGTTGGGGAATAGGGATCTCCTAACAACTCTTAGCACCCTTAACCACACTTCCCAGTGTTCTTTGGGGAAGCCATTGCTGCTTAAAGTGGTATATTACTTTAACTATACAGTGCAGATGGAGCCTCCAATTTGCTCTGTTCATCAACTGATCAATACATGTAGCCCTAACTCAAACATGCACATACCGTTAGCTGGCAGACGTTATCACTTCTACAACTATGAATCAGAACCAGTCACTAGAGGAGATAGAACAAATAGTCTAATACTTACTGAGATAAGTCTCTCATAGTTTTCCAGTGGCCTTTCTCCTGATAAACTTTCATGGGCTCCCCAAACAATATTAGATGTATTGTGTCTGCAATGCCAAGCAAGTCCACCTAAAATCACAACATCATTAATCAGAATCGGTACTGTCCTCACCTGCAGTTTTAACACCCATCATCATTTAAGTTGCACAGTAAAACAATTTGAAAACTACTCCAGAAATACCATTATCGGCTTCTATGATATGTCATCATGGGGTCTTCCAGTAAGTGATGCAAGAAATTTTTTTTTTAGAAAACAATTCTTTCAAATTAAATATAAAAAAGCAAATAGTGGCAATTAGCTGCACATGGGAATAAAACAACAGGAGAAGTAGGCTGCCATCTTCTTTTAGCCAATAAAAGAAATGAAGACTAAGGTGAAAGGGGTGTTCCCATGTCAGAAAGTCTTGCATGGTTTGTGCAAACAGCTCCACAAATCCAGACTACATGCCACCTACATAAAAGGTCAGCACATCTGATTTTTCATAATGGCCAAGGGCTATCAGCAATATTTTTTCTACAGATACATGTATTCACCTGGTGAGGAAGTGATTTTTCATCAAGGATCTGTTTCCCGTTCTGGGTCTGAGCTATTGGAAAACTTTTTAGTGAATTCACTGCTGGCTGCAGCTGCAGGTCTAAGCTGTGGGAGAAATCCACTATTTTCAGAGCGCTGGTGGTCTCTGCAACAGCATTCGGATTGCAAATTCTGAGGAAAGATGTGTGGACACAAATTTGTTGAATGTTCCATTGCACTTGCACTTCGCTATGCTGCTAACTCCCTCTAGTGTTTGTCTTAAGAACTGGTACTAAAAGGAGTTTACACTAACAGCAAATTATTCTATTATAGTTCTCAGTGTAGAATTACTGTGGATTAAAAACACGTTTCTGCTCCTTCTCCTTCTGTCCCCTTATTTGCCCCGCAAAATCTTCTCCAGAGGTTTGGGAGAAGGAGTTGAAGGAAGAAGTCCCATTGCATTAGTGCAAGTACACTTAACCAACATTAGCTTTTTCCCTATAAGAACACATCATTACAGACTGTAGAATAATCAGAATCTCACCCTCTGTTGGCATCAACCAGTATAGGACCATTTCTGCTACAATTCCTACGTTTGAAAGCCAACATCCCCAGGGTACTTGTAGAATTTACTAGCAACAACTTTCTACATTATGATACTGTAATGATACAGTATATTAATAATAATATTAATAAATACTCTGCATATTCTATTTACTCACAGCACTAGTACAAAACAAACATCCGACATTTAAAATTCCAGCCATCTGAACACCTTCTCCTCCCACCCACCCCGATCCAAATGACTTGTATCAATTCAGGATTAACTTTAGAAAGCACAAAGCACAAAGCCCAAGGTATGGGGTCACTGGAAAGGAGCAGCCAACCTGTCTCCCAAGAATAGTGTCCTTGGATGCAAATTTCCATGGACTATCTCCACTCTGTGTAATTTCTCCACCACTTCTAGAAGATTGTTGACAATCCACGTGACTGCTTCTTGGGGCAGGGTATGAATCATATCCTGAGAAGGAAAGAGCAACATAATCTATTACAGTACTATGCCATCATGGTCCAAGCAGGTACATTTGATCATAGGTGGGAACCTATTGGGCTTGAAGAGGGTGATTTTGTCAAACATAGAAAATAGCAAGCGTAATGTGTATTATAAGGACTCAGAATTGGCTTCCCCTTACTCAACCAAGTGATCACACTGATAAAACAAGTCTCTTGTACTTTTCCGCATTTATATGACCAAGACTCTGGATGGATCATTTAAACAGAAACATGTACTTTAAACCATTTAGCACAAGTTATACTGGAAGCGTTTAAGTTCATGCATAAGCATCAGCATTCTACTAGCTGGGGGCAAAGGGATCTGCGTTATTAACTATATGACTCAGGAACCACTCAACATTGTAGCAATGTGCTTTGGTACAATTGGGGTTACGGTCATACTCTAGATCAGGGGTAGGCAACCTAAGGCCCTTGGGCAGGATGCGGCCCAATTGCCTTCTCAATCCAGCCCACGGACAGTCCGGGAATCAGCATGTTTTTACATGAGTAGAATGTGTCCTTTTATTTAAAATGCATCTCTGGGTTATTTGTGGGGCACAGGAATTCGTTCATTCCTCCCCCCCCCCAAAAAAATATAGTCCGGCCCACCACATGGTCTGAGGGACGGTGGACTGGCCCATGGCTGAAAAAGGTTGCTGACCCCTGCTCTAGATAACAAGCATGGAAAATCTCAGAGTGCCAGAAAACAAGGCCAAGAAGATGCATATATCACCTGCACCTTAGGATTGATTTGCACATACAAGTCCTGCTTGGCTTTTTCCTGCACTGTATTGCTTGAAGATGCAAACTGTAAACTCAGGGATTTATTTATGTGGCACCATCCAAGTTGCACATCATACTTGATGCAAATAATGAGGTGACTTTCTGCCCAACCACAGCAGACTTACACTTTAAACAAAGGCAAATGGGAGGTGACAGGAGATGGGGAAGGAATTGGAGGCAGGGATAAACAGAAGACTAGTGTATGCTGTTACTGCAGTTCCTCCAGCTTAGTTATGGTAGGTATATGGGGGACTCCTATAATCACTTGGTGGGGAAAACTAGAGAAAATGGCTTCCAGCTCTGTCTATGCACTGCCTAGTTCATAGTAAACGTTTCTTCACTCGGTTGTGTCTATGCTCACATGGCCACATGGAGAAGGATAAGTGGAACCAACATTTTCAGACTCATTTTCAGTATGCACCTCAACTCTGCCCATCATACTAGGGTTATCCACACTGACCTGGACAGTAAAATCATTTATCCCCTTGTGCAGAGTCACACAGCCATTGTGGTATAAGAAACAAGAGCAGTTTGCATTAAAGCTCTGATCAAACTCAGTGCCTAGACGCTCTTGGAGTTGCAGCGTGATATAGAAGTCCCATGGCAGAGGTTCTGAATGCACCTAAACAGAAGGAGAATAAAAATACCTATAGTTGAAACTGCACCATTGACCTAAATGATTGTTCACACGGAATCCAGATGACTTCTGTGCTGGATGGCAGCCTCTATGCAGCATATTATAATCCTGAGCTGACATGACAGGCCTCACAGCATAACTAGGAAGGCCATTTTTATACTGTCATCTCACCCAACAACATCCATGCTTACAATGTGCTCTAGAATTACTGCCAATACAACTTATATTGGATAACACAGCACAGCTCCACCAAAGCAGTTTGGAAGAGATGTGAATGCAAAGTTGCCCATCCCAACCTAAACATCTTACAGGGAAGTTATAAAGGACCTGAAGAAGTGTCCATGGACACAAAAGCTCATACCAATAACAAACTTAGTTGGTCTATAAGGTGCTACTGGAAGGAATTTTTTTATTTTGTTCTGAATTAGAATGTTCCCCTTCATGAAGATGCAAGAATACAGTAAAAACAAAGAGAAATCAAAACACACGAGGATTCCTCATTAAAACTTGCAATCTTCATCAAGACTCTCACCCAGCTGAATGAAAAGTTAAGTTATGTTATACTGCTTATTTAAATTGAACTGCTAAAAGCTGTTTTCCACACACCCCACTACCAATAATGTCTGGAACAAGCAAGCCTTCAACAGCATGATAGAGCCCATTCAGAATATTAAATATAAGATAATAACTAGTAAAAACAGCACATGGCAGAAACAGTATATAATTTAAACATTATAAAACCCCAAGAAGTCAAGAAAAAAAGAAAAGGAACCAAGGACATTAACCATAGGTGATCAAGGATAAGACCTTCTCCACTATAAAACCTGTGTTGTTGAAGTCCCTTCCCAAGAAAACTTCAACTAGTATGAAGTCTCAGATATGGACAGCAGGTTAATACAGTTTTATTCTCACATGCTATTAGCTGAACTGAACTTATGATTTTTTATAACTGCTGCTCTTTGGATAGGCTATGCCCTTACATTTCAAACTTGGTTTTATGGTGCCTTTCTGCTTTTATGCTGTTGTAAATTTAAGATACTTTATAATATCAACACAGCAACATTTTGTGTATTTTTGTTCCTAATTTGGGAGCTACCTTGGAGATTTCAACAAATCGAAATATGGGGTATCTAGCTATTCAGAACAGAAATAAGAGGGCCCCAACACAAGTCAAGCAAAAAAGATGAAGGGGGTTGATAAAGGAGTAGTGAAGATACTGTGGAGTTGGGTGAACTATAAGGAGGACACTTATATACCTTTATTAAAACTGTATTTGAGTCTTCATCTGCACAGCTGGTTGCTACAGCAGAAAACAGCTTGTCACCTTCACTGATCAGATGCTCCTGAGTAATAGAGTATTTCACACCTCCTGTTGAAACAGAATTTTAAGACTGAAGTAATCATGACCACCACATGTTTAAAACAATCTCTGGAGAGAACATTCTACAATATAGATAATTAAAATTTAAGAAAGCTGACTTCTGTTGCCTTTAATGTTTTCAAACCTGAAGTGTGAATCATGAATAAGATCATACGGCCCTTTCTACAAATTTGCAAATAACATGTTTTTCAATCACTGCCTCTCAATGGGCAGGAGTCAACTAATGAGTCCCACCAGCAGAAGCACTGTGCAAGGACAGTGGCTCTTCCCCCACCAAAAAAAAGGCTTTGGGGAGGGGAAAGAACCTACAGAACCGCATGTGGAGGAGATGGTGGGGGGGAGTAATTACATCTGGCAAGTCAAAATACTTTCCCTGACATAAATTGTCTTACCATGACATCAAATTCCTGCCCAGAATTGACAGGTGCTGTCATAGATTTTTTAATTAATCCGGACAGCTACAGCTCGCTTTGCTTATCTACTATGTATTTTGGAAAATGGCCCAAGTGTTCTCTATGCCTTTGGATACCTCTTAAGATATTGTAACCAAACTTTGCATTTTGGTTCAAAGAGCAGGCTTTTGTCTGCTTGGATACAATTAGACAATTTTGCTTCAAGCTGCAGGCTTCACCTTTCAAAACTGTACTAGTTTTGGTATTTCTTAGAATTTCTGAGCAATGCCAAGTGCAAGGCTGCTAGTGTTACATAACAAAATACTAGTTCAAGCAAATAAGTAATCCATTCAAGATACCACAAGCTAGGCTTAAGAAATACCGTATTTTTCGCTCCATAAGACACACTTTTTTCCTCCTAAAAAGTAAGGGAAAATGTCTGTGCGTCTTATGGAGCAAATGTGTGGTCAATCGCTGGCTCCCTTTCTGGCCCCGCCCCCTTGCCCAGGCCTCCATTGTTGAATGTTCTGCAGATGGAGGCTGTTTGTTTCCCCAGCGACATGTGACTGGCTGATTAGATTATCTGTCTGGAAACTGTAGAAACCGCTCCCTTTTCTTTCCTAAAGAAGCTACAGAACTGTGAGTTGAACCCCATAAAAACAGGATTTTTTTTCCTTTGCAAAGTAAGCTCAACAACTTTGAGCTGATCCTCAAAAATAGGGGATTTTCCCCTTTGCAAAAGAAGCTGTACAACTGTGAGCCGATCCCCCCAAAAATGGGGCTTTCCCCCTTTCCTCCTCTAAAAACTAAGTGTGTCTTATGGAGCAAAAAATAAAGTATTCATAATACTACAAAGTTTACTGACAACTATTCTTCCACACAGCAGCATTATGAGACCAAGCAAGGTGAACTAGGTGGGGAAATAAAGCATACTGGTTTGAGAGCTTGTGTGTGCGCATTTTTTATATTTCAGATAAAAAGAAATCAGAAACATCATATGCAAACTAGGCTACAGGTTTTAGGCTGCTCAGAAGAATTCTAGCATAACAAAAAATCTAATTATCTTTACCAATACAAATTTCTTTTCCTAGCTCCATCCAAGGCATAGGCTGAGCCTCCAATTTAAAGTCAGGAGACTTTGTCAACAAGTCTGGAAGGGGTTGCAACAGTTGTTTGCGCTGCTCGGCATTCCACAGCCTGTCAGGAGAGTAACCTAAAACAGGCAAACAAGCAAAACTATCAGTTACAAGTTACAACTACTGATAAGGACTGCATAGGCATCTCTCCCCATTGAAGATATTAATATTTCTTTTATTTCCTAATACATTCTCAAAATTCAATCATTCAAGCAATTTAAACATTTTTGTTCTAGAATCAGTTCTGCTTTTTCTGCCTTAACACTTAAGATCACTTCTCTTTTAACCTCTGCTTACACTACTAGCTTTAGCTGATTTTTCACTGACTTTTGATAAAAATACTTATTGTGCCATCGGTCATTTATAAAGGTAAAGGTAAAAAGGTAAAGGACCCCTGACGGTTAAGTCCAGCCAAAGGTGACTATGGGTGCGCTGCTCATCTCACTTTTCAAGCCAAGGGAGCAGGCATTTGTCCACAGACAGCTTTCCAGGTCATGTGGCCAGCATGACTAAACCACTTCTGCCGCAACAGAACACCGTGATGGAAGCCAGATAGCACGGCGACACCATTTACCTTCCTACCACAATGGTACCTATTTATCTACTTGCACTGGTATGCTTTTGAACTGCTAGGATGGCAGAAAGCTGGGACAGAGCAATGGGAGCTCACCCCACTGGGTGGATTTGAACTGCCGACCTTCCGATCGACAACCCCAAGAGGCTCAGTGGCTTAGACCACAGCACCACCCACTCCCTATGGTCATTTATAAAGAACCTGGAGGAAGAAAGCAAGTCATCAGCAGCATACTCACTAGAGCCATTTTCAACATCACTGACAAGTTCATCAGTTGAGGTATGACCCAACTCCAGCTTCTCTGGGATTTGTTGAAATTTAATGGTAGATATATGTGTAGGGGAACATGTAGATGCTGAAGATGCTGAAGAAATGGTATCTTCCTGACTTGCCTCCATAATTGGGCTATACATAATTGGGGAAAGATATTAAGATTTGCATCTGACAGATTTATTCATACTCCCTTGACAATTCATAACGCAACAGTTTAAGATCCTATCCCTTTAATGAAAAGAAGTTTCAAAAGCATCATATAAAGCAGAGATGTCCAACAGGTTGATGGGGATTGACTGGTCGATCCCCAGGAGGTTGCAATCGATCGCGGGCTCATTTTCCTTTGCTTTTGCCTAAGAGCACCTGGCCCCGGCCCCTCTCCCCTGCCTGGATTTTCTCCTGATATCTGTAACGAAAGATGAAGTTTTTGCTGCGAGGCAAAACGCTTTCAACAGTGCTGTTTTGGTAAGCAACTAATCCCGTTCCCCCTTAAAAGTCTCCCCCCCCCCCACGGAACCCCAACTAAATGGGCATAAAAAAAGGTCAACAACTTTTACCGGAACCCCCCAAAAACGGGGGTAGATGAGAAATGCACTAGTTCAATTTTTGAAGAAAATATTAACAGGTGCTTCAATATTCATACCAAATTGTCCTACTTGGACCCTGTTCAGAAGCTATTTCACCCCAGGATTCTACCCAGGATTATATTGGGAGTGGGCCTCAAGATTGTGCACTCATCACCCATGCTCCTTACCACATTTTTGATACAAACCTCGAGGTGAAATAGCATCAAAGCAGAGTGAGTTTTCAGTATCATGAATCCATTAAAGCTTTCAAAATTCTCACAGGACCCACAGAAAATGAAGTTGTTTTTGGAAAAGAATCAGAGAAAAAGGCATTACAGGCAAAAAAAATTAGATGTGTAATGAGAGCGAAATAGTAAGCAATATCTTAGCATATAGGAAGAATGTCTCCATGCTGCAGCTTGCATGGTTGCCAGTAGGCAAAAAAGGCCACTGAAAAATTTGAGCCACAATGGAACACTGAATCATGCAGTTCATAGTATATGAAGGCAAGGCAGACATGTGTCCCACCCTAGATAAAACCACATGAAGCCCACTGAATCCTCTTCAGGTACCTCAGCTTCTTCGTAGAGAGGGCCTCAGCGTATTGATTTTCACTAAGAATTGTCTGCTGGCTCAGAGATATAGGCTTAGATTCTGGATGTTCTTCCTTTGGTTTGTCTTCAAGCTTGTCATCAAGCTGATTTCTCTGTTCTGTTGTCCCATGGAAAGGGGTTGATGCCAGGTGGGCAGCTCTAACAAAGTCACAGGTGTCTTCAGGATTAGGGCAAAGGGTTTTGTTCTTATACGAGCTTGTGAGAATTGCATCTTCATTCAACGGTTCAATTCCATTGAGTTCAGCCTAGAGAGAAACACATAATAGCCACCACCAAAAGGTATTTTTTGTTTTCAGAAATTTTGTCCAAAAAAAAAATCTACCTGCTCAACAGCATGCAGGTACATCTATGGTAAGAATTTACTTCTGCACCACTTTGCTCATTACCCAGGTAAGAGACCACCTTCTAAGTGAAACATGAAACCAGGGAAATTAATTCAAGTCCAGCATCCAGAAGGGACCCAAATTTATAGCAGCTATGCAATAGGGCAGACCTCAACTTAACATGGTTATTCTAGCTGAATCACCAGTTACGAAAGTCTGCCACAAGGGGCATCAGTACAAGGGTTTTATAGGCAACACACAAACAGCTAAACATTTGAACATTCTTAAAACAAACATCCTTAGGATGGAGTCTGAATTAGGTCACCCATATGTCTTAAGTCAGGGAGTATCAATTTTGGATTTCTCAGGGGACATGCTCTTCTCAGATACTAGTCCTGAAAGCCAGAAGGAATTACACCAGACTGTGGGTAGGCAAACTAAGACCCGGAAGCCAGATTTGGCCCAATCACCTTCTAAATCCGGCCTGCGGACGGTCCAGGAATCAGTGTGTTTTTACATGAGTAGAATGTGTGCTTTTATTTAATTTGTGGGGCATAGGAATTTGTTCATTCCCCCCTCAAAAAAAATATAGTCTGGCCCCCCATAAGGTTTGAGGAACAGTGGACCGGCCTCCTGCTGAAAAGGTTTGCTGACCCCTGCACTAGACAAACCAGCCCCTTCACAAAGTCAACAGCAGCAGCTTCAAGAAATAAGAGCTTTACCTTGGGAATGCCTAGGCTACTGAAATCAGAACATTATTATTAAAGTGTGGAAACAGAATTATCTTTAAAACTGTTGAAATTTATCTCTCACACTTATACTCTCATAGGGTTGCTGGAGGCCAGACAAAATTGGTTTAGTGGTCTGACCCAGCTCAGAGTTGTCCCACCCCACCCCCCGCAAGTCTACACTGGTGTGAAACTGATTTAACACAACAGATCCTTGGTGACATATATTTAAAGGTAAGCAGTGCATACATATGTACACTTTGGTCAATGTGTGAAGTGGTCCTTAGTGACAAGATGCCACAAGTGTTCATGTGTATGCCTTCATTTAAGAAGTAACAGGATATTCTACATAGATCTCAATGACTCTAAGCTATGAAAAACTTACAAATTTTTCAGGGGATATATTTTCCTTGGCAGTTATACTTTCTGAAGGTTTGCGAACAGCAAGAACTCGTCTGGAACGTACCACTGGAGGGCCAGTAGAAAGACTAAAGGAAAAAACAAATATATGAACAGGTTGACTTCGAATGCCAATTCATTCCATTCAAGAATTTCACCACTTGCATTCATTTTCTTCTGGGTTACAGGATTACAAACATACTGTACAAATACAGCTCTACACGTACATTTAAAAACAATTATAGGTGGTATAACCCATATTTTAATAAACTGGTTTTTGTTTATTTGTTTGTCCCCCCCCCCATTAGGTTTTATTGTAATTTCATTGGTGTTAGCCGCCCTGAGCCTGGCTCTGGCCGGGGAGGGTGGGGTATAAATAAAATATTATTATTATTAAAGCATAAAGAAAGATCAATGAATTTTCTTGATCATGAAATTGATCCCAACATAGAATGCTTTTAAAACAAATTGAGATCACTCTGTCTCCTGCTGAGAAATTAGTTACACACAGTTACCTGGTACTCGCATTTTCTGATGCAGATTCCTCAACAAATATAGAAAATGTCAAAGGATTCACTGCAGAAGGAATCTCAAAATCTGTGGAGAGGAGAGCCAATAGACTTTAAAAGCTGTTTGGAATTATTTGAGAATATACTTTTTACTGAACACATTGCAAAGGTGCAGTGCAATCAGCCAATTCCAGTAGCCCATCTTCACATCAGCTGACCATCTAGCTCACCAGCAAGTTCCACTATAACAGTGAGGATGAAAACCTATAGCAGGAAGCACATGGTATCCACTAAAGAAGTTCTCAAAGCAACACGTGTGTGAAAGAATGCAACTGTTTCAGCCATTTTACATTCTGTTTGTTGTAAAAGGTTTAGAGCTTTCTGTGCAGGAAGACAATAAGTTCTTTCTATGACACTTGACACACAAAAGGAAAATGGCAAGTCTAGCAATTAAAAGGGGGAGAATAAGCAAAGGTAATTAGGGGGAAATGAACACACATAGAATCTACTGTCCTGATTAGTGAAAAGGTTGCAAGACAGAGTAACATGATGAACTCAGACTAGATGTTCTCTTGGTCTAACTTAGGTCACATGCTTACAGCTTTGTGTATCTCACAGTGGCTAGGAATAGATTTTTTAAACAATTTAGATAAACATGCTAGCTCCTACAGTTAATCTGCAAAATGTATTTGAGCTAAAGGAGACTTCCTCTTGTCAAATGAGGAACCAACTTTATCATTTCATGTATTTACACTCATTTTCATCTGAGGAAAACAAGCTCTTCTACTGTGACCAGCAACTTTCAAGTTTTCATTTTTGCTTGCTGCTTTGGTTTTGTGAGGGTGAGGATGGATCAAAGTAAGTAAAGCAGGAAGGAACAATACTGGAAAGAAGAGATGGGTTGCTGACTTCTGTGTGTCCAGGGCCAGACTGCCTTATAGCAAGCCTTCCAAAGCGGTAGGCCCAGAGTCAAAGAGCAAGCAAGGCTTCACACTATTACCGTATTTTTCGCCCTATAGGATTCACTTTTTCCCCTCCAAAAATGAAGGGGAAATGTGTGTGCGTCCTATGGGGCGAATGCAGGCTTTCGCTGAAGCCTGGAGAGCGAGAGGGGTCGGTGCGCACCGACCCCTCTCCCTCTCCAGGCTTCAGGAAGCTATCCGCAAGCCGTGGGAGCCCGCAGGAGTTCCCCCGGGCTCCCCCGGCTTGCGCAGCACTGCCTCTTATCCCGAAGCTACCCGAAGCGACTGCTGAGTGCACCGGGGCTTCGGGGTGCAGGCAGCGCTGCGCAAGCCGGGGGAGCTCTCCCGCGGCTTGCGCAGCGCTGCCTCTTATCCCGAAGCCCCGGCGCGCTCAGCAGTCGCACCGGGGCTTCGGGTAGCTCTGCGCAAGCCGCGGGAGGGCTCCCCCGGCTTGCGCAGTGCTGGCTCTTATCCCGAAGCCCCGGCGCGCTGAGCAGTCGCGCCGGGGCTTCGGGTAGCTCTGCGCAAGCCGCGGGAGAGCTCCCCCGGCTTGCGCAGAGCTGCCTCTCATCCCAAAGCCCCGGCGCACTGAGCTGTCGCGCCGGGGCTTCGGGTAGCGCCGTGCCAGCCGCGGGAGAGCTCCCCCGGCGTGCGCAGAGCTGCCGCTTAACCCGAAGCCCCGGCGCGCTGAGCAGTCGCGCCGGGGCTCGGTAGCTCTGCGCAAGCCGCGGGAGTGCTCCCCTGGCTTGCGCCTAGCTGCCTCTAATCCCTAAGCCCCGGCGCACTGAGCTGTCGCGCCGGGGCTTCGGGTAGCTCTGTGCAAGCCGCAGGAGAGCTCCCCCGGCTTGCGCAGAGCTGCCTCTTATCCCGAAGCCCCGGCGCGCTCAGCAGTTGTGCCCGGGCTTCGGGTAACTCTGTGCAAGCCGCTGGAGGGCTCCCACGGCTTGCAGAGAGCAGCCTGTTCCGGGGGCTGGGGTCGGGGAAGCTCAGGCTTCCCCCGCCCCAGCCTCGCACCTTGGGGGGGGAAATAAAATTTTTTTTCTTTATTTCCCCTCCAAAAAACTAGGTGCGCCTTATGGGCCGGAGCGTCCTATGGGGCGAAAAATACGGTAAGTATCAGTAATTAGTCAAATATCGGTCACCCAAAAGAGATTAAGCATAAGTAGACATAGGGGGTCAAGTGACGGGGGCAACTGAGAAGTAGGGGGAAATGAGAAAGAAAGATTAGAGGCAGTCTCAGATTCTATTCCATCAGGGTAAAGAAAAACCTCAAAAACAAGTAGGCAGACACACACTGCCCATTGCCCCCTCCTGCTGCTCCTCAAATGATTAAAATTAGCCTCAGTCATTTAACAGAGTGTGCATACTGCTTAATTGTAACTAAAACCTCTAAGTGGTTTTATTGAACACATAGGAGGAAAGTCAAGAGACTTCCTTCAAGCAAGAGCCTATGAACAAAACTTACCGCTAGAACTTGATTTCTCGTGTGGAACATTTCCAACCAGATCAAGATTGCTATAAAGAAAGCATTGGATTAAAAAAAAAATACAGGGCACCGTTCAGATCACAATATAGACAATATAGTAAGCCACCCCACACCACTCTGAAACATATTTTGAACTGGCATATCATTTAAATATCTGACAATTTAAGAAAAGAATTTTCTTTTCTCCAGAGCCAACTCCCACTTTACCTTTTCAATGAAAAAACATCTGAAAGGCCTTCTTCAACAAATGCTTCATCATCTGCCAGAGAGAGCTGTCTTTCCTTTAAAGGATGCTTCAGAATCTCAGCCTCTGCCTTGTCAGAAGGCATACCTGCAGGCTCCTGCTCCACTACTTGCTGAAATAGTTGAAGAGAACAATCTGCTCACAAACCATACTCCAAATTATGTTCCATATGCTCTAGAAAGGCCACTGCAAACAAATAGCCTACCAGAAATTAAGATGGGATATTACCTGTGAACATGGTCTCTGCTTATCATTTCCTTGCTGCTCTCTCCCCATCTTCTCCAACTCCTCAATTTTCCTTTGTAACTCAGCTTTTTTCTGTGCTAAGGCCTGTAGTTCCTCTGTATGAAAGAAGGTAATAAATCATGACATATTCTCCATAGTATAGCTAGAAAGACCATGTATAGTCCCAACCATTTTCCCAGGTTGCCCTGATGTAGACTTGGGGTGGGAAAGGGACTGCACATCTGAAACACAAGGCTCCCACCAAAAGAAAAGAAAATGGACGCTAGTCCCATGTCAAGTTTATTTCCTACCACCTGCAACATGCAGTGGAACTCTGTTGTTCACTAAGTTGAAATACATTTTTCAGAGGAAAGGGAAACTGAACTGAAGGCTGCAATGATCCTACACAAACAATGTTGCTGAACAAATAAATACCGTAAGGCATTACACATTGAGTATTCTAGAGTAAAGAGAAAGGGGGAACATACTTTGTTCTTCCTTGACTAACTTACCTTCCATCTCTGTTTTTTTGTTTAGAAAGAGGATTGCACCAAGGCATAGAAAGGTAAACCCTGCTACTTATACAGAAGGGCTTACTAGCAAACAAAGCAGGACACTACAGTGCACTCTGCCCAGCTTAGAAAAATAATCTACAGGACGAGAATTCTTTGAAGAAATAGAGTATTTGATGATGAAAGCATTTCCTTGACTTGTAACATGATCCAAAAGTGCTTTTCAACCAATTTCTTTCTAAGAAACTAGCACAGGCTCTGGAAATCTATACATTTTCTGACTAACATTAAGCAACACTGGAGGATTTTCCTGTATTTGCCCATTTCTAATAGATACCGTCTCTTCTCTTTTTTGCTTTCTGTCGGTAGATTTCAGCTCTGATCTCCTCCAAGGAAAACTCCTCCACTCCAGCATACACTTTCTCTTTACAATACATTGGCTTTTCTTTCTTCTCCTGGCCATCCTGTTGATGGCTTTGCACACGATGTAGGGGATCCTCCTCCTTTCCAGGCTTCCAAGTGCTTAGTACACAGTTTATGCTAGACTCTATTTTACAAGGAGTCCTAAGGAGGGAAGTATGAAGCAAGAGTGAGGATCGGACCAGGTACTTAAGTGCAAACTATTAGGACGAGCCCTCTATCTAATGGGTATGGGATTATGCAATGGAACAAGTAAACAGGGTTGTAATTTTGGTATTTAAAACTGCCAACTATGTTAACACAAATATCCCTGGGAAGTTACTGTCATGTTCAACAGGCAAATGTTTGAAACCAAAAGGAGGAAATGGTGATATGGTATAGCAACATACTCAACTTCATACGAATCAAATTATAAACTAAAATTTTACTATGTGTTCAGGAGCAATTTAAGGTCAAAATCTGTCTTGGTCATCCTGACAAATGCCCTTCTTCGTGAGAGGGACAGGACAAGTGCAACACTTGCTCTTGCTTGATCTCTCAGCAGCTACTGATACTGTTGGTCACAGTATCCTCCTGAACTGTCCCTGTGAGCAGAGGTTTGGTGGCACTTTGTTTGCGTTTCAGTGTTCTACTTCAGTTAATGGGGATTATGCACCCATGCCACTGCAGTTGCTATGTGGGATGCTACAGGGTGCTATTATGTCCCCAATGCAATTTAATACCTATTTGAAGCAGCTAGGAACACTCATTAGGAGTATAAGATGATGACATCCATCTCTTTCTCTGCAACATTTGAATCAGGAGAGGGTGTGACTGTTTTGAACTGGTCCTGGATGCAGTGATGAGCAAGATGCAGACCAGCAAGTTGAAACAGAATTCTATTAAGAGGAAGACTCTGTGGGCAAGTGGTTCCCAGTTCCAGGCACTCCCTCAGAAATAACAGGGGGGTGTTTGCGGGGTGGTGGTGGTGTTCTAGAACTATCCGTGTCAATGAAAGCCAACGTAACTTCTAGGGAAAGGAACATCAATCAATATAAGTTGCTACACCAACCATGTCCTTTTCTGGACAGGGATAACTTGCCATTGTGATTCAAGCATTGATAACATCACAGTTGGGTAACTGATCCAGGAGCTGTGGCTGTTGCAGAATGCTGTGGTCAAGTTGAGATTATACCAGAAGGAATTGCACCGGAAATCAACTGCCTACTGGGCCATGTTCAAAGTCTTGTTACTAACACATGAGAGCCCTCAACAACTTGGGGTCAGATTACCTGTGATACTGCCTGTGCCTTTATAAACCTATAAACTCATTTATTTCCCTATACGATCATTTAATCATAGCACTCTACAGAATATCACTGAGTGGGTGTGTTACCCAGGTTCAGGCATTTTTCTGCTATTTGTCCTGCATCCCTTTACCATGCATGAAGCATCATCAGTCGCTTTCGACATCTTGTAAAGACATACTTTTGTCCTGGCCTTCCCTAACCCATAAGATTGAACATTAGTTAATACTGAGTTTGTTTTTATTATACGAAGGCATAAAACCTACATTGTTTGTTGTTGTGCAGACTCTTCAACATATGGAGTAAAGCTGGGGACTACAGCAGGGGAGACAGTAGCAGAATCCAAATTGTTCCGAGGACGCTAAAGGGAAAGAAAACCAGTATCAGTATGTTCACATATGACCACACCAGTCTGTCACAGTGGCCTTTTAGATACTTCCATCAGAAAAAGGGAACCCTGACCGTTAAGTCCAGTCATGAACAATTCTAGGGTTGCGGCGCTCATCTCGCTTTACCGGCCAAGGGAACCGGCGTTTGTCCGCAGACAGCTTCCGGGTCATGTGGCCAGCATGACTAAGCTGCTTCTGGTGAACCAGAGCAGCGCACAGAAACGCCATTTACCTCCCCACCGGAGCAGTACCTATTTATCTACTTGCACTTTGATGTGCTTTCAAACTGCTAGGTTGGCAGGAGCTTCCATCAGATAGCCCTTTACAAAAAAAAAATGCACCATATCAGCCCTGCTAGCATTCCTTAAGAGTACCTAAATATAAAACCTGGGAAGCATATCACTAGAGACTGAAATTTCTTCTTCATTAGTTCGTTATAGTAAGATAAATCAAAGCTAAATACAAGGCAAGAGCCTTTTCTGTCCCTGTGTAGAACCCACTACTTTGAAGTTAAAACCATGACTTCAACCTTCTGATTCCAAGCCGCAAAGTATACCTTGGGTTTTGCCTCCTATAGAACAAATTTCTTTTCCCCACATTTCCTCTTATGCAAAACAATGCACAGAACACATTTCTCGTTCAAGGATGAATGGCAAAGCGTTTATATATCCCATCTAAGGCCTAGAGAGTGAATAACCAGGAGCTGCAGACTCTCCAGAAACCCAAGAGGTATCCCACACCCAAGGTTAAAACATCAGATGCTACCTGGTTTATGCATGCTAACCAGTGCTGCATGAAAATGGACTGCAAGATAGATTTAACTACCAGGACATTAAGACAGGAAATACTCAGACCAAAAACTTTGAATGGTCTGAAATAGTCAGAGAGAGAAGAGCTTTAGTTTTAGACTGAGCCCAAGATTAAGATTAAGAAAGCAAAGGTGAATTCCCCACACTCAAAATAAGCATTTACTTTTGAAAGATATTCCTACATAGGCACCCATTATGTTCCAACTGCAGTGGGAAGTTTCACCCTTTTTCCTTACCCTGCCTGTGTTCCAAGGTCCTGCCTGCAGTTCATTCTCTTTAGCCTTTACTGCTGGCGGTACAACCCACGGCTGTGGTACAAGTGCAGGAACCTCAGCTCTAGGAGCTACAACTCTGTTCTCATCAAATATGGCAAAGCCTGGGCGATGTGATGCTTGCTGAGATGAATTATGGAGTCTCTGTTCTTGGCTTGGAACTAGAAGATGACACTGAGGTTAAAGGTAAGTGTTCATTGTTCACATGTGAGACTTATTGTTTCTAACATAGCCAAGCTCCACTTACGCTTCAAAGCATTTCCTACACGGCTGATTGGCGCTTTCACCATTTTCTTTCCTCTTCCCTTCAGTTCTGCCAGTGTAGCTCTTTGGGGTTCAGAAGCAAGAGCACCCAACTCCTCTTCCCCATCAGCATCTTCTAGATCTTGCAAGGCCTGTCGAGACACACGGGCCTGGAACTGCCTAGACACAGAAGTAGCAAGTTCTTTGCAGTGTAAATGACATTACTAGGGGTTTTTTGGGGGGGGGGGGTTGCTTTCCGTATTCCCACAGGCCCAGTCTCTCTTGGGATACGTTACCTGTGATGGGACTCTAGCTTATCTAAAGGCTCAGCTTTGAACTGCAACCCATCCTGGAATATCAAGTCAGCTTTCTGGTAATTCCCTCTTGCCTCAAGTTCCTCGGCCCAAGTGATGTAGAGTTGTGCCAGGGATTTGCCTATACCTTGGCTGTACATATAGCTATATAGGTCCAGCGGTTCACTACAACAGCTACCCTGCAAAATGCAATAGAAAAGTAAGGCTTTGTTGTATCAAAAGGGGAGGTACAAATGTTCTTTTTCAGAGCAATTCTAGACTTCATCAACTTGCAATGCTCTGCAGCAATATGGAACAAAACAAAGCACACTTCTAGTCCTTGGGGGTCTCAGAGACATTGGACTATGGGAGAATGAAGTGTTCTTTAAGCTGTTCATTCTCATTCTGTGATAAGCATGATCACCAGGATACTAAACAGTGCTCAGTCTGACCTGTGCTCAACATTCAAACTAGCCCTCATCAAAACATGAGAAGCAATTTTAAATTCAAATCATTAGCCCTTAGTCTTTTCTTTTTTTGGCTTATTTGTTATTTTAATATTTTTATTTTTTGTAAGCTGCTTAGAGGTTTTATAGTAATCAAGTAGAAATTAATACGGTTATATTTACATATGGTTAAAACAATGTTTCTAAAGCAAGAAACATGCTTAGTTTTTAGATAATTCACACATGACATAGCAAACATCCCTTCCTGGATAGAGAGAGAGGAAGAATGCTTCTTAAGAATCTACTCGGCACCTACAGATTTTTAAGAGATCACCATATCCCTTATATAGTGTGGGAGTTTCTCCTAAAGGTCCCAAAGAGATCAGAAGCCTGCTCCACAGTAATTAGGAGAAGGCTTTCAGTGTATCTGCTCCTGTTCTGTGGAGCAGCATTCCTATTGAGATATGGCAGGTGATCACTATCTATTACACTTTCAAGAAGCAATTGAAGGCATTTTTATTCTGACAAGCTTCCCCAGTTGAGTCAAGAAGTCCCTGCCATGGGCATCTCCTTATTTTCCAATTCACCTGCTGTTATTTTTTGTACTGTTCTTCAGCCATTTTTATTATATTGTGCGCATTGCCTTGAGACATATTTCAAAGGTGATTAACAATCAACAACAAATGTATAATATATATAAACTACCTGCTTAATCAGGGCTCCTTCTCAGTTTATTATTACATTTTATAGTTGCTTAGCATCTAGCCTGTCTCATGGCATTGTCATCAGTTTTGAAATGTACGGTTTTGATATTGTAATAGATACAGTACAAGAGATATGTCCTATTAGTATTAAACTCTTTTGGAAAACTAAGTAAGTCCAAACATGATACAGTTGGATGATTCATAGGAGAGGATCAACTAGGTAAAGGTTAGATTCCCCCCCCCAATGAAATCTAACTTTTTTGCTGTGGTGCATGTGTCATTTCAGCATGGGCAAGAATTAGCCAGTGCAAATGAATGCACACGTCCTCCCATAAATGGAGACAGTTCATGTGGAGTGAACTGCCTCAAGAAAACTCATGAAGTACAATAACTTCTGTGATGGAAACTTATTGATGTTCAGAGCATAAAGTAACCTACTACAGTCTGACAAGGCTTAGAGCTCAGCAAGCTGGAATAGAATACACATGAGAAAATTCAAATAATATATCTATCACTCACAAATTTAAGCCAGAGACTGAGGTAGCGGGGGTCTTGGTAATATCTCTGCTGCTCATTCAGTGCTTTAACAGCTCTCTCCAAAACAGCAGAAAGGTTGCTCTCTTTACCACCTTGAGGAAAGGTTTGCTCTGTCCATTTAATATACCTAGAAATATCAGAACAATTATGAGCACAAGGAAATGACACCTCTATTTGAGAATTGCCCATGTTCTCATTTTATTATTTTAAGTTTTTTATCCAAAGATCATCTGAAAACCTCAGGATATAAATACAAAATAAATAAAACAGAACAAGAACAAATAACAACCCCCCCACAACAAACCAATAATGCTCCCCTTCACAAAAGCTTACCTGTCCCAGACATCCAGTGGATCATCTCCATTATAAAAGCGAATTTCAGATTCAAATTCCCTGGAATTAAAGTAATCAGTACTTAAGTAGCTAGAAATATATATTTACTATTTCTTAGCATAATTTAAAAATTAGCATCAGATGTTTTTTCTCAGTTAAGTCTACTTTTCCTCACTATATACAAAGTATTTGATTAGCAAGATACCACATTTTGGAAAATTCTTTTTCAAAAGGTAGTAAAGATTCCAGGTTTATAATAGTGACTAGCTTGTTTGAAATACTATTTTGAGGAGAACAGACAATGTTTTACTTGACTAACTTGTGCTGTTTGGATCTCAGGTAGCAGGGCTAGGAAAATTCAGATCAAAAGTCACTGAAAGTTGAAGGAGACAGTACTGAACTAGATTGACCAATGGTCTGAATGAATACAAGATAGCTTCTTATAGCTGGCTTATAGTAGCCTATGTAAATATGAGGTTCCTGGATCCAACGCAGATTCAATTGCTGGAATAGCCAGGCCAGCCTGGTAATGGCCCTATGGATCCTTAAGAGAACAAAGAGAGTGACTATGCCAGAGGGGAAATGGGTGGGCCTCCTTTAACTGTTAGAAAGAAAAGACTTCCGGGGTGGCGCCACCGGCGATGGCGGACTCCCTCTGAACTGGAGGGACCAGCTCCGCATGAAATGGGTCTTTTCCGCTGCGGCGTAGCGGGGACCCTTCTGGAAATCACAGGTGGATGAAGCCTGTGACCGTGGGACTCGGCGGGCACCCTTAGCGCCCCCCCAACCCACAAAGGAACCCATAAACGGGTTCCGAAGTGAAGAGGGGGAAGTGGCGCGGTGCTGTGAGTCAACTGCTTTTTCTGCGGAGCGAAGCCGCATAGCCGTCGCCGGAGAGCGCTGCCTTTTTCCTGGGACAATTTGGCATTTAAATCAACCAACCGTGAGTACTGGAACATTGAATATTTGGACTTCAAATAAAGAACTGGCGAAATTAAAAGGAATTTGGACTTAAAAATTTACCCTAATTTGGTACTGAAACGGAAAGGATCAAACAGGAAGTCACCCTTCCGTTTCCCTGTAGCCAGAACAAAGCAAAGACAACGCAAACTAGAGCCTTAAAAAACCACTTGTAAAGGATCGACTTTCACCATTTAAAATCGCTGAATCCCCTTCGGTAGCAGGAGAAGAAGGGGGACTCTTTCTGAGTTGTTTAAACCTGCAGAAATGAAGTTAAAGTAAAGTATTTTTCCATCGCCTTGACCCTGGAGCAGGGTGTCAGAATTGACGTTTGAAGCTCATTGACCAGAAACAAATGCTTTTGACAGATAGTTAAAAGAAGAGAAACGTAGTTACTCCATTGTTTCCTTTCGTTTTTTAAAAGAACAAATATGGACAAAGTATCGTAAAAAGAAACTTTGTTGCTATTGTTTTCAAGAGAAGGAACAACTAGAAGCTTTTCCCCTAGAGGGGAATTGTGAAATTGTAACTAATTCCTGGGAATTCCTGGGAACTTGCAGCTGTCACTGATTACAACTGTGGGAAAGGACTTTGTGACCTTGCAGAACAATGTCTTCAGAAGCACTGTTGGGTGCTTTCTGTAAAATAAATGCCCTATTGGATCAGTTAAGCCAGAAGATGGATCTCATGACTAATGCGGCCAGATCCTTTGAGCAGGTAGTGGGAAACTATATGGAGCCCACTCAGGAATCAAAACAGGAGCGTGCCATGACAGAACAACTGAGAGAAGAGGATTTTGCTGAATCTTGGGCGCCAGAGACGGAGGGAGCTGCGGCCCAGCAGGATTACAAACTTTTGGACTTGACAAATGAACTTGGAAAAAACCAGACTTGGAAAGATAAAATCTGGTTCGGTTTGGAAATGGGGGCTGGATAGACCCCCCTCCACAGGGAGATTTGGACTTTTCAAGTCTGGAAAGGGGCCGTCAGATGTCTGGAGTTGTGGGGGCTCCCAACTTTGAAGGGAATCTGGAATATGCTTGTAAATTTTACATTGAGCCTGGATTGGACTATGGAAAAGGGACTGTTTTGTTGAAAAGGTCAAAAACACTACCAAGCTGGAGTTCCCACGAATAAAAGGGAAATATAAAGAAGAGCTATGGAAGGGACATGGAAGTGACTTAAGGGCCTCGGACATAAGACTGCCAGGTTAATGTGCTAGATTAATAGGATAAAAAGGACTGACAAACCAGGACCAGGAGAAAGGACGTTGGATGAAGACTGGATTCTTTCTTTTTATTTTTATCATTAGGACTGTTTTACAAAATTGATGAATGTTAGCAAAATGCTGAAATGAAATTATTTGGCTCTTATAAAAATGTTAAAAGAATTAGGCAAGAATGCTATGGTTTAGGAGAAGTTGATAAAAAATTAAGACTTAAGTTTTAAACTCTAAGGTTTTTATAAGATAAGATGAAAATAGATTAAGGTAATGTGATGACAGAATATTATGAATTATGGAAAGGATTTGCTGTGATTATTATAAAATAGGATACAGGAAAAGGGAGGAGGAGGAGGTCAAGGAAAGAAGGTATTGAAAGTGGAGAATTCGAGAATGATGGTTTTATTTTTTATTTTTATTTTTTTTCTCTTTTGTATAAAATTTTGTAAAAAATCCTTTTTTCAATAAATATCATTAAAAAAATAATAATAACTGTTAGAAAGAAAAAATGCCAAAGTTAGGAGTCATGTAAGCCCAAAGCTGGAAGAAAAGCTGCAGGCTGCAAAGGCAGAGAGGCGGCCATGTTTTATTGCTATTTGAATCTAAGGCCACTTAAAAACAAAGACCTTAAAGCAGTGGTTTCCAAAAGGTGTGGCACCCTGGGGTGCCTTGAATGATGGTCAGGGGTGCCTTGGGCAACACTGGCCTCCATTCCTCTTTCCTTCCCTGCCTCCTCTGATACCCTTTCATGTCTCTGTCTCCCAAAGGCTTGCATGGCTGTTTGTTGCAGCAGCCCTGGCTACAAGCTCCTCAGGTGAATGTGGTGCCTCTGGGGCTGGCCAGGGGGTGTTGGTTGCCAGGAGCTGAGGTAGCCTCTGAGTAAGCAAGCAAGTGCGTGAGGAAGCCCAGCCAGCCAGTCCGCCAGCCTTTGCTGTTGGGAATGGACAGATAAATGGGAGGCCAGGCAGGCAGGCGCTGCACTGGACTTTCTTGTGCTTAATTGCGCAACGCCTGTCTAGGAGCTGAGTGCCCGGTGCTGAAGGAGAGCCTTTCTGCCATGCAGGCCAGTAGTACCCGCTGCTGCCAATCAATGTAAGGTGCTGCCCTCACGTTCTCCTTTGGCCACTCTCCGTTGAGCCACTAAGGCTGACAGCATCCTCTTCCCAGGCCCCTGTGGGGTGGCATGAGGAGGCATTTCTCTTTGGGGCAGGGGGGCAGCTCAGAGACCAGGGGCAGCAGCCCAGAAGACTCCCAAGAAGGAAGAGGAGAGGGTGGGAGGCTGAGGGAACTGCTGACATAACTGGGCTCCTGAGCCCCACAGGGGTGTCACAGAAAGAATGTAGTTGGTCAAGGGAGCAGTGGACTCAAAAAGGTTGAAAACCTCTGCCTTAATGGATAGAGAGACAAACAAACAAACAAACAAACCATACTATGCTCACCGCTTTTGCTGCTGGATGGCTGTATGGCTGGAAACATCCAGCTGAGCCAGAGCTTCCTGTAGGGTAGCCATCACTCGTCCTTGCCTAAGAGGTTGCACATTCTCCTTGCTCAGCTCCCACTCGCTCCCATCCGAAGACATGGTAAACTGTATTTTATGCACACAAGGCAACAGTGCCTAGGTGCACGACTCCAGGATTACAAATCCTAGTGATAAAGAGAAATGAAAACAATGAGGATATTTGCGTGGAATGAAAGCAGGAATTCAGCTTGTTGGTATATTTCCTAGCAACCTGACAGTAGACTTTTGCAGGCCACCCCAATCTGAGTGGTGCAAGATTCCAGGGGTTCCAGGTGCTTACCCTGGGTTCATGTTTCCTCAGAATGGGGACCAGAGAGACAGTCTTTAGGATATATGGCTTATTTATTTACACACATATATACAACCTGAGCTTACGGTGGAGGGGCTCACAGCATTAACACCCCAGAGGACATTGCTTCTCCCATAGCCACAGCCTTGGATTCCAGCAGTAATCGGGCATGTCTCTCCCTTACAGGCTTCCGCCTGCTACCTGCTTCTAGCTCACTCTTTCTCACACACAACTCTCCACTGTCTACTTGCGTGTCACAACTGCAAGCAAGCAAAAACGTGGGAGGAGAAAGAAGCGTGTAGGTTCTTACGCTCTTGCCATTCCCTTCGCGGAAGCAAACGGGTTAGCAAGAACCTCGCCCCTCCCTAGCGCCGTATTTGTCCACCGGCTTAAGCGCGCTTAAGAACTGGCTCTCCACGCCAAAAACAAACGAACAGAGAGAAAGCAGAGACTCGCCACCCTTCGGCTTCCCTGCCCCGCAGAAGAACCGGCTCAGCTAAAGGAAAAGCAGAGCGACAACCGCTCACCTCAGCCTCTCGCACGGCCTGGGCCCGAGGGAAGCTGCTTCTCCGGGCTCCAGCTCCGAACTCTCGAGGCTCCTCAGCAAGTCTCTCCTCCGTCCACGTTCAAATATTAACCGCCGCACACACGAACACCCCTCACGAGTCCCCGCTCCGCCTTATTGGCTGCCTCCGAATACTGCCGCCTGCCATTGGATGGTAGGGAATGCAAAGCATGACGGGTCCGCCGGTGCATCATGGGAACGGTAGTTCTCTTTGGGTGTCGCTTGAAAGCGAGGAGAGCGGGCGAAACGGAGCTCGCTTCGCAGTGCCGCCTTCTGCAGGACGTTCACTCCCAGCAGCACGCCCGCTATCTGAGCGAGAGAAGACACTTGGGAATATGCACAGTGGGGCTTCCGAGTAAGCAGGCGCAGGGTCGGGGGGCGGTGACCGAGCAGCGTGCGTGGTGCTTTACGGAGTACAAAAGAGCAGGTCCCTGCCCCGAGGACCTTACCATCTTAAAGTACGGTACAGAGAAAGAGAAGGGGAAATATAGTGTGTTGCAGCGGGCAGGGGCCAACACGGAAGTCAAGAACATGCCTCGTCAGGGCCGGATTTAGGTTTGATGAGGCCCTAAGCTACTGAAGGTAATGGGGCCCTTTATACGTCCAGCTGTCCTTTGTCAACAACAAATTGTCGCTGTGTTTTGAATATATGCTATATCGTAATTTATGGACCTAATAGGTATCTAAAGCCATGTGTACATGCAGAATGTAGGCACCCTATACTGTATTTAGAAATGAGCAAACCAGTGATATTTTAGGGAGCAGGCTAGCAGGCGGGGCCTATTACTTTCATCATAGGAGCCTATACAACACAAAATACTGTTGTTGTATGTAGGTTTTATTTTATTTGTTTTTTATCTTATATTTTGGAAATGTACATCCACTTTTTTTTCTTTTAAATTTTTTGGGCCCCCCCCAAGAGAGTGGGGCCCTAAGCTACAGCTTTTTTAGCTTATACAGAAATCTGGCACTGTGCCTCATGTTCGTGTATGGGGACACCTGAGCGCCAGGTTTGCACATATGTATGCACACACGCGCTCTTGCATTTTGCTCCTAGTGTTGCCAGGGGTGAAATATGTCGGGTGGGGAGAGACAGTGGCTTTCCAGGTGTTGCTCAACTCGCATCATCCCTGGCCATTGCCATGGGCTATCCTTGCTGGGACTGATGGGAGTGGCCGTTCAGCAATGCCTGAAGGATCAGAGGATCCCACACACCTGAGATATGTGATTTTTTCCAGTGAATTAAGCTAAGGCAGGAGCTAGGGAGCTGTGGCAAACGCTTCATGGAAAGAAGAGTAGTTCTTTGGGCAGTCTTTTGAATGACAAAAGCATTTCTGGGTGCAGCAGAACGATTTCCTGGTTCCACACTTCATTTCCTACTGCTCACTCATATGGTCAAATTAAATCCCAGAGAAAAGGAGTCACAGTTTAGCAGTATATATTGGGAGTAAATTACAGTGAATACTGCAATTGATGGGGTGGGGAAGAATGCAACTTTAGTTCTTTGTTTTGTTTTATTTTAAAATGTTTTTGTTACAGTTTTTGAACAATACAATTTAAGCAACATGCAAAAAAATAAAATAAAAAGGGAAATAAAATAGGAAAGAGGGGCAGGGGTAGGCAGTCTAAGGCTCGTGGGTCACAAGCGGCCCACAGGGGTCATTTAACCATCCCATGAGCTGCCCCCAAACCAAGCTGCCCGCTCAGCAAATCCTCACGTGCTGCACTAAACCGGTGCAATGCAGCGTGGTGACTCGCTTCTGCGGCGCTGGAAATTGCATCTGCACAGACTCTGGAAATCACGTTTGTGCAGATGCAGACACTGGAAATCGCAGGTGCGCGCAGTCACATGCGCACAATCCGGCCCACGGAGGGATCTCTTCTGGAGTGAACCAGCCCAGGCGAGGTAAACCTTACCAACCTCTGGGTTAAGGTATTTTAACCATATCAATTGTTAATACAAATATACTGGACTGCCAGCTATGATTAGGATTGCCATATTTCAAAAAGTGGGAGCAAAGTTGTTGAGCATTTCCCACTAACTTTTCCAGTCCTGTAACTAACTACCTGACCCTTTAAATCTTTTCTCAAGGTCATTTGGGAAGATAATTGGGTGGTGCAGAGGGGAGAAGCATACAGAAGTAAGAGCTGATTATTGGAAGCAGGAAGTCAATCTCATTATTTATCTCCCCATGAATGATGATGCCTAGCCTTTATATCTATATATATTACATTGGAAGCACATTTTCCTCTCAACAAATTCTGGGCAGTTTGAGCAGGGAATGTACTTCAAATGTGCTTTGAAAGTATAGTATGTGGAGCAAGACATTTTCACTGTAGTTTGTTTCTTTGCATGTCTGGCCGCTAGGTGCTGCTATTAGGTTAGGATACACACACACACACACACACACACACACACACACACACACATATATATTACCGACAAAATATTTTTTGTCACAATCTAGCTGCAAACATTTCCTCTTTCCTAAGACAAGTGTTCAGAACTGTACAATGTTCACCCAGTGGAATATCTCTTGTGAATATAAACAGGGCCAGTCCAGAATAAGGGGCCTGTCCATATGGCTATTGGTAGGAAATCATTATTAATCCAGAAGCACTTGGTGAGTTTCATGAAGCAACAGGTATCTCTTCACCTGACATTATGTCAACCATGTGAAATGGCGTTACAATAGTGCGGATTGGTATCCCTTTTAGCACAGGAAGATGAGATCAGATACAGGATTCATATTTTTGAAATTAAAACCTTCACATTTATTCTACTAGGCTAGATGTCTTCGAAAGTTACTTCAAATAAGAGAAAGACTTTCTCAATTAACTATCCACAACCATTGGTACTATGTATTGTGACTTGAAGCAAATTGTTTGACCTAATAAACTTGTCCTGCATTCTTGATCAAAAGCAAAAGCAGTGTGTAGAAACATATCAGAGGCACTATTTAGGCATGGAACAATTGCCCCACATTCCACGTTACATTGCACATGTATTTATTTTTGTTTTTTGTTTCAATTGTATTTATTAATTTCATTTATATCCCACCCTGCCTCCAAGGAACTCAAACATGGTTCTGCCCCCCCCCCCCCCCATTTTATCTTGCAAGGTAGGCTAAGTTAAATGAGAATGACTGCTCAAGGACACGCAGTAAGCCAGGAACCGATGGTGCGGAGCTGCAGAGCTGCCATCCCAAAACTGGCATTGCTGCAGCTTACCTGGATGCTATGGAGGTGGGGTTATGACAGCAGTAAGAACAGAGTTGTGCAGGCACACCAGCAATAGCACCAGATTGGCTCTGCCGGCAAGTTTACATAGCCCCCAGTCTCATCATCATTCTGCCCTGAAGCAGCTCTGTAGCTGGTTGTGCAATAGCCACACTGGAGTGGCTCATCCAGTGGGGTGCAGAAGCAGCAGCAGAGGTCCCAACAGCAGTGTCACTGCTGTTTACTAGGAGGGTACGGTTGAAGTAGTGGTGAGGTTGGGGCCATGCAGGTAGGCTAGTACCGGATCAGCCTCAACCACACTGCCTCCTCCTCCTGATAAACAGCAGCAACACTGCTGCGGGGAGGCTAGTGCTGTGCCTCAGCCCTATTAGATGAACTGTTCTTCACATCCTCCTGAAAGCCTGGCATGGCTCCCTTGAACCTCATTATCATCTAAGTGGAGTTGTGTTTCTACACGAGGCATGTATTGTGGAATAGTCACACTTTGTTCATTCACTGCAGTGGGTCAGTTTGTCTAGCTGTTAACAAGAAGACTGGTGGTTTGAGCCCACCCAGGGATGGCTGTGGGCAGGATTCCTGCATCACAGAGATTTGGACTAGATGATCCAGCGTGATGTAGTGGTTAAGAGCGGTGGACTTGTAATCTGGTGAACCGGGTTCGCGTCTCCGCTCCTCCACATGTAGCTGCTGGGTGACCTTGGACTAGTCACGCTTCTCTGAAGTCTCTCAGCCCCACTCACCTCACAGAGTGTTTGTTGTGGGAGTGGAAGGGAAAGGAGATTGTTAACCACTTTGAGACTCCTTAAGGGGAGTGAAAGGTGGGATATCAAGTCCAAACTCTTCTTTTTCATCCTCAGGATCCCCTCCAACTCTACAAATCTGTGTTTCTATGATACAAGACATCTACACGACATCATCCAATTGCTGCATTCCTGTGTTCCTCGCCCCCGTCCCGCTGCTTCCATCTTTTATAGACTGTTGAAAATCTTATTTTCTTTAAAAGAACGGCAGTAGCACAACCTTCATAGGTGTGGATGACCCTTTTTATTGCTCTTTTGGCTTTTTCAAGATGTGTGTAGTGACATACTGGGCAAGTGAGTCTATCACCTTCACTGTTACCTTTCCAGTCAGCACCATATCAGCTGCATATTTTAGTTACCGTATTTTTTTGCACCATAACACTCACTTTTTTCCTCCTAGAAAGTAAGGGGAAATGTCTGTGCGTGTTATGGAGCGAATGCCTGCGGGTGGCGGAGGGGGATCTGCTGCAGTCGTGAGCAGAGGATCCATGGTTCCCCTTCCTTCCCTCCTCCATGGTTACAAAGCATGGATCCACATGGATCCTCAGGATTTTTGCATTGGGCTACTCCAAACTCACTGTCAGATCACATGTCTGTGGCCACAGCATGAACCACTAAAATCATATTTCCACTATTTTGTTTAGAATATTTTTTTTCTTGTTTTCCTCCTCTAAAACTATGTGCGTGTTATGGTCTGGTGCGTGTTATAGAGCGAAAAATACGGTAATCTTTTAATATTATTACTGATACATTTCTTATTATTAAAATATTTGTACAATAGCGTTTAAATAAAATAGGATGATTGCATAAATTTTAGAAACTGCATTGTTATTTTAAAAGGGAAAATTGCCATTCTGTTTTTCCTGCTCACTACTATTTTTATCACTGTGTTGTTGTTTTTAAAGTTTATTTTCTCTTCTACCCTTTAACACTGAAGTAATTGTGGAATACTGCTGAAATTCAAAAAGTACTTCAGCAGGTAGAGGCTAATAGGCGTTGTAGTCCAAAACATCAGGAGGTCACCAAGTTGGCAAAGCCTGGATTAATGTGTTGTAAGTCTTCTCCTTAAACTGTTAACAAAAAATTGTCAGTGAAGGATGTATTACAAGGGAATGATGTAGAGCTGATAGTTGTTCTTTGGGAAGCCATTCAAAATGACCAGGGGTTTCATTATTTCATTGTTTTCACTTGTAACAAATATTCTGCAGTTTGGTAATGATAACTAGGAACAGCCTCACCTCAAACATTAACCTTTAATTAGAAAGTACTGTACAGGAACTGGAAATTTTTAAAGAGTACCAAGCATCATTGGGTTTGCAGCATTCATGTGCCTTACCTGAAATCATTGAGCCCAGTTTGGATTTCACATGGCTGCAACTCAAAGCAGTAACAATGACATAAAATTCACAGATTAGAGGGCTTGTTGTATTAACTGCCTGTTTCATTAAGTGCTTAACATCTCATCCAATTGACTATCCACATAATACAAGCAGCAGAGCTTATCATAAGCAGTACATCATCACCAAAAACTGCGATTAGGAGCTAATATTGTTACAGAATGGTGCTTGTGATATCAGAAAACTGTAACAACCTGCACATTACATGTTGCAGAAATAATGAAGTATGATGATAACAACCTGTATGTATGCATGCACACACACCTTACCCAGTACCACCCACAGAAGCAAACATAAATAGAATCCGGGTCTTTTCCGCTACAGCGAAGCGGGGACCCTTTCAGAAATCACAGGCGGATGAAGCCTGTGACCATGGGACTCGGCGGGCACCCTTAGCGCCCCCCCAACCCGCAAAGGAACCCACTAACGGGCTCCAAAGCGAAGAGGGGGAAGTGGCGTGGTGCTGAGAGTCAACTGCTTTTTCCGTGGAGCGAAGCCGCATAGCCGTTGCCGGAGAGCGCTGCCTTTTTCCTGGGACAATTTGACTTCTAAAATAATCACCCGTGAGTACTTAAATTTTGGACAATTGGACTTTAAATAAGGACTTGCGAGCAGAAAGGAATTGGACTTAAAAATTTACTTCAATTTGGCACTGAAACGGGAAGGTCTAAACAGGAAGTCAGCCTTCCGTTTCTTTGTAGACAGAATAAAGCAAAGACAAGGTAAACTAGAGCTCAGAAAATCGCTTCTAAAAGATTAACTTTCATCATTTAAAATTGTTGAACCCCCCTTCGGAAGCAGGAGAAGAAGGGGATCTTGTCGGACTGTTTAAACCTGCAGAAGTGAGTTTAAAGTAAAGTAACTTTCCACCGTCCTGATCCTGGAGCGGGGTGTCAGGACTGACGTTTGAAGCTCATTGACCAGAGACAAACGTTTTTGACAGATAGCTAAAAGAAGAGAAACATAGTGATTCCACTGTTCCCTTTCACATTTTAAAGGAACAAATATTGACAAAATATCTGAAAAAGGAAACTTTGTTGTTAGATTTGTCCTTAAAAGAAAGAACAAATAGAAGTTTTCCCCCTAGAGGAGACTGTGAAACTGTAACCAATTCCAGGGAGCTTGCAGCTGTTACAGATTACAATCGTGGGAAATAGACTTTTGACCTTGTAGGACAATGTATTCAGAAGCTCTGTTGTGTGCTCTCTGTAAAACAAATGCCCTACTGGAACAGTTAAATGAGAAGACGGATTTGATGACTAATGCGGTCAGAATTTTTGAACAGGCAGTGGGAAACTATATGGAGCCCACCCAGGAACTAAAACAAGAGTGTGCCCTGACAGAACAGATGAGAGAAGAGGACGTTGCTGAATCTTGGGCGCCAGAGATGGAGGGAGCTGTGGCCCTGCAGGAACATGAGCTTTTGGATTTGACAAATGAACTTGGAAAAGCCAGATTTGGAAAGATAAAGTTTGGACTGGTTTGGAAATGGGGGGTTGGATAGACCCCCCTATGCAGGGATGTTTGGACTTTCCAAGTCTGGCAATGGGCCGTGAGATGTTTGGGGCTGTGGGGGCTCTTAATTTTGGAGGGATTCTGAAACATGTTTTTAAATACCACATGGAGTTTAGTCTGGACTATGGAAAAGGGGCTGATTTGTTGAAAAGGGTCAAAAACACTACCAAGCTGGAGTTCCCACTAGTGAAAGGAGAATATGAAGAAGAGCCGCGGAAGGGACATGGAAGAGACTTAAGGGCCTCAGATATAAGGTTACCAGGTTAATGCGCTAGATCAATGGGATAAAAAGGACTGATAAAATCCGGGACCAGGAGGAAGGGACGCTGGATGAAGATTGGATTGTTTTTATTTCTTTTTTCTTTATTATTAGGATTGTTTTATAAAATTGATGAATGTTAGAAAAATGTTGGAATGAAATTACTTGGCTCTAGTGAAAATGTTTAAAGAATTAGGTAAGAATATTATGGTTATGAGAAGTTGGTAAAAATAAGATTTAAGTTTTAAGTTTTAAGGTTTTCTATAAGATAAGATGAAAATAGATTAAGGTAATGTAATGACAGAATATTATGAAATATGGAAAGGATTTGCTGCGATAATTAATAACCAGGATACAAAAAAAGGGAGGAGGAGGAGGTCAAAGAAAGAAGGTAATGAAAGTTGAGGATTCGAGAATGATGGTTTTGTTTTTGTCTGTTTGTGGTGTATTTTTGTTTTTGTTTTTGTTTTAATTAGTATTGTTTGATGTGCTTTGTTTTTTCTTTGTTTTCTCTTTTTCTTTTTCTGCTTGTTCTTTTTTGTAATTCTAAAAAATTTTCAATAAATATCATTTAAAAAAAAATAGAATCCAAATAAATAGAATTCACCTTGTTTATGATGGGCACACATTCACACTGGCTTTCCCTAAACTCCCAGGGAGTTGCTATTATCTATCCCTATTTTCTCTTTTGAACCGTGGCCCTAGTTAGGCGATACAGCTCTGGGAAGCTTTCCCACTCTTCAGATACTTACTCTGTTACTGTGCATTTGTTTAATTAATTGCTCATTTTGTTCTCAGGCTGTTGTGTTGGCCTGGTGTGTTTAAGGTATGCATGAGTGCCTAAAAGGTGACAAGCCTCTGAAGGATGACTCTGTCCCTTTCATTTATTTATATGACTTAGGCACATGATCCCCTGTTAATTGCAGGCACTGTTAGCTTAGTGTGACTTGAGATAATGTAGTGTTGGCTCCAGGCCTCTTAGCTGGCCGTACGCTGGTATATTAACTCAAGCCTATATCATCAAGATCCAAACCCCAAAAGTGGCAGGCGTTCTCCTGCAAAATGGGCATGCGAGTTCTAAAAATGTTTATTCTTCATTTGGCATTGGAGGCAGACAGGTTGAAACTAACCTACAGGCGAGTTCAGAAATTGCAGAAATCATATTAAGGACAAGGTGTCAAAAGGCATAAGAACAGAGTGTCTGTTCATAGAGAAAGCTTAGCATACCCAAAGAACCCACATCCAAGCACAGGACGATGTTAATAATATTCCCTGAAGGCAATTCTAACTCGCAAGTACAAATCAGACGATCAAGCAAGTGGTTGTTTACTAGTCTGGCATCGGCCATCAAGACTAAGACTTGCACTCCATGCCAGCAAGTGTGATCTATCAATGGCCACAGGCTTCTGGATGTGGATCCCTGCATTGGAGGCAGAGGAAACGGGTGCTACAAGGGAGAAAAACGCTTCAAGCAGCTAGGATCCAAATATTATGCTCTTATTCAGGAATGGGAATATTTTAACAAGCCTGCTCAAAGATGGTAGTGCTGAGCATCCTGTTGTATATGAGGGCCTCTAAATCTTTCAGAGGGTTGCATGAGTTGTTAAGGTATTTTAAAATATTTATTCCTTCATTGAAAGTTATAGCCACTGTAATTAATGTTGTTGTTGTTGTTCCCCACCCATCTGACTGGGTTGCCCTAGCCACACTGGGTTGTTTCCTACAGAATATAAAAACACAGTAAAACATCAAACATTAAACATTTTCGCATGCAGGACTGCCTTCAGACATCTTCTGAATGTCATATAGCTGTTTATCTCCTTGGCATCTGATGGGAGGGAGTTCTACAGGGCAGGCACCACTACCGAGAAGGCCCTCTACCTGGTTCCCTTTCTTTCTTTGCAGCACTGCAATCTTCAACATACTTATCTGAATGTAAGGCCCCAACACTGCTTACCTTGGAGTAAGTCCAATTGAACTCAGTGGGACTTATTTCTGACTACTCATGAATAGGATTGCCCTGCCAGCTTCAATGAAATCTGCAAGGATAAACACTTAAGGATTGCACTCTAAATCCCAAATAAACATAGTTAGGATTTGGTTGTACTTATTTACCTGCTAGTAAGCCCTACTGAATGCATTGGGAGTTACATTTGAGTATACCTGTATAGCAGGGATAGCCAAAGTGCTCCCCTCCAGATGTTGTTGGGCTGATGGGAGTTATAGTCCAACAGCATATGGAAGACATCATTTTGGCTACACCTGAAGTATAGGATTACATTTGTAAACCAGCCTGTCCTAAACTTTAATCACCAAATGCTAGTTTAAATTCAGGGAAATGACCTCAACATCTGGAAAGTGCTCTGACTTGTTGTGTTTTCAAAGGAAGGACTAGGGAGCAGCCACATACAGTTATCTCTGCACCGTATACAGTGGTACCTCAGGTTACATACGCTTCAGGTTACAGACTCTGCTAACCCAGAAATAGTGCTTCAGGTTAAGAACTTTGCTTCAGGATGAGAACAGAATTCGTGCTCCGGTGGTGTAGCGGCAGCAGGAGGCCCTATTAGCTAAAGTGGTGCTTCAGGTTAAGCACAGTTTCAGGTTAAGAACAGACCTCCAGAGCGAATTAAGTACTTAACCCGAGGTACCACTGTATATTTTTTTTGTTCAAACTATTCCATGGAAGCCTGGAGTTCCTCAATGAAGGAAGTAATGTTCTTTGTTCATTGGATTTATATCTTGATTTATCATAGCTTCAAGATGGCTACAATAATAAAACCCCAGTAGCATCAAAATTTTATTTTCCATGTTGAACATGGAGATGGTCCATTATAGACAACCACAGTTTGAGACACAGACCCCCTAAGCAGTGGGGCTAATGTTAACTCCTCCTTCACTGCAGATTTCCTTTCTACATGGTCTGTGCACAGAATGAATACTCTGGAACAGCTACCCTGGAAATTAGGATGGTGCCAACAATTTTTAGGCATCTACTAAATACTTTTTTTATTCAACCAGGCTATTCCAGGGCAGCACAACTGGATATTGTTCCTGCTGGTTTTACAGATAGATTTAATGTGGGGTTCCCACCCCCCTTTAACTTTGTACTTGGTTTTTATTTTAAAAAATTTGGTATGCCATAACAGTCTTTTTGAAAGGTGGGTGGTTTATCATTTTTAAAATAAAATAAACTAATATAAAAGGAGCATATTGGCTATTTTGGCTATCATTCAGTATTCACTAGAGGCTGGGAGGAAACCCCCCCCCCACCTCAATTGATCTCTATTCAACATGAAGATGAGATGCATATCTGTGAGCAGCAGGGAGTTAATTACATTGATGATATGCCGGCAATGTAAATAACACCTGCTGCCTCAGCAACTGAATACTATCAGTTATAACCACACCAGTATGTTTTCACAGTTACATATTACTAGTGGTATGGGCACACTATAGATCCGATAAACACACCCTTGTTACATTGTGCACTAGATTCTGTGTGACTAGGGTTGCATACGGATGACCAAAAGATATCCACCTGGGTCTCAATTTCTTTCAATGCAGCAGACGCTATTCTAATTATAATTAGGGTGACATTATTTACTGGGGTAAATAATACTTTAACACACAATGCTTCTTCCAGGAAGGTTGCTGACTTTGTGTAATTTCTGTTAAGGTGGTCAGGTACCACTCAGCAGAGCATGTGATAGATAGATGAGATTAGAGTTTTAAAAATGCCAGGATCAAATGGCCGTTTTCTGTTACTGACTTCCAGACAGCTGAGATAGAGCTCAGATACGACTATGATATGCACCGTAGAAAGGTTTACAACTGACATTTGTCATTGAGAAGCCACTGAATAAACCATCTACTCCTTACACAACAGTGTAGTACAGATGCTGAAATATCAGCTATCATCTTTTGATTGACATTTCTAGCTACACTGATCCCTGTCTCGTAAGATCTGGTGACTGCCCACTATTCACGCTCATCGTCTTTAAATATCTTGGGAAAGTAAATGGATCTACATTGTCACAGAAGTACATTTATTTTTCCTTCCTTAGTTGTGCTCCAAGGAAACCAAACATTAACCATTTACGAGAACATAAACATGCATACTTTCCCTTGCATTCAGTCTCAGACATTGAAGCTTACACGCCACTGCACAACCACACACCTTCAGAATGTATCTGAGAGAATTGTTTTGTGAAAGCACTTCCACGTCATTCGTTCATTAAATTTATTGGTTGCTTTTTTGCCACAGCAATTCAAAACGACTTACAATATTGTAAACAAACACTTAATACATTAAAACTGGAATTTAAAAAAAATATATCTTAAGGGCAATTCTGTTTTTAAAAAGCTACGTAGATTAAAACTTACCACTCAACTTTGTTGGACTGGTCATGATTATCTTCTTCCAAAGCAACTACTCTGTTCCCAACTTAAGAATGGAAAGTGAAATACCAGTGGACAACAAAAGAGGTTTAAAGTATAAGCACTGATAATTGGGAAATACTGGCCTGTGAGTGCTCCAATAGCCTCTACCAAAGCATCATGGACTTTGAAGAAGCACAAAGTCAGGCCGAAAGGGAGAAACGAGCTAAGAGGAAGGCACGGCTGGCAGATCCTCACCATGATCAACTCCCTTCTAGAAACCTACCGTATGTCCTCACTGTGGAAGGACGTGTGGATCCAGAATTGGCCTCCACAGTCACTTACAGACTCACTTTTAAAACCGTGTTTCTCTTCGAGTGATTGCCAAAGAAGATTATTTTTTATGTTTTAGTATTGTAAACTGCCTTTTGATCCTTAGATCACGGGGGGGGGGTGTTATATATTTAATAAATAAATACATAAATCATTGGCAAGCATTTATCAGTCAGAGTTTACAGCACTGAGCTAGGTGTGCCCATGAACTACCTCAGTATAATTTAAGGCAGGTTCAAGTGCCTTGCTCTTTCTTTTTGAAGGGTTAGTGAGTAATCATCTGCATGTGTCCATAAGCACCGTCTTTCATGTACTAAAAATAAAAGCTTTGGAAGTGTTTGGACCTCTATATCCTGCATATATATATATATATATATATATATATTCCTTTAATGTGAACTGGGACCTGCCTGTGCACATAAATAAATAACTATGAATTGACTGCAATCAGGTGGGCTGTCCCCTGCAAAATAAATAAGAAAGGCTGGATGAATTGTATGAACAGAGCTCACTTGCCATCAGTTGTGTGTACAGGCCTCAGTTCATACTGCCAGTTCTGTTTGTTGTGAGCTCAAAGTTCACTCCCAAGCCTCAGCGCATGTGAAAACTGTGTTGAGCCCACATGTAAACTGGACCTAAGAGATGTGTGACGGTTCTGTGTTTGAGAACGTATTGTGTAGGTTCAGTTATAAGAACATTATCTTTCAAAAAGCAGGCAGGAGGTGTGCAAACAGCCTCTCAGCAGCTTCTGCTGGAAGGGTGTTCAGTAGCAAAAGTGAGTGAGAAGTGATTACTTGAGTCTGTCATCTCCTTTGGCATCTCTGCCGTCGAAATCCTGGCACTCTTTCCTCAGAGGCCAGCTCTTGGCTGCCCCTGGCATCGCTGAACAATTGCTTTGTGAGGCTGTGTTTAGACTTTGGACTGGTGCCTGGTTTTCAAATCCGACGCACTTTGTGCAGTGAGTTAAGGTGCCCCCTGAAGGATTTCCTCCCTCCGCCTGCTGCTCAATCCCTGGTGTCACTGTTCCACAACAGGCTGAGACTACAAAGCTTGAGGCCAACAACTTCTCCATTACCTCTCAGGTAACAGTCAGCTCTTCCGATCAGATGCAGTCTCAAGAAGTCCCTGATAATGTGGTGTGCATTCCAGATTCCACTTCAATTATTCACACCGGGATTGTACTTCAGTATCTTTCGCTCAGATAGTCTCTATCTCACTTTTCTTTCTTGCTTCTCTTTTTAAATAAGACATGCCCCGCGCTCAAACATAGAGAAGAGTCATCAGTATTTATCCCTCAGCTTTAGTTTCTACCTCTTTTTTAAAAGAATAAATCAGTCTGAGATACATTCCATAAACTGTCTGAAAAACAATATTGTCTAGAGATACCGATCAAATATGTCTTTCCTAAGTTTTTATGTCCTTCCCCTCCTCCACTTGCTCAAAGATGGCTACAGCTAAAAATTGGGGCAGCAAACATTGTGGCCTGGAGTTAGTTAACCAATTGAGGCTGCAATCCTTACCATATTTACACAAAGGCTGCATTCACACATCAGTTTATTCCATTTTCCCGACGTTTCCCTAGCTGTTAATTTCCACTTTATATTTGAGCTTTCACGTGAAGTAAAAGCCACTTCCAAAAAAATAGTGGAATATATTGCAAATTTAGCACTCATTTCCATGTTATTTGCTTTAAACAAAATTCCATTTTCGAATAACATGGAAATGAGCAGTAGACCTGTGCTATATTACACTATATTTCTGGAAGTACCTTTTATGTAATATGAAAGCTCAAATATACAGTCGTAGAATCACAGAATTGGAAGGGACCACAAGCGTCATCTAGTCCAACCCACTACTCTGCAGAAATCTCAGCTTAAAGCATCCATGACAGATGGCCATCTGATTTAAAACCTTCAAGGAAGGAGAGTCCATAACCTCCCAAGGGAAACCATTCCGCTGTCAAACAGCTCTTATTGTCAGAAAGATTTTCCTGATGTTTAGTTGGAATCTTCTTTCTTGCAACTTAAAGCCATTGGTTCGAGTCCTACCCTCCGGCGCAGGACAAAACAAGCTTATTCTCCCTTCCATGTGACAGCCCTTGAGATATTTGAAGATGGCTTTCATATCTCCTCTCCGTTTCCTCTTTCCCAGGCTAAACATACCCAGCTCCCTCAACCACTCCTCATAAGGCTTGGTGTCCAGACCCTTGATCATCTTGGTTGCCCTTTTCTGCACACATTCCAGATTGTCAACATCCTCCTTAAACTGTTGTGTCCAGAACCGGATATAGTATTCCAGGTGTGGTCTGACCAAGGCAGAATAGAGCGGTTAATAATGTGGAAATTAAATTAAGGAAACGTTGGGAAAACTGATGTGAGTGCTGCCTTATGCTATATTCCAGGTGTATCCAAAACCAGAACAAGCATCTCTCAGAATTACTTCCTTTAGATTCTCAGACAAAACTGAAGAGAATCATTGCAAGCCTATTATCTCTGAGTACCAATTATGCCAGGAAGCTGGACAAACAAAACCCATTGCTTCATTATGTCAAAAACCATTGAGGTCTACTGAGCTTAAATTCCTCTACGTTCAATGGGACTCTGCTCCTTAATAAAGTGCCTAAGATTTCAGCCTTACCAGATCAAGAGGGATTTATTTGTTCTGTCACTATCCAGTGAGGGGCAAACATTTCTAACGTTAAAAATTCAATGAACTATTAATACATAAAAAGCAAGTTGAAACACGTAAAAGGAAGATGAGCCCTAAATACTTTAATGATGCATTTTTTCAGTCGTAAGAGTGAATCCCTGGTGCTGGCCCCTCTTGGCAGTAGCAGGTTACAGTCTGAAACTGCTCTTTGACTGACAGCTCCTTAGATACAGCAAGACTGGCAGAACCCAACTACAACCCATCACTCTGTCTAGCCTTGGAGTCACTTTGGTCAGCAGTGGCCTGAGCTGAACAAAAGAGTAAGGAGACATTTGAGGAAAACACCATGCAAATTTAATGGTGTTCCAAGAAGGCCAAGCATAACAGACGAGAGCCAAGATCTCCCCATTCCCTACCCCCAGCCCAGTACATTCATGAATACTTTTATTTATAATACACAGAAGCACACAGCGTAGAGAAGGCATAGGCAAACTCAGCCCTCCAGATGTTTTGGGACTACAACTCCATCATCCCTAGCTAACAGGACTAGTGGTGAGGGATGATGGGAGTTGTAGTCCCAAAACATCTGGGGGGCCGAGTTTGCCTGTGCCTGGCGTAGCGATTATGGTGACATGCACGCACAAGTGTGCAAATGCTGTAGGAAAATCCTAGCACATATACGGACAAGTGTATAACTGTCTAGAAAGTTAGGATGCATGATAGTCACCAGATTAGTATCTGAAATAGCTGCAGCCTGATGATGAAATGTGCTGCTGATCATTTCCATAATCCAAAACTGTAGACATAGGAACGACCCCCAGGATAGACACGAGAAGTTGTTATTCACATCACTGAAGCAGCCTACCCATTCCTTCCTTCCTCCAGAGCTCAGATCATTGGCATCAGTGCAGTGGCCTGACATACAGTAATCTGTAGGGGCAGCTAAAGAACAAATCTTGCTTGTAAACCTGCACTGGGCATGGGTACCAACCCTGAGCCGACGCAGACAGTGATCCATGCCTGGTCTGGCAGGCCTGCTGTTTGTTTTAGTTAGTGATGGACTGTGCATGCTGAGCACCATTAAAGTGCAGTCTAATAATTCATTTAGCTGGTGTGAAAGTGCACTACTGATAAAGCACAATATCGTGCATGTGTAATTGTTTTAAATAGTGTGCATGTGTAATTGTTTTAAATGGAAAGGCAAAAACATATGTGTGTGGTATGATGTGCACTGCCCATCAGAAGGTGCCACTACTCTTGCCAAAACTTGAGCATCTGCGGAAGAGGCATCAGAAAAGCAAATAGCTGTGAATTTTTGCTGTTTAATACTCATAGCCATTCTTTGGAGTACAGGTCTACTGGATCAAAAAGAGGAGGGCAGAATTCCATCTGTATGCAAAAAGTACAAACTATGCAGGGGACCATTCTGCTATGCTTAACTGATGGATAGCTAGCAAGCTACCTCTCTCTGCACTATCAAGGCAAGCTAAGGGGATGCAACAAAATGAGGGCAAAATATCTTGTTCTACTTCTTCACAAGGACATCTTCTAAGATCTTGGGGATGGGTGGAGGAGATGAAGGCCCTGTAACCATCTTATCTGATTTAGGGAGGTGTCTTTACAAGGGGTGGGATGGAGAGGGGGTAGTAAGAGGATCTGTTCTGTCTCTTTAATAAATAAAGAATTTGGGTGACACAAGACCTTCTTGTATCCAATGGAGAACATTTCTTCCCTTGGGAACCTGAAGCTCAGTTGTTATTAAAAATGAAAATCTGTTTCTGCCTTGCAACTAATTTTGTAGAAACAACAAATGCTTAAAAGGAGCAGAGGAGGAAAAGGAGCGAAAGGACAGAGGAGCCTTCCTGACACAGGGATCTGTGACTAACAACCTAAGAACAGGCAGGACAAAGAAAAAGGGTGAGCTGCTCTCGTTCGTTTCTTTTACACATGGTATATTTCCATTTTCACGCACAGTGTAAAGGATGTGTCCCAGCAGCTGTGCCAGCCAATTCTATGCATGCTTACTCAGAAGTAAGTCCCACTGAGTATTACTGCCTACTCCATAGCACAAACTATAATTTCAGAGAACTGCTTGGTGCCATTGTCTGGAAAATAAGCTTCCTCCTATTACTCCTAGCGTCACTTCCAGATGACTTGTTTAAAGAGCATTCAGCCTGATTTGTTTGTGGGGAGATTATAAAACCATGGGCCCAGCAAGTGTTAACCGACACTGTTCAATCCATTTCCCTGTCAATTTCTGCATTGGCGATAGATCTCTGGAGAAAGCAGGTTTGTTTTACAAGACCTCCAAATCTTCTTTAATTGCAGTGCTTAAATCTGCCAGTTGTGACTGAATCTCATCCCAAAAGTGACTGCTTGGAAGCGCCCTTCGGCCAAAGAAGCTTTTAGTATTTATGGGAGTGAAAGTTAAATCAAAGGCCATTAGTAGTGGCTTCAAAAAAACCACACGCTAGCTAACAAAGTCACCCCATGTATGTCTGATCAGAGGTAAGTTCCCCTCAGAGTTCACTGAGACTTACTCCCAGTCCCCAGTAAAGTGTATATACTTTGTCAAGGACATTCTGAGATTTTCATATTTGTTTTCAGCTTCCTTTTGGTTTTCACATTTAGGATTAGGTTGGAGAACCTTGCAGAAAAGGGTGCTGTGAATCCCCAGTGAGAACGGAGGAACTTTTCCATAGTCACACTTCACTGCTACAAAGATTAGGTCTTTAATTTATGTTAGCACCTTGAGTAAAGCATAACGAGATGAAATGATAGTAAATTTACAAAAAATTTAGGAAAGGGGAAACATTAGTGCACAACAGACAGTCAAAAAAGCAGGCATTTGTATATGCATAACACTTTTGAATGGGAAAATGGGGAGAGCATTTTACAAATTTACTGTTATCCTACATTAAAACTTAAGGGGGGTTAAAAAATAAATATGCAATACACTTAGGTCAAAACAGACCCTCTCCTTCACTCCTTTCCATGCATTGCTAGATGTGTTGCTAACTATGTCTTTTAATTTAACCTGAAGGTTTTTAAAAATGCAAATTGCATCAACTTGGCGTGGGGCTGAGAATTAATTGTTTCAGAGCATGCATGGAGGGAGAATTTAGCTCTTTCCTTCCGTTCTATGTTCCTGAGTAAAATCCCTCCTCTGATGATAATATCTGCTTTGGGAGGAAATCTCCCACTGATGCCAAACCTACATACATTTATTATGGTATAAATCACATTCAATGTAATGGAGTAAATATGCTTTACAATTGTGTTGTAATGACCTTAAACCAAAATACTGTAGCCTAATTGATTGCCGGGTTATAATCATAGTGCATTTAAATTATTAATAGATTGATTCCTTCTATTTCTGATATTTGAATGCTTATTTGTCATCCTTAGTCACTATACAGTGGTACCCTGGTTCTCAAACTTAATCTGTTCTGGAAGTCCATTCCAAAACCAAGGTGTGCTTTTCCATAGAAAGTAATGCAAAATGGATCAATCCATTCCAGACTTTTAAAAACAACCCCAAAAAAAGCAATTTAACATGAATTTTACTATCTAACGAGACCAATGATCCATAAAATGAAAGCAATCAATGTACTGAAGTCACACAATCAATCAATCAATCAATCAATCTGTAGCTGAACTGGGTTCCACACAGTCACAAAAACAAAACAAAAAAGCCGCAAAAACAAAAAACTCAAAATAAATAGCAAAAACAGAAAGACCCCAGCGTAACACTCAAAATGGAGGTGTGGGACTCAAATCAGAAGTGAAACGCTCAAAACAGAGCACGTTTGGCTTCCGAAAAAAGTTCACGAACCGGAACACTTACTTCTGGGTTTGCAGTGTTTGGGTTCCAAGTTGTTTGAGTACCAAGGCGTTTGAGAACCAAGGTACCACTGTACTGAGTAAGGGCTCGTCCACACTTCCCCTTGTCTTGTGAGTAGAAAGCATGGGTCCGATTGCTTCAATTCAGTGGTAAAGAGCGGGTTTTCCATGCGGGAAAGCAGCGGGACAAGTGGGCGTGCGCAGGAGGCCTAAGGCTTGGTTCATACAGAACACTGCAAAAGCATCTACCAATCCTGTTAACTTGGGAGAGAAAACAAAAAAGAAATTGCATTCTCTAGCCAGTGTAGGTATCACATTTTAACTGCTGCCACGAGAAACACAAGAAGCCAATTTTTAACCATGTGAAAAAAGCCCAAATTTGATCCAGATTGCAAAATCTTTTTCCAAAAGCATAAAACATTACCAACGATCGAGAAATCTGGCCTGCAAAATTAGGAAAGCAAAGGACAGAAAATCAGGAGGCAGAAATCTAAAACTTGCTGGAGATATTTAAGCAGAGGCTGAGTAGCCATGTATCAGGGATGCTGTAGTCCCATCCCACAACATAGTTCCATTGTAGACCCTGCATGGAATGGGAGTCTGGACTCGATGACCTCGAAGATTACTACCAGTTCCGTAATTCTATGAGAACAGATGAGCTTGTAAGGAACAGGGCCACAGAGGAAATGCTGTTTAAACAATATGCATACTTTTCTGGATCTTATCCAATGGTTACTTTGTGCTGGCAGAAGAACGGCTTGCACACAGTAGAACCGGGGCTGCCAACAGGATTTTCTGCATCCAGAATTGGACCAGAATTGGCCCTCTGTGGCACTCAAAGAAAGGATAGAAATTTGCCTACTCTTGCAAATGTGTACCCTCTTTTGTAGGTGGGGGTGGCAGGCCCAAGGAAATAGTATGTCTGACAGATATGTCAACAGTTGAAACTTCCCCTTGGTTGTATTTCTACACCGAAAACGATTTCCCTGTTCAATTTCTACTTGCCACCCAGCTGTTAAAGGGACAAAGGCCCTGTTCCCCTACTCCATATCAGCCTTAAACCATGAAAATAACTCAGGTGTCTCGAGTTGTGAACCAGTTATTACTGTAGGTCTTCCACCAATCGATACAGGCAACGGCCATTTTGCATGGGGGTTCTGTTCACAGCCCCCACCCTCATTTTGTCTTCTTGACTGGATACGCCTACCTACAATGGTCGCCACTTGTACTACATCCAATGCAAGATCAAACGTGGTATTTCAGATGGAGGGGCTGAAAAATAATAATAAGATTTACAGCAATCCACATGCTCCTGCTTGGATACATTCAAGTTTGAAAATGGTAAAAAGGCAAGCTGTATATTGTAAGATGATTTGTGATTATTTATTAATAGATCATAATAAGAACAGCAATGTTGTCACACAGATGAAACAGTCACTATGCCCCTTTAAGGGTTTATACCACAGGCAGCAATTGCCTTAGGGATGCTAAAGCAATTAATCACCCCTCCCTCCATCCTACTGCTACAATTCAACTTCAGCAACCCACAAACAAACACACACAGCTCTCCCCCTCCCCCACTTCTGAACTAATGTGTTTGCCTGGTTTTGATATTATTAACCATTGGAAGTGGATCAGACTTGGATATTCTTTCTCCAATACCGTATTCTGAATGTTTGTGTGGACAGACAATTCTGGCTTCTAGGATCAGTTACTGCTAGCAAGGTGCCAACAAACAGGGCTGCATTTGTTCATTGTGGAAGCTCCAGCGCAATGAAAAGCAACCGCGCAAGAGCGCTGTGCTTGTGCTGTTTCCATTCATCCTGAATGGGTCTTGCGCGTGCAGGAAAACTTCTCAGCCGATTGTTTCCTTTTGTCTCCCCTCTGCTATTGTGGCAGCTTCGTTATCGACCTTGAGCAAAACCACCGCTGCACAACTTGCTTCAATTCCCTGTTTTCTCTTTCAGACACACTGTCTCAGTCTTGGTTTGGGTCTATTTACTCAGAGCCAATGCTTAACAATGACTAATTTCCTCAAGGAATTCCTCCGAGTCCATCCTTTCATTAAATCCCGCCATATCTCTCTGTAAATCATTGCAAGGCAAAATATCCTTCCAGACCTCTATTACTGCATTAGGCTGTCAGACGTGCAACTTTTACTTCTCATCTTAAGGTGCAGGCATCAAATCTTTTCCTTTGAGCAGTCTCACTAAAATCAGCGACCACAACCTACTCTTTACATTCTGCTTGCTTATTATACCTGGGGTTGCCAACTTCGTGCCTGTGGGTGTAACAATACCCTTCAGGTATTCCCCTTATGCCCACAAAAACTGAGTCCCCTTGATTATGAGGAGGTGAAGGTGGTGACTCTCCCCCCCCCCCCGTACATAGAGCTGAAGAAGGAAGTTGGAGAGTGCCACTCTTTTCCATTTCCTCTTTCAGCTCCCTGCGATTTTCTACCCTCAGATTAATTCTCCTGGATCAAACTACCAGATTGCTTGAAAAAGTGGCCCATGTGCCCATGTGTGCGCTTTCAGCAGGGGAAGGGATGTTCTGGCGAGTGGCCCGATTCGGGGAGGTGGGAGTGAAGTGCCAGAGGGTGGTGTCCACAGCACCTGCTCAAAAAATCCAGGTGTGCCCTATCAGGCTTAAAAAGGTTAGTGATCCCTGTACATAGGGACAGGGGGGCAACTACCCCCCCTGAATCAGGTAAATCAATAAAAACACAGTGGTACCTTGGGTTACAGACGCTTCGGGTTACAGACGCTACAGGTTACAGACTCTGCTAACCCAGAAATAGTACCTCAGGTTAAGAACTTTGCTTCAGGATGAGAACAGAAATCGTGCAGCAGTGGGAGGCCCCATTAGCTAAAGTGGTGTCTCAGGTTAAGAACGGTTTCAGGTTAAGAATGGACCTCCAGATCCCGAGGTACCACTGTACTTAACTAACTCTGGTTCCCCCCCCCCCAATAAATCCTGGCTATGCCCATGTCCCTGTATTATATAAGTTAGATGCCACCTTTCTTCCTTGATGGATTTAAGGTAGTACAGGTTGAATTCCCACCTGGACTCTCCTCCAGGAACCGAGAAGACCTAGACCTACCTTTAGCTTCAGCAAAGTGGGTGCATCATGTGTCTTCACCCCATGCCAGTGGAGTCCAAGGCTTGATGAAGCAGCTTCATCGCCTTGGCTCTGTAAATGAGACGGAGTCTGAGGAAAGTCTTAATAACCCAGTCTTTGTAGCATGCACCGCTGGGCTAAATGCCCACCTGCTATGAGTTACAGTGGTACCTTGGGTTAAGTACTTAATTCGTTCCAGAGGTCCGTTCTTAACCTGAAACTGTTCTTAACCTGAAGCACCACTTTAGCTAATGGGGCCTCCTGCCGCTGCTGCGCCGCCGGAGCCCGATTTCTGTTCTCATCCTGAAGCAAAGTTCTTAACCCGAGGTACTATTTCTGGGCTAGCGGAGTCTGTAACCTGAAGCGTATGTAACCTGAAGCATATGTAACCTGAAGCGTATGTAACCTGAAGTGTATGTAACCCGAGGTACCACTGTATTGAGTTATGAGCTGCCAAGATGTATCCCTTGCCCTCTCTCTGTTTGTGCAGTTCCAGGCAAGCATCAGAAACAGCAGATTTAATTAGCACCTGCAAGGCCACCCTATATGGCTGGACACATGGATTGCAAAAAAAAAGGAATACATCACAAAAACACGACATAAATTTGCACAAAATATGCATATACTAATGTGTTTGTGTGTGTGTAAACCTAGAAACAATACATCTCATCACTGTGGAGAAGACTGTGACCTGTGTCCCTGCTCAGTCTTCTATCCAGGTACTAACTGTTGATGGGCAACTTCAAGACCCCTGCTCTCCCTTCTTATGTGCATATATCAGGTGGCTGATGCTGAGGCGCAGGAATGGGCAGAGCTGTGGGTGCCACAGAACCCCTGAGCCAGCCTGCTGCCCTCAGGGGCATATAGCTGTCCTTTCAGCAGTGTTCAAGTAAGATTTAGTTGCCACTCTGATCAGCTTCTGTGTCCGAAATGGGGAGAGATGCCATCTTTGCCTCAGGCAGTAAAATGTCTTGAGCCAACCCTATTTAAGAAGGACTTTTGTGTGCAGCGTCTGTTCTCTTTTGTTTCTTCATTTTTTGGTGTTGCTTGATAGGGCTTTTCACAAAGGAGTCTCCCGAGAAATCTTTGCCCTGTTACTAACCTCTTTTGTTCCTACGGATCATTAATTTCCCCCCTCATATTAGGCACATCGGCATAAAAGCACATAAACACACATTTTAATGTGCTCCATTGTTTCCTTTAGTCTAGTAATGCACTGCTCAGACTTCAAAAGCCTCTGGGAGCCTCAAAAGCCCAAACAAACAATAGTTTGATTTGAAAATGACTGGCTGTTGTAGCAGAAGTCTGAAATCAGTTGCAGGCCCAGCCAAGAGCTTCCAGAGCATCTGTTATGATGGCACTGCTTTCAGAACTGGAACCAAGGCTGTCAAAAGTGGAGAATAATCCAAGGCTTTAAGCCCAGTGATATCTGACTAGCAAGATCAAATGCAATTTTGTTTTGCTGCATATCCATTATGTTGTAATTTGCATTCCATTCTTGTTAGTCATGCATTCTTTTCAATTCATTAGGATCACAACCATTAGGAATGGAAAAGGACAAATCTAAACAAGCTAGTGTCAGACCAGCAATTTTTCATAAAATTCAAGGTCAGTGGGAGACTGGGTGGGTGAAAACACTCTCAAAAGATTCCATTAATTGGCATATTATCATTTATATCAGGAATGGGAACCTGTGGCTGCCTAGGTGCTGTTGGGTTGCATCTTCCATCTTTCCTGGCCATTGGTCACACTGGCTGGAGCTGACGTGAGTTGGAGTCCAACATCTGCTGCAGTGCCACAGGTTCCCCAGCCTTGGATTATAAATTAATTAATTTAATTTGTTTAGGCAATTAAAAGATTGTATGATGTCTATTAGAAAATCCCCCACCTTTCTTTCTCTTTAAAAAAGGCAAAACTTAAGGGAAATAGTGCGGGTGGGATAAATGTGTCAGAGCCACCTGCTAGACAACACAGCCAGCTTCTGCTTCTAGCTCACCCAGAGAGATCTCACTGAAATAAGTTCTAGAAAAGAGTAAGAATATTTGACATCAGTGTGATGAGTATGCTTCTAGAAGAGCAGGACAACTTCCATTTTTAGGTGTTGTCCTAAAACCCACAGTTTTAAACTGGTTTCAGGTTGCCATAATTCTGGGAAGTGTAGCTTTGTGATTCTCTGTTCTTAGTCTCTAGCCACTTAATAAATAATCCCAGGGTTCCTTGTTTAGAATACATACTTGAAATCATTTGAAATTCCTGGTGTAGATCTGCAGCTGGATTTTGTGTAGAGCCTGGCTACTGGGAAAAAAGACCACCTTAAAAAGGTGATACAACTTTGATTATTGTGCCTGAAAGTTTGCCTTTAAGAAAGGTACAATTGTCAGATGTGAGTCTTCACTTTTATACCTTCGCTGAGATTTACAGCAAGGCCTGGTGTTTTTCTTTTGCCCCTTACAAAACAATATTCAGCATTCTTTTATTTCCAGTTCACAAGTGATTAAGGATATTCTTGCCTTGCAGTGTACAACTGTCAGAATCAGCTCCTGTTGTTAAAACATTTTTAATGGGATCAGTATTGGAGCCAGAATACACAACAACAGGGAAGAAACGTGTTTCCTACTCTAATGTTGATGATACCGGTTTTCAGTTCAGTACTTGTGACATGGAATAGTTGATTCAGCTGCAAAGGTTACACATGCCTTTTCCAGTGAATAGACAAATCTGGGACTATGCCCACAATTCCACTTGTCTTGTGCCTGAGCTGTTTTGACTTTGCCCTGCCACTGTCCCCTGGAAAACCTGCTCTTTACTGCTAAATCAGAGCAAACATCGATCCGGATAAAACTTGATTGACGTTTGCTCTGATTCGGCAGTAAACTGGGTTTGGTAGAGGTATGGATTAGCCCTTAGACTTAGACCCAGCACCCTGCCACTGACAGCCTCCCAGCTCTAAGGAAGTGCTGGAGCTGGGACCAGTTACATCATTCCATATCAGTATGGCCTAAATAATGTGTCTCTTAAGGGTTCTTAACAGCTGCAATTTCCTGCTATTTTGGAGCTTGAGTGAACATTCAAAGTCCTTAATACACTATGTTCAACTGAAAGGTTTTTTTATTGATTCTATTTCTTTACTAACATTGCAGGAAAACCACCACTGCAACTTTTATTATGCAGAGAGGTAGAATTCATCATGAAAACATAAATAATTATTTCACCTTTTGGGCCCTTGCCCAAACATTATGATTTGGGCTCCCCAAGCTGTAATTCTGAACAAAAATTACTGAAAGTAGCAAAACTGTATAGTGAGCTTGGTTTGGTGCATGTTACAGAGCTGCACAGATCACTATTATGCATGTTGAATCAGAAGTAAGTCCAACTGTGCTAGGACTCACCATGAACACCTCCCTTGTTCTCTTGGAATGGCAATGGCTTCTACTTCAGAGGTGTTGGAACTGAGTTCTGGCGAGTTCCAGCTGAAAAAAAGCCCTGCTCACTAGCAAAGGGATTCTAGGTTTGCAGCCTTGAGAGCACATAGCATTTAAGGCTTCCAGTGTAGTTGAGAGCATCAGAGGGTGCATGGCAAGTCTGGACATGCCTCTATCCCAGAAGTACTTCATAAGAGCAGCAAACTGAAGAGGGGAACTTCCTGACTACAATGTCGCTGTGACCTGGTTTTCTTCAGCAGATGGTCTTTCATATATGGTAAGTAAAGCAGACCTGCAACTAATATCCATATTAAGCATGTAGCTGCACTAAAATGTTTCCTCTCCTACTGAGTTCAGGACTTGCTTTTGTCTCAAGAGCAACGGTGTAACTAGTTATTTCCGTACCAAAGGCAGTTTCTCAATTCTGTGCGTTTTCCATTCTTGGAATCTGGCAGCACACAAACTCCTTTCAAATCACCTCAGCAATTATGATCCCCTCCAAACTGTCAGCGTTTTGTGTGAGGGATTCAAGGGTCTCCCAGGAAATTTAGATTTGTGTGATTAAAGGGTCCTATCCACATCAACTAACAAAGATAGTCATGTTGGCCATAAGAAAACATTTTGTTGGCCCAGTAACGGCATAGCCCTACCATGGATTTTGGAATTCTTTTCATCATACTGACATTTCAGCAACAATTTATGGGAAAATGTAACTTAAGAAAAATCAGGGCAATGTTCTGCATAGATATTGAAATAAGAGCATGCAAAAGCACCGTCTACAATAGTCAGCCCAGTAAGGATAGCTTCCAAAAACCCAACAAAATAATTTGGCAAACCACCTTACACCTAGATTGCCTCCCACCATCTCTCATCTGTGGCCATTGCATATCCCATGCTCCCCACGGTTAGTCTAAGGGCAGGAGAACAGCCCCTAGTCACCCAGTGAGCTCCACAGCTGAGTGAAGGTTTGAACCTGCGTCCCTGCAGCCCTAGACATTGTGGTAGCAGTAGCCTTTTTCCACAGGGGTGAGCTAGACTACACTTGGGCAGTTTGTGGCTCACAGATCACATGCATCACAAGCCCAGTGGAGACTTATTGGCAGGATTGGAAAGTGTTGAGCTGGATGCCAGGGAGCAGCCGAGTAATCTAGCAGATGATGTCCCTGCCCCAGCAGTTCCAGACATCCCAGCAGAGGCAGAAGAGACATCTTAAGCAGTGCCCACCCTGCCTCCTGCTAGTGTAATCTCCCCAGCAACTGGGTCAGATAATGAACTAGTTGGGTAGACCCCACCCTCTGCCTCCAAAGATGCCCTGCTTGCCCAGTCATATTGTTCGGGATGCAGAGCACACAGATGATTTTGCTTGCTCTGCTCTTCCAAAGGAGGGCAAAGGGGGCATGTCAGGTGTTGGGATAACATCTCACATCGTGCCTATCCATGCATCTTAGGGCTCTGCTTTGAACCACTGAGCCGCGCCACCTGTAACCTGATCTAAGTTTAGGTGATTTTTGGTTGGGTAATAATCGAGCCGAGAGTCCGAGGAATGTGCCTGCAAGTGGGAGCCAGGAGAACAAGCAGCTCCCAAGGCAGTCTTCCAGTCCCTTGCCCCTCTGATCATCCATCAGCCATGTGGCAGGAAAAAGACTGCTGTGCTCCTTTGCAGCTAACCAGCAGAGGATCAGTGCTGGGGAAAGTACCGTAGATTTTAACTTGCCCCACTCCACACTCCAGCACTCCTGACGCAGCCACGATCTCTGGCCCCAGACTGCCGATAGCTAGCTGCATAGGAACAACAATTTTAGCTGCATTGGGATTGCTGGGAACTAGAATAGGTTGGAACCTGCAGTCCTGATGCCTCTGTGAGAGATTGGGGAGGTTGTATGCCTGTGTGTATGTCTGGGTGCATATGCATGAGTGGGGGAAGGAAGGGTCTATGTCCGTGTGGATGCTGTCCCTGGTTCTACCTGCTGCCTGGTTTTGCCTTGGTGTGTGGCCTCTACCTGCCCACACACTGCTGCCCATTGCTCTTTTTTGCCAAGAGGCTTTCTACCATCCTTGGCCTAGACCTTGAACGCAAAAACTTTTATTATGTGTACAAGGCTAGTGGAGATCCAGGTACTCTGATTTAAGGATGACTGTTTCTCTCATTAAGAAGAAATGAGGGTGTCAGCCATGCCCACCCACTTAATGCACCTTGGGATTCTTCAGAAAATGGAATTGCTTTAATGGCAAAGCTACCTGAAATCACCTGCAAAATAATATCATCGCAGGACTGAAGAACCGCCTGTTTCTTTAGAAATGGAACAATGGTTTTAGGCAGCAATCCAAACTGAAAATATGCTTATGAAGCAGAAATTCTGTTTTTGTGGCCAATGCCATTAAAACACATTATAAAAAGGGGAACTAGAATGGATTTTAAATGCTGGCTCAATTAGCTGGAAATGCGATGGTGATCCTGGAAGCACAAACAACATCCTTTGCACATCAGTCCTGATTTCGAGAGGCGGGATCTCTAATCTGCCTCATAAGCTAATATAATTGTACTGTAAATGAACTTTGTGTGTCTAAAACTATCTTATTTAAATGCTAAAGCGCATATAGTGCATTTTCCCAGCCATTGTACATTTGTTTTGTGTTGGTGATGTTGCCCTCTACTGGTAGTTTCAGAGAAAAATAGTGTATTTCAGAGGGCATTTCCCAACTATAGTTTTAGTTTTTCTGTAGTAAATGTGCAGCCACTACTGCTCAGTAGTCTGTAGTGCAGCCACTACATCCGCTCTCTAGTTTGTACGAATATCAGCCACATGGCTATCACATTTTCCCTCACTATGGCTGCACTACATTTTGCCTTTGGGGAAAATGCAATTCTTCTCCCAGGGAGACGGGATTCTTGCTTTGTGGAAAGTAATAGCATGAGTATCACAACAACTGTTTTACACACTGCAACATAAATGGTCACGCGCAACAGCAATATTCTCAGAGTTGCCATGAAGCAGTTATTAACCTGAGAGCTGTAGCCCAAAATTGCTTGCAATGCCACACAAGGATAAGTGATACAACAGCAACTGTCCCCCGCCCCGCCACTCCCACTCATACAGTGACTTTTGTTTAAAATGTGCCTTTGTGACTTTATGCCTTAGAAGAGGGGCACTCCACTGTTATATTACACTCTGCTGCAGTAGGTGTTATATCTAGCTCTTTTTTAAAGCATGTCAGACATCAGTACAGTGGTACCTTGGTTCTCAAATTTAATCCGTTCTGGAAGTCTGTTCCAAAGCCAAAGCGTTCCAAAACCGAGGCGCGCTTTCCCATAGAAAGTAATGCAAAATGGATCAATCCGTTCCAGACTTTTAAAAACAACCCCTAAAACAGCAATTTAACATGACTTTTACTATCTAACAAGACCATTGATCTATGAAATGAAAGCAATAATCAATGTACTGCAGTCACACAATCAATCAATCAATCAGTAGCTGAACTGGGTTCCACTCAGTCACAAAAACAAACCAAAAAAGCCTCAAAAACAAAAAACTCAAAATAAATAGCAAAAACAGACAGACCGCAGTGTAACACTCAAAACAGAAGTGTGACACTCAAATCAGAAGCGTAACACTCAAAACAGAGGATGTTCAGCTTCCGAAAAAAGTTCACAACCCGGAACACTTACTTCCGGGTTTGCAGTGTTTGGGTTCCAAGTTGTTTGAGTACCAAGGCATTTGAGAATGAAGGTACCACTGTAACAATATCTTAGCCTATTCTCAGCAATGCCGACTGGCAAACACGAGTGAGGCTGCCTTCCCACATTGTTACCAAATTCTAAGTGTCAGCAAGGTTATCTCTTTGGCTTACCAGTACTACACTAGCGTACCATTATTTTTATTCCATTCTCTGAAGGCTCTGTATACCTCCTTTCCCTTCCCAGTTTTGGAGTTGGTTCTAAAATTACCAGAAGCAGGGCCTTCTCAGTGGTAGCACCCACTTTGTGGAGTGCCTTTTCAAGTGAGATCTGTTAGGCCCTGGTGTACTATAGTCCTTTAGATATTTTGCCAAGGCGGTGTTTTGCTGAGTAGTACTTTTTAGCATGTTATGTTATATTAATGCTGTCCCTTTTATGATTATTGCCCTGTGATTATTGTTATTTAAGTCACGACTCAATCCTGTTCCTTTTTGTAATTGCTGCTCCATGCTTCTTATTTTCTATCCATTGATGCATATGTAAGCTTTGTCTTGCTGTTGTAAGCTGCATTTTAAAAAGGTGGGCTGTATGTTTTAAAAATAAAATAGAGTCATAAAATTGCTCCCGATTGTTCCTTTAAAAGCGTGGCTTGCACGCACCACTGTTTAAATGGGATGCTGAATGCCAGCCACTCTACCAGGTCGGATCCACTGGGAGCTCCTGACCCAGGTTTGCAAAGAAAAATTGGGAGCAAAGGCTTGCCTTTGGCGCTGTTTAAATTTGGCACTGAAAACAAGTCGTGTTGCATCCAGCAGACATTGGATCTACTGGGGGGCTAATATCAGGAGCCGCTAAGTGGATCTGACCCTAGCTGTGCAGCTTGCCTTTGGTACCGAATTTAAATGGCAACAAATACAAACCACATTTGCAAAGGAACAATTGAGAGCACACCCTTAAGGCTCCTGATGGTTCATTTGCAGCTGTGGCTTTACCTGCCCCACACCTGGTATCATGTGATGTCAGGTGAGTGACAGGAGGGCATGACTGGGAGAAGATGGCCTTGCCTGTTAAATCAGGAACCCTAAAAATGCTGTATGTTTGTACCTCGTACCATTTTTCATAAAAAGGAAGCATTATACTGGGATATGAGTTGAATTTCTCCTCTGGGTATTGATGACTTGGATTCTCAAGGCTAGAATTGTTGAAGTTTTTAACCACAGAACAGCATCTGCAAACAAAGTCGCCTCTTCATCCTTTTAAAAGTCTGTGTGGCAGCACAATTCTATGCCTATTTACTCATTTCCATTGGTGGAAATCACTTCTAGGTGCATTTGAGATAGTAGCTTGAAAGTCTCAACAAACTATGCAGGCTGCTGGAGACAGACGACAATATTCAAAGGGGCAAGTTACAGGGGACCTTGGGAAATATACTGTTGGGCGCCCCCTCTAGTTAGCTCAACCTGACCTACCCAGGGCCGATCTGCCCATGAGGCAAGGTGAGGTGACTCCCTCAGGTGACAGGATCCACAGGGGCAGAAGATCTGGCCCATGCTGCCTCCACAGTGCCCTCTCAGTGAATAAGAGGCACTACAGTCATACCTCATGTTACGTCCGCTTCATGTTACGTTCTTTCAGGTTACATCCTGCGGCGACTCGGAAGTACCGGAAAGGGTTACTTCTGGATTTCGTCGCTTGCGCATGCACAGAAGGGCAAAATGATGTCACGCGTATGCGCAGAAGCAGCAAGTCACAACCCGCACATGAGCAGACACGCCGCTGCGGGTTGTGCTCTTTTCATGTTGCGAACGGGCCCGTTTGCAACCAGAGGTACCACTGTACTGGTCTCCTCCCATTCCATTCCCACTGTCGATCTTTATTCCCTCTTGTTCCTGATGTAGATCACTCCCCTTGCCATTTTGTGACTTGCCTCAGGTGCCAAAATGTCTTGGGCTGGCCCCACCCAACCTTTAAGAGAAGGCAAACAATGGGGTAGAGGTGGCAGAGCAAGAACACACTCTAGGGGCAGAATGGGAGGGACAGTTGGACTCTGTGGTGCTGCCTTCGCAAAACAAAAACACTTAAGCTGTTCCTTCTGCTCACTTAATTTCTGCCCTTGCAGCATGGAGGATTGGCACCCTAGCCAAATAGCCTCGCTACTTTACTATGCAGAGGGAAAGAAAGGGTGAGCAAGCAGAGGCTTGCCATTGCATTTGTTCTGGGGTACTTCCTTCTGAGCCCACTCCTGACTGCGCACAGAGGCAGGGTGAGCAAGCAGGTAGAGAATCCCAAAGGGAGAAGAAGGCGAATGATCAGGAGCAGTGGTAGGTGCTCTTTGTATCCCTTGCTTCCCCAATCTTCTCAAGTTAAAGGGTTAACAGTAGGAAGGGGATGAAGTGTTGCTGTGCACAGTGCAGAGCAGCCCCCCCTCCCCAGTGGGCCCAAACTTTCCAGGGACTGATGCATCTCAGCAGCTGCTCATCAGCAGACAAGACAGATACAGGAAACCTGAACAGCTTGTTTTACAGAAGCAAACATGATAAGGAGTGTGCATATCTCAAGCAGTAATCCTGTCTCTCTCTCAAACCACCTCCAGCTCTATGGAAAAGCTGTAATCTGTTTCCAGCCTTAGAAAAGTGTAGTCTTGCAGACGATTATATGCTTTGGCTGAAATCCCATCACATTTACAAGGGTGTAAGTCCCATTGAAGTGGACAGAGACCTTGACCAAAGCCTCTTAAGGATGCTTACTTAAGACTAGCTCTTTGCTGAGCCCCATCAGATTTACTCCTGAATAAACATTGCTATCATGGTGTTGCATCAATGGGCATTGTGCTTCACAGAGTTTCATGAGCAAAGTCGGATATCCTATGGAGCTCACCAGCTAATGTTGACAATGGGGAGAAGAAACATGGAGAAGGGAGACTTAGGAAAAGGGTAGCAATAATGCAAGGAATGAGTGCAGTTACATATGCAGTACTTAATGTACACTTCCAGTCAGGTCATGGACTGTACCTTTGTTACAAGCAACCAAGGTGTCACAAAGTTAGTGAGCAAACTTTTGAGTTCTCCAGAATTCTTCATCAGACTGAATATTAAGCAGATGGGGGGCGGGGAGCTGACTGTATGTTGAAGCCACACCGTCTGCATTTAGTCCAAGACGGAATGTATGAGATATAATAGAGCCTAATCTAATGATGTCTGCTGGGTGCTGTGCAGGTTTCAAGTTGCACCTAAGGACTGCCGGGACAAAGAAGCAAATGATGGCTGATCCCCATTTATGAAAGTATAAAACCCAGCAGTTATCTGGAGCTTTCTCCAACCCTTAAGCGACACACACAGATGGAAAGGGAAACGAGCTAATTGACTTGTTATTCATAATTAGCAGCATTACTATGCTGCTCCGTAACTGAAGTTCTGAAGGCGGCATATATAAAAATTGTTAAAACAATGAACATCTTTTAAGAAAACAATATACAGTATAAAACGCAGCGCAGCAGAGATGACCAACAAAATTAAAACAGGCCGTAAAAACTTTTAAAACCCCAAACATCAAAATCTATGGGAAATATAGAGAATAATAAAGAAATTATCACTTGGCATTGAAAATAGAAAGCAAGATTCTGTCTCCTGTCCCACATTATGGACCAGGATGGCTTCCCTTGCTTTTTATTTGTCTTGGGGAATACATGTATAGTTACAGGAGTGAGGTGCCAAGAGTCATAGGACATGCCAAGTCCACTCGTGGAGCTACAAGCAGTTTCAAAACAGGAAGCAAAGGCAAGAACGGACAGAGGTTTTACAATGGAGGGAAGTAAGCAATGGCGTCTCCAAAGGATCTCCGCTGGGAATTGTGCCATCTTGGTGGCTTTTAAAAAAATATGAGCCCAATCTAGGGAGGACTGATCTACGTAGCCACGCGCTGTGTAACAACTAAATGGAACATCCCTGTTTAGCAGCAGTAGGAACAAACTTTGCCTTCTAAGTGAGATGATGGGGCCTCGTGAATGAGAGTCCAAGCAACTTCTATGCACACGGGTGGGCGGGAGCGCAGGTTTCCCACAACATCGATTCTCCCATCTGCAGGGGGGAAGTCCGGTCGTGTGAAGGGGGCCTGGCGCGAGCGAAGAGGGGAGAGCACCGGGGTAGTTGGCGTTCGCTTGGAAGCCGCTCCGCTCTCCCTTCCCGCCTCGCTGTGAGTGGAGATCCCGAGCGCCACTGGGCGAAGCAGCCACGTTGTGTTGCCCCCAGCGCCGCTCGCGGGAGCCCGGGACGCCTCCGGGGATCCCTATTGGCCGGCTCCGTCGGGCGCGTCACGACGGGGGCGGGGCTCCCATCAGCTGTTTGGGTAATGCCAGGAAGCAAGTGTATTTTGGAAACAATGCCGTGTGCGGCTGGCGGCGGCGGCGGCGGCGCCTGAGGTTGCAGCCCGGGGACTTTCCGGCTCCCGCTCTTTCCGCTGGCCGCGCTCGCTGGCGCTGCTGTTGCAGCAGCAGATCAGATCAGATCAGGCGAGGGTTCCGCTTCTCAGGGTTCGCTGATCCCGCCTTGCAGCGGCTCCCGAGCCTCTTGCCTAAAGGAGACGCTCGCTGGCCGCGAAGCCCCGACCACAGTCCCGCCCAGGCGGAGTCGCAAGTAGGGCACCAGGTCAGTAGTGTGTGTGTGTGTGTGTGTGTGTGTGTGTTAGTCGCGCGTGTGTATATAGATATTGATAGATAGATGTTTGTGGGTGTGTAATATTATTTGATCCGTGACAGGCGTTGCCTACAGACGGGGAGGGCGAGTTAACTCCTGACTAAGCATCGCTCTCATGGGTCGCCTTTGATCAGATCTTCATTTCAACTTTTAACGGAATTGTTGCATTTCCTAAGTACCTACTGTTACTCGGCTTCAGCCTTCACGATTGGGTGGGCTGTAAGTTTAAATGAATGAATGAATGAATTCTCCGTTATTGAATTAATGAATTGCTTCGTTAGAGGTATACGAATCTTAATGTTCTGCGATCTCTGAGCCGATAAGTAGAGCAGGGGAGCACACCCTCCCCCCACAATCTCTGTATTAGTTTGGGGGTAGTGCTTTGGGGGTTTTTTTATCTTACTTTTACAATTTCAGCGTCTACAGTTAAGAAAAACGTTTGTTGGCAAATGTATATGTGCTTCACCTTTTCTTTACATGCACCAGAAAACTGGGATCTCATGAGTTCATGCAGCCTTACCCCTTCCACTTCCTCACCTAACTTTCCAGGGGATAACATCATTCCTCTGAACAGATGAGCAGAATGAAAAGTATCAGTGATCACTGAGTTTCTGATAAAGGCTGCCACTTTTTTTCTGGCAAGGCTTCTGTGCCTCTAAAACAACTACTCTGCAGTCAGAAGCTCAAAGGGAAAACTTAAATGTGTTGGATTTGTACCTGTCAGCTAGCTGTTAGGACTGCCACTTCTGTTCTGGGACAACTCCTATCTCAGACAGATTAAGTGAACTAGTGGATACCAACAGTTCAACCATCTCAGTGGTTCCTAATCGCTTCCTTCACTGTGGCTTCTTGGCATGATGTAAATAATATAGTTCAATTCATCTTTCACCATCTCGAAATAGAAATGCTTGAGCCCCTTCCCTCGAGAGACAGCCGTAGTAAACAGATCTTGAACTCTTTACATAAAGCAACAGATCAGGCAGGGGCCAAAAGGAGTGATTTTTAAAAAATTGCTTATTTGCTTTGTGTTACTAATAAAAAAGGAGTCATTTCCTTTAGGTGGTTTGGCCACTAATGTGCTGCGAGACAAATACTTAACTAAAGGATCAAATGACTTTATATACCAGATGTGCTCTGCAAAGTACTGCGTTTGTCAAATGGTCTTAATAACTTTGGAGTTTCTTTTGTCTGTGTGTGTGTGTGTGTGTGTGTGTGTGGTAAGGATGTCTTTTGGCCTCATCCTGAATTGAATTGATGCATTTCAGTCTTAAATCTCTGAGGAACAGAAGGTGCAGGGAAGAGTTAAAAAGGGAATTGTGAAGTCCAGCTTGCTTTGTTTTGGTTAACTGGCAGTGCATGTGTGTCCTATAGCCTTCCTCTTTGCTTCGCTCTTGAGAGCAGGCAAGGGGCAAGTGGCTGCAATGTTTTGTTCGAGGCTTCTTTTTTTCTGAGGGAATGCTGGAGGGAGATGGAAGAATGTATGCATTGTATAGTTCCCAACAGGTGTTTCCAAGTTGGGAGAACTGCAGCACTATTCTAATTTTACATGATTTTTTTTTTTTTAGAAGTTGCTTGCTGAACTGACTTCCTTCTTTCAAAGGGATGCGATTATTATTTATTATGCTTTGACAGCTCTTTCAGGAAATGTAGAGCAGCTTATGTGGGGCTCCCAGCTGCTGACCAGGCTGGAATTTTCTATAATGTTATAAATATAACAGCATCAAGTGCCCTCAACCTGCCCTCATAAGTGATTTCTAAGGTAGGCCATGCCTGTGCTCTGTATTCCTTATCCTTAAATAACCACTGTAAAGATTTTCCTCCCTTTAAAAACCTGTTCCTTCTCCAAGCTTATTTCTTTGCATCCTGTCCTACTTCCAAGGATCGGAGACTCTCTTGTCCGCTTCCCAGTCTGGTGAGGTGGATAGCCTGAAGGAGAGTGCAGAGTTTCTCCCAAGCTTCATGCTCAGCGAAGCCTAGTGTCCCGGTCACTGCACACAAAACCCCACTCAGGCAGCCCTATGGTCTCTTCTCTTGGACTGAGCCCCACGGAACACAGCTGAACTTGCTTCTTGGTAACCGTGCATCCACTGTAAGGGAACACTTTGGCTTTGAGATCTGCTGTGCATAGAATCTTATTGAATGTTTCGACAAGTGGTAGGGAACCTGTGTCTCTCCAGAAGTTTCATAGGATAGTAGAATTGTAGAGTTGGAAGGGCCCCCAACGGTCATCTAGTCCAAGCCCCTGCAATGCAATAGTCCTGCCCACAGCTGTCCATGGGTGGGTGGTGTTGGGCTGCAATTCCCACCAGCCCCCACCAGCATGGCTAGTCATCAGGGATGAAGGGAGCTCTGGAGTGCATCAGGTTCTCCACCACTTTTATAGATCTCTGCAAGCACGTTTTTTATACTGAAATATATAGTATAAGGCCCTGACTACAGTGGCAGCTGCTGTCTCGAGACATTTATGGGGATTTGGGGCCTACCCTACTAGATAACCATGCTTCAGTCGTGAGCTCGGGTGCAGGGCTGGTCTGAAGTACCGCGAGTGATAGCAAGGGCCAGCAATATCCTTCCTGCCCCCAGGCCCCATTGTTCAAAACATGGCCAGCTCTGTTCTCCTCTTTTTTTACTTTTACAGCCACTTGTCCTTCCATTTGCAGTTTCAAGACTTGTCCTTTTCCATTTGCCCCTTGCTGACTTTTCACTTGGAAGGTTGTCTGAATTCATGTAACCCAAGGCACCTCCCAAGAAGTGGAAGGAAAAGCTGAGAAGATTCTCTTCTGCAATGTGTATTGCAAGCTTCCAATGCAACTACAGTAGAAGGAAAAGCAGAGCATGTGATACTCTCCCCCCACCCCTCAGCCTGGACCAACAAGATATTACTCCTACTGTTTCAGGAAATGTTTACTCCTATTCCACTTACTTGTAATCTGTAATCTTCATCTTTCCTCTTGTACTTTAGATATGGTGTGTGCATGTTCTGGAACTTTGAGCTTAACAGCCCAGTGTTATGAATTCCTATATAGAAGTCACATTAACCTCAGTGGCAATGGACTTATTTCCAGGTAAGGGTGTTTATTACTGAAGCCATCTAGTATCAACTTGCACATCTTGACTCTGAAGTAAGCTCCGCTGAGTTCAATCGGAAGCTTCTCCCAATTGCAATTTTAAAGCAGAAGTTCGGGGTGTCTCTCCCTTTTTCTTTCCCCAGAGACCTTGGAACAGGGATTGTCAAATGATCTCCAGTAGTGACAACCTATGCTTAGGCTCTGGATTTACATTACTTCTCTTTCAGTGAATTCAGAAACAATGTTGTTTATTTTGCTGCCTACTGATCTGTCTTAAAGTTCTTCTTACTGCTAGTTAAACTACAAATCTATGCCTCTTGCATGGATCTGAATAGTGGGCTGTAGCTGACATGAAAACCAAATCATATGAACATCAGAAGACCAGGCCAGCATCCTAACTAGTCCAGCTTTCTGTTTTCACAAGCAGGAGCTGAGCTCAACAGCATTCTCCCATCCTGTGGTTTCCAGGAACTGGTATTCAGAAGCAGTATTCTGTTTAGTGAGGATACATCACATAGGTTGAATCATTCAGACGTAAGACAGCTTCACAGCAGAGTGAAACATCTGGAATTGGACTGTATTTGCAGCTGAATCCTATGCAGGTTCAGTTGGAAGTCCTTCTGGTTTCTGTAAGACTTATTCCCAAGCAGAAGCATGCAACACTCCTCTGTGCCAAGGCTCTTGATAAAAGTCTTGTAGGTTATATTGCACAAACCACCGCAAAACAAATGACCCAAAGATTGAATTTCACTTCCTTGTTCAGGGTCTGGAGGCATGTGTGTGTGTGTGTGTGTGTGTGTGTATGTGTTTAGATTATGCTAGTTATAAAAGGAATAACAAGGGACTTAATTGCTGGTTGTAAGGAGCTTTAAAAACACTACATTGCCTGCTCTTCTAATCTCTGACCCAAGGACATGCCCGTGGACATCTCTGGTTTTATATGTTCAAGCATTTTATGGAACTGCTAAAAGGAACTGAAGCTTTTTCTTTTTCGCCACAGCTTTTCTTCAGAGGTGGTCACCAAAAACTTCTTCTTTTGAGCAGTTCAGTTTTAACAGAGAAGGGAGAGATATTTGGATTTGGGAATTCATCAGAATTTCCAATTTCTTGGAAGATAAGGCTATGTTCTACTCCATTGCCGTATGCCTCTGAATAACAGTTTTTTGGAAGTCAAAAGTGGAAATAGGGACTGTTGCACTCATGTTTTGCTGGTGGGCTTACCACTGGCATCCATTTGGTCACTATCAGAACATGATGGTGGCCTTTGACACAATCCCAGCAGAGCTTTCCTTATGTTTTTCTGTCCTAGACTTGTGGCAATGCTCTGTCTGTCCATCTCAGTGCCTTTTGATCTTTCTGTGCAGAAGAATGAGAATTACAAGTTGTTGAACTTCCGTCCACTGCACGTAGGTGGTGGGTGGTCTTCTCTGGCAGCTGGGACACTCAATACTTCTAATATACCACTCAGGGCCATCATCATGTTGGCTCTTCTGTATTTCTCTATTCAGTCTGCTGGCATTTTGGTGGATGCAGAAGTTTTGAGACGGGGGCTTGGTCTTACTTCTTCCCTGATTATTGAAAGGCCAACTCTGTTGGGCAACATCCCAACAAGCCTCTTCCTCCCCAAGGCCCTCATTCATCCTGTCTTTTCCCCTGTTGACTACATCATTCAGACTGGCAACAGCACCCAACATCCTTCACTTCGTTGGGTTCCATCTTGTGTGGGCGTTTTCGGAAATCAGGTGGCTGATCAGATGGCTAGGAAGGCTTTGGGATAGAGGGACATTGCTCTTGGACATAAATGGACACAGGTGAACAGCAAAAGCAGTGGAAGGTGGGTTCTATAGGTTGGAGGTTATTCTCCTTTTCTCCAGTATTGGAGGATTTTTGTATTTTTACAATGACACACAAGTTAGTTGGCTCAAGAATTTTCATGGGGCATTGTGCTCTCTGGGGTGGCTTGTACTCTGCATGTTGTGAGGTTTGAAGGATGGAGAAAACAATTCATCATGTTCTGCGGGATTGCTTGCTGTATATGGAAGACTGAGGACCTCTATTATGTAGTTTGGTGATGTCTGTATGTTACAAGTTTTCTGTGGGGGTTCAGTGGGGTTTTTCTCTGGGGTTCAATGTTTGATAGTTTATAGCAATTCATGAAGGATACAACACTGTGGTTGAAATGGGGCCTTTCCTTGGACTTGCTATGCCATTAAACCTGGAGGAGAGACTGTAGTTATGAGCAGTCACCAGCAATTCCCAACTTGTTACTCAAGAAGGAAGTAATGCTGTCTCCCACCAAGAAGCAGTTATAAGCCTCTTATTGAGAACTTCTATTGATCTGATCCCCTTACGCTGTTCATCTTCTGTCTTGTCTTTTTGGCTAAGGTGGTTTGAGTTGCCAGCGACCGATCTGCTCCAGGTGTTTATAGGATTATAAGGGTTCTCTAGATCCATTTTGATCTCGGTTTGGAATATTTTATCAACATAGGGCACGCTTTGGATTTATTGGCTTGGTTACCAGTCACCATCCAGTCCTACTTGATCCTCAAGAGTTTCAGCAGTGTATTGCAACTAAATCCCAGCATTTTGTATATCCTGCTAGTTGTGATTAGGTTCCAGCACCTGGTGTCCCAATTCTATTCTTCAGGTACATCCATCAGTCCCGACTAATACCTTGAAACATTTTTGTTTGATTGTAGAATCCTCTGGATTTATTGAGGACTTTGAAATCTAAGCACTGGGTATGGAAGGTCTTTATACATGTATATGTGGTTGTGACAGGCTAGCATGGTATTTGGATTCTAAAACATTCATCATGGAAGGCTTTTCTTGGACTTCCTCCTTGTGGCTACCTAGTTCATAAAAAGTCTGAACCTTTGGGTGCAAAGGAGGGAAGATTGTCCAGTTGGCCTCCATCATTTATCTCTTATCCCAAACCTAATTCACAGGCTGTTTCGTGAAGAAGGCGCAAAGAAAACCATGCATCCTCTCTAGGATATTCAGTGGCATTTTATCTACTTTCTTTTTTTGAAAAAAATTGCAGGTGAAATGGATTCCCCTGACTACCTGGAGGAGGATTTCTCCAATCTAGATGGGCTGGAGGATGATGTCTTCCACTCTGAAGACTGTGGACTTGCCAGTCAACCCAATGAGATGACATTTCCTGGCATTTTCACACAGAGTAAATCTTACAACTGCCTTCTGGGGAGATTCCAGCTCTTCCCACTTACACACTGTTGCGGCCCAGGCACCAGGCATGCCAAGCAGCAAGATAAGGCAACTCAAACCCTCAACCCATCCTCTTCTAGCCAGGATGTCATGTTACCTTGTGGAGTCACTGAAGAGCCCCAGAGACTCTTCTACGGTAAGAATGATGGGTGTTTATATACTTTTGCACTCAATGAATTGTCATGTTTCAGTATTCATGGCATTCTTAGATTACTTCTTATTGTTCTAAAGAAATATAGTTCTCTCTTTGTGTGGGACAAAGGACTGAAGTTGGAGGATCTTAAAATCTATATGGTCAGTACTGCACGATGATGCATGAAATTGGATTTGGGAAAAACACAATTCATTACCACAATTCATCTGAGTTCTGAAAACCTCCAAATATATATGCTATTTTCAGCAAGTTCCGTTCCTCATGGAACTTAGACTATTGTCAAAATAGCTCCTTTATATTTCTTCTAAGGGCAACAAACTGCTTAGAGCAGGGTTTCCTAAATTTGGGTCTCCATCTGTTGTTGAACTACAATTCCCATCATCTCTAGCTAGCAGGAGTAGTGGTCAGGGATAATGGGAATTGTATTCCAAAAACAGCCTGAGACCCAAGTCCAGGAAACCCTGGCTAGAAGTGTGGACATTTCAAGGTGGGAGAGGCCTGTCGCATATAATCCACTACATCTCACCAACTCCACAACAAGGAACAAAACCTTGCAGCATACCTGAATGCTTTCTTCTCAACATAAAAAAATGTGTTGGTTCAGTGGTACTGTCCGTCACATATATGGCACTTATACCTGTATGTCTACCAATGGGATGCAATTAAGTTCATGCATCAAATATCCACCCATCAGCAGTTTATATTAGGCAAACAGACCTATAATGTCAGATATAAAGAGCAAGAACAGTAAGATAGCAGCAGCTTCCCATGTTAGTTTCCCTGGACACAGCGTTGTAGATCTCAGAGTTACTGTTCTTAGGAACATCAAATCATGGGGATAAATGGTGCATGAGATAGTAAAACTGGGATTCATTCAGAAATGTGAGAGAATTAGCCTGGGGCTTCATAGAGATTGTTGTTTCTTTGCACAGTATTAGCACTAAGCCTGCACCTTATGCACATTTAACTTGTGCTCATTCAGTTTCAAGCACTTGGCAAGTTTTTTAAAAAAATTAAAAAGGGGATGGGCAACTGGGAAAAAAGACTTTGGCAATCCCACCCACCATTGAACCCAATGTATTTTGACTATACGCAATTTTAAGCAAGATCCATGAAATGTACTCCCCACCCCACCCCAAAGTTGTGGTCTTACTGAGTTGCTGTCCCTTTAAGAACTGCATACAATGTTTTCTTTTGATCAGCTTTTAACAGACTAAATTACCTGGCTTTCCCTGGTTTCAATTTAGCATCTGAAGAGCTTTTCGCCTATGCAAGCTCATGCAATTTTGCAATTTAAAAGCTTCTTCATAGTGAAACAAATTTCTGCCCCACTCCTTATTTGCTATCCCCTCTCCTCTCACGCGGAGCTCAGAAGGAAGTCCCATTAAATTACTCCCAAGTAAGTATGTACAGGACTGCAGTCTAATTGATTGAAAATCTTTTGTTGGAAAGGCGAACCTGGTGAACTGGGCAGGAGATCTTTTGAAAAGGTGTTAATTATTTTTAAAGCAGCAGTGCTTAGGAAGTGTGGGGACTTGGAGTAAATATTCTTCTGCCCCATGAAGGAGGGAATGCCTCTGCAAAGAGATTGCCTGCTGGGACACATTCAGGTACCAACTAAAAACAGAGAATGCATTTTTCATGAGCACCATTGTTCTATCCATATGCAGATGCCATCATTTAACATGGCAATCCTAATGGGAAGGAAAAACTCAGAGGTGGATCTGGCACCAAATACAAAACCCTATTGGTGGGTGAGGGGGCAGTGGGATCCAGTTTTTCCTTTCCCACTTGGTAGAGAATTAACTGTGCCAGCTCCAGGGCTGACGTACTTTAGAACTATGGAAGGGAGTCTAAGAAACAAGATCCACAGCATTCTCAGACATGCAGACCTTCCAAATCTGATGGCAGAGAGCAGGCATAGGCAAACTCGGCCCTCCAGATGTTTTGGGACTACAACTACCATCATCCCTAGCTAACAGGACCAGTTGCCAGGGATGATGGGAGTTGTAGTCCTAAAACATCTGTAGGGCTGAGTTTGCCTGTGCCTGGCAGAGAGGGAGGCCCACAGCATCCAACAACCCCCAGATGTTGGGCCTATTTGAAATCAAATCAATCACATAACTGAGGCAATTCAGGGTCCATGATTCTGTTTGGGGTTGTTTTTTTTTACAGAAAAATAATGTAGCATTTACAGTGTTTGCATGTACCTCTGTGGATTTAAATCAGAGGTGGTGAACCTTTAGCCCTCCTGATGTTGTTGGATTACAACACCAATAATCTTTGACCAGTGGGGCTGGGGCTGATGGGAATTGGAGTCCAAGGACACTTGGAGGGCCATAAGTTCCCCACCCCCAGTTTAAGGGGACGTTTGAATCTTTTTATCTGCTCCAAAAAGGTGCCCAGCTGGCCCCATGATACTTCTCATGAAGTTCTATGAACTGCTGTTGCATAAAGCAGGGAATCCGTGGTCCTCCAGATGTTTGCTAGGCTTCCAACACCCATCAACCTCTTCCAGTGAGACCAGTGGTTGGGTGTGATGAGAGCTGGAAAATCAAGCAAAATCTGGAGGTCCACTGATTTCCTATCATTGGCTTAGAGACTAAAAGTGACCTATAATGTGACACGTCCAAGTCCATAAAACACACAAAGGTTTGTGAACAAATTCATTGGAAAAATACCAAACGTTCATCCAACAATACTATAAGAAGGATAAATCCCACCCCACCCTATGATAAGATGAACACCACAAACAGGCCAGAAATTGTGCTGAAGCATGACACCAGTTAATAACCAAAAGCTTGGAGAACCAGGAAAGCCTTCTGGTGTTGAAAAGCTGACAGTGATAGTCCCATGTGTGTTTCCCTGCGGGGAGCATTCCACAAACAGAGTGGCCCATTTTTGCACTGCCAACCTCTGCACTTCCCTCAGAGGAGCCACTGGGGAAACTGCCCCATGGAGGGCTTCCTCTTTTACCTGTGAGCATCCTTAGGTTTACCCAGCAGAGGCAGCAGTACTCTAGGGTGGCTGTGAGTGTCATTTCAGTTTCCTACAAAAACCCAGAGGTCCCAGTGTAGTGTCATCCTAGAGCATTGTGGGAATTTAAAATGGAGTCTTATAGACCCAGTTGCCCAATGTGGAGGGTCCTGAGCAGGTATTGCCAGTCATGGATCCCTTAGCTTTCTAAAAGGTGTTTGAGGTTTAGCTATAAGTGTTTTGCTTAATTCAAATGAGACATTTTATTTCCTTGATTATGATCTTGATTTTGCTGCATTCTCTTCCGGTGTGCTGTTCATGGCTGAAGGATTGTTCACATACGTGAGAGGCTATAAGCGCCTGACTCTTCTCTGATGTTTGGCAGGGAACGCCGGGTTCCGTTTACATGTCAACCCCATTGGTTTCTCATTGAGTCCACACCTCCGGGAGGAACCTCGGGAAAGCCCACAGGAACTGCGAACTGAAGTTCAGATTGCACGGAAGTTACAGTGCATTGCGGACCAGTTTCACAGGCTGCACCTACAGAGGGTAGGTTGTCTTTTGGGCAAGGAAAGTGGAGTGTTGGTGGTGGAGTGAGGGGGGGACTTTATTCACTGTCGAGGATGCTTTATTTGGTTTGGCCAAATGTGTTCTCTTCTTTTTCCGTTAGATAGCCTACACACACACACACACACACACACACACATTACTGTTTTAATAATAAACATTTGGGAAATTGTTTTTTGAACCATATTTCCTCTTTGTTCAATGGTCTTTTTAAAAATAATCATTCTGTTTTATTTGGGGGGGGGGGTTTCCGCCCTCCTTCACACAAAGCATCAGACTGCAGAACAATATTATTTCTTTACATAAAGCCAATTTCTCTTGCAGCACGACCAACGAATAGGCCTCATGAGGAGTTAGGAAGTTAGGAGCAGGCTTCATTCTTAATGGCCCTCACCAAATCCTGTAGGACTGAGTGAGAAGTCAGCAAAATGGTTGAGGAAAGGGCCTATCTGCTCTTCTCAATAAACAGTGGGTTGGCTCATGCCAGAGAGCAAGTTTAGCCCCCACCCCAGATATATGCCTCCGTACGTACATACCTTTGGTTTCTCACATGCATTTTCCCCCTTCTCCTGCTCCTCTAGCTTTTTCACTTCAACTATCCCAAAGTCTCCTGCTCACTCAAATTCCCCTTGTAGAATCATAGAGCTGGAAGTGATTTAGTCCAATCCCCTGCTCACTGCAGGATCTACAAGCCATGATGCGAATGGGTGCCCCTAACAACTCTCAGCACCCTTAACAAACTACAGCCCCCAGAATTCTTTGGGAGGAAGCCATGACTGTTTAAAGTGGTACTGTAGTGCTTTAAATGCTTGGTGTAAATGTGCCCTTGGGCTGGACTGCAGTGTACGTTATTGATAGCCACATTAAAGGATCCTGGCTCCAACCCACTATTTAGAAGTATTGCTTTGTGTTTTAATTTCTTTGCAAGGAAAGGCACCTGTATAACCACAAGGTGTCAGAAGTTTCACCTTGGGCTTTTCTGATTTTTTAAATATTTCAAACCAAAGGAAGAAAGTTAAGGTCTTGAACTTCAGATCTCTCTTCTTTGCAGTCTGAGAGGAGCTAAGGTCACCTCTGGACATAGGGTGGCCCCTCTGCTCTACATCTCCCCCAGACCCCCAATTACTTCTGTGTAAACTACCCACACTGTTGCTGTGTCTGGTCTCTCCTCAGCCCATGTGGAACATTCTTAAACAGAAATCTCAGTGCTGAAACAAAAATAAAAATTCCCAGAATTCTTTGGGGGAGAGCCAAGACCGTTAAAACCAGTTTGTTTTAACATACCCAGAATGATGCTATCTGGGCCTGGGCAGATTTCCACTTCAGCTGTGAAGACTTGCATGCCAGAGCTTATCATTGCTGTGGGTTCTGCTTCTCTTCCAAGGGTGAGTGCAAGTTGTGTCACAGGGCCAAAGCCTTGGTCCGGGGCCAGAGAGTTCTGTAACCGAACATACCAAGCTTTCTAAAAAGGAAACCTGCACTTTTTAATAATGTGGATGTCTCTTTGTAAGATAAGATGTTCATCTGAGCCGTTTTAAGGGATGTAAATTGAGGTGCATTGTCTTGCTGTGGCTGTTTCCAACTGGATGGAAGTGGGAGCAAAGATTCAGGAAGTTCTTGTGGGTTTGGGTCATGTGCGGAATGGATGTGGGCAGTGGCTGTGGAAGGCGAGAGTCTGACATTCTGCATCCATAGATGTTTCCTTTAGGCATTCTGGGACAGCTGTCTATGCAGATTCGGGATCAACCCAGGGAGAAGGATCTGCATGCACTTTTTTTTGGCTCATGTCCCACATGGGGCCAGACGTTCACATTCCAGCTGCCCATTGTTTATCTCAGAGTCTTGTGCTACCATCTTATTTATTCCCTTCCTTCCCAGGACTTCTTTGTACATTGTTGGTTGGGGTATGGTTGCACTTGAGCTAGTGTGTTCAAGGCAAAAGAGTGCAGTCTCCAAAGTTATTTGATCTAAGAAAGCAGATGTGAAAAAAGGTTAACTGGAACATTTAAAACCTACTGTTCATACTGTCTGGTGGCATCCTATTTTGTTGCTTTGTGTGCACATGGAAGGTTCACAGGGGGAGGGATTTTTTAAAATAAAAAAATCTCCCCTACCACCACTATGGACATCATTATCTCCCCCATCCCTCACTCCTGCCCTTAGATAGTATTTCTTCAATATCCGTCCTGGAACTCATCTGTGGCGTAGCTAACTTTGCTCAGAGTAGTAAAGGTTAACTGGGTGCCTTTTCCCCCTCCTTCTTCTGTCAAAAGAGTCCTGAAGGGAAGCCACAGAACTGGTTGTAACTCGACCCTTTCCATCTGGGGAGTGTAGCTATCCGATGTCTTTGTCTGGGAAATGTGTCCAAGAATGCCCCAGGAGGAGGGGGGGAAATAAAACCTGTAACCAAAAAAAGAAAATTGGCCGGTCCCCTCCCTTTTCTTCATCTTCGGGCAAGGAGTGTGTGTGTTGCCGTGGCACCCGGGTCCCTGAGGAACTGACTGCAGAGCAAAAGGAGGGTGAGAGAGAGACTTTCTGTGGAGGCCGGAGAATCGCGTGTCAGCCAAGCATGTGGAAGAGTTAGTAAACAAAAGCATCCCTCTTTACTACGACCTCATGCAGCCAAGAGAGGAGGGGCTCTTTCCCTTTCAGCTGAAATAATAGAGTGTTGTAAAGGAGAGGGAGAGTCCTAGCTGAACATTTGTTTTGTTTTTAAAGAGAGAGAGAAGCCCTGGACACAGGTGGGGAAGAACTTAAGCGCCGGGTCTTCACCGCTCAGTCTTTGGACTGATAACTGGCACTCTGCTGGCAGGGAGGCTTTTTGTGTTTGTACGGAGCGATGTTTGAGACCATTGAAGGTTTTATTTATCGCTACGCTTATGCTAATACCGTCTTTTCCTTCCCGCCTCGCTCTTTGCCAACTTTCTCCTCTCGTTTTTGGCAAAGATAACGGAGCGCTGTCCAGTCGCTTTTCTTTCGGTTGGGAAGGACGTCGGAGGCCAGGGAGACTTTGTCTTGCCCATGCAGTTGCCTCCGTCTGGTTCAATGGCTCCAAATGGCACTTTTGGAGCAACCCAAAAGTTGGCCAAAGGCTGTGGCAAGCAGCTTCTGTTCTGCTTCGCTGACAGGACAGCACGTAAACCGCTGGGGGAGCCTCCAGGGTGCCAACCGAAAGCTGAACTAGAGTAGATGTACTTCTGGTGGCGTCCCACCAGTGGCAGCATCTGAAAGTAGAACTATTTAGGAGTGAGACAGGGCAGCCTTCTATCCACAGGATGCAAAGCTCCCCCATTCCCCTACATGCTCATAGATCTGGCCTGATGTTATGACAGCCACCATAGATAGGTCTCAAGGAGATTTGCAAATATACCACAAAACAGCTAAAACAGTTTTTAAAAACAACTAAAGATAGGCCTAAAAACAGTACAAGATGAACACCTAAAGCAGAGACCTTTCCCTTGTCAATATTGGAGACCAAGATTCTCTGTAAATTTATCAAAGAAGACAAGCTATGGAGCTGCTCTTTGAGGTAGAAGACTATCCAAAACCAGGCTTCTAGCATTTAAAATGTACATAATTCTATGTGCATTTTCTCCATGGGAGTAGTTACTTTGGGGTTTGAGCTGACTCATATTCAAAAAGATGCACCCAGCTCTCTTCAACTGCTCTATTAATTTATTAGACAAATTACACTCTCTTTAATATTCAGTTTATGTGCTTTCAGTGTAGTGGGCCCAAGCCTGTGGAACTCCATGCTAACTGAGATTAGACAGGCTCTCTCCTTGCACATAACTAATACTTCCTTGCTCCATTTTAAGGTGGTGTTTGGCTTTATGATATGTTCTCATTGTCGCATTTCCTGTGGATTTATTTTTACATATACTGCATAAAAATGCAGTCAAGCAGTACTGATACAGGGTAAGTAGGCAAAGTAATGTTAAAGTCAGATTCTGATTTGCAGGATACCAAAGTACATTAATCCATCTTTTTTAAACATTAAAAAAAATGAACCATTTTGAGGTTCTTTATCTGCAGGGCCTCAGACCTGATTGTGGGATGCCAGCCCATCTAAGGAACAGGTGTTGGATCCTTTGTATGCAGAACATGGACCTATAGTGTTTGCTCACAAGTAAGACCTGCTGAGTTCACTGAGGCTCATGGTGCAATCCTAAGTATAGGAAGATGGTGCAACTTATGACGGATTAAATTAAGCTGGTGTTAAGTTACCATTGGGACAGGGGTGGCGCTGTGGGTTAAACCACAGAGTCTAGGACTTGCAGATCAGAAGGTCGGCGGTTCGAATCCCCGCGACGGGGTGAGCTCCCGTTGCTTGGTCCCTGCTCCTGTCAACCTAGCAGTTAGAAAGCACGTCAAAGTGCAAGTAGATAAATAGGTACCGCTCCGGTGAGAAGGTAAACGGCGTTTCTGTGCGCTGCTCTGGTTCAGCAGAAACGGCTTAGTCATGCTGGCCACATGACCCAGAAGCTGTACGCCGGCTCCCTCGGCCAATAAAGCGAGATGAGTGCCGCAACCCCAGAGTCGTCCGCGACTGGACCTAATGGTCAGGGGTGCCTTTACCTTTCAGTTACCATTATTCCAAACTCCATTCAGCAGCAAGGCTACTGCAGGCTGATCTGGCCTTTAAAATAGAGTTTGACTTACACAACAACCCTCTTTGCTTGCGTATGTTCCACCGGGTTGCCTGGTCACATGACTATTTCGAATAGGTGCAGGTCTATCCTTGTCTTGCCCCACTTCTGCAACCCTCCCTATTTCAGACTTAAGATGGTTCAAGATACACAGACTAAGCCAGAACAGCCATGTTAAGGGACGCATGCCGGCATGTTGCTGGCCGAGCTGGGATGAGGGAAATCTGCTTGCGCAGCTCTGGTTCAGCAAAGACAGCCCAAGATCTCCCTATTCTAAATTTACACACCTTGATATTAGATTGCTCTATCAGTCCCAAATAAGGATGCATGGGATTATAGCAATGGGTAAGACCTCTTGCAAATGTTAACTCAACAGTGTGCAGCCTTTTAGAACAGCAACAAAAGCAATCAGTTTCCACTTGACTGTATTTTGGCTAGAGTCTCCTGTAATAGACAGGGAGTCTATAAGAAATGGGAGGCAATTTATTCTCGCGGCACTGAGGGCTGCATAACTGTCAATAAAATCCAGGAGACCTGACTCCAGTCCCCCTGCTCTGGCCTCCAGATCTTGCTGAGATAATGCTTTGGGGCTTCGGGGACATTTATGTTGAAAATGAGTTGTAATTGAGAGCTGTATATATTGACCAATAAAAGTTTATGGCAGTGAGGCAAGAAGGGGAGAAACACAAACTGTTAAATTCCTCCCTGCTTCTGCAGAAGACACACCAAGGGAGGCAAACCTGTCACAGCCTTTCAAAGGTGCTCTTGTCAGTGGCTCTAAATGGGATCATCGGGCGGAGCTTTGATTACCAAGGGCTCCCCCCAAAAGGGGATCATTTCCTTTACCCTTTGCTGCAGTTTCATGTAGAACGAAACTCTGCATTGCACACAATCTCCCCCCTTTTCCCCCAATGTTGCTTTTATTAACCCTGATTAGTATGAGGCAATGGAGCCCCAGGCGATGACAACGAAAAGACACCAGAGCCAAGAAATGTACCTCTTTAGGCTGCTTGTGGGGCTTTTTTTGGGGGGGGGGGAGTGTTTGTTTTTTGAAGTTAGACATAGGAAGAAGAAAAAACGTCCAGGGCGTATGCATGTGTATGGCTGTGCGTGAGAGATGGAGAAGCTGGGTAGTATTTGCTCTGCGGCCAGCACTGTTTAAATCGCTGTCTATATTTAGCCTCTGAGTCATCACAACTGCTGACAAGAGGCTGAATTAGCTGAGACTTTGGTACTGCACCTGACTGCTGGCCTTTGTGTGTCTCCAACAGAGAAGGAGTGTAGCTCTGTCTCAAGATTTTCTGAGTCGCTTCATCCGGCAGATCTGAAAGTTCCACTTCTACCTCCAGTTCTGTGTAGTGTAAACACTGGCCACTCCCTCTTCCTCATTCTCCTTGGGGCATCAGCTAAAAGATGGCTTAAGTGAAAGGATCCTTGTCCATTGGCTTCTTAGGAGAAGAAGGATTTTGTGTGTGTGTGTTGCAAAATAAAGCCGTGTGCTAATAATAATAATAATAATAATAATAATAATTTATTATTTATACCCCGCCCATCTGGCTGGGCCTCCCCAGCCACTCTGGGCGGCTTCCAAGAAATATTAAAATACTGTCATATATCAAACATTAAAAGCCTCCCTAAACAGGGCTGCCTTCAGATGTATTCTAAAAGTCTGGTAGTTGTTGTTCTCTTTGACATCTGGTGGGAGGGCGTTCCACAGGGAGGGCGCCACTACCGAGAATTTTTCTGGCAACCTGCTTCCATTGACTTGCTTATACTAAATCTTAAGAGCAAGTTAGGAATCGATTCTCAGAACTGGATTGTTGCAGGAAACACCACTGCAAGTTAGTAGAACTGAAGGAAGTTTGCACTCCTAGGACTATCTGGTCTCCAGCCAGGGGTCTTGCTGCCTTCAGATAGCTACCTTGGCAAACTGCCATTTTTTACTCTTTATGCAGCAGTATGGTAAAGGTAAAGGGACCTCTAACCATTAGGTCCAGTCGCAGACAACTCGGGGGTTGCGGCGCTCATCTCACTTTACTGGTCGAGGGAGCCGGCGTACAGCTTCCAGGTCATGTGGCCAGCATGACTAAGCCACTTCTGGCGAACCAGAGCAGCGCACGGAAACGCCGTTTACCTTCCCGCCAGAGTGGTACCTATTTATCTACTTGCACTTTGATGTGCTTTCGAACTGCTAGGTTGGCAGGAGCTGGGACCGAGCAACGGGAGCTCACCCCGTCACGGGGATTCAAACCGCCGACCTTCCGATTGGCAAGCCCTAGGCTCTGTGGTTTAGACCAAAGAGCCACCCGCGTCCCTTTATGCAGCAGTAAAGGTAAAGGGACCCCTGACCGTTAGGTCCAGTTGCGGACAACTCTGGGGTTGCGGCGCTCATCTCACTTTACTGGCTGAGGGAGCCGGCGTACAGCATGACTAAGCCACTTCTGGCGAACCAGAGCAACTCACGAAAACGCCGTAGTAGTAGTTGACCAGTATTAGCTGCTGTTAATATGTGTAAAGAGGACATCCCCAAATGCTTTGGAAAGGTACATAGCAAGGAAGTGCAGGTGCTTCTTCCTGGTGTGAGCATTCTGAATGCACATTTATCCTTCCTACTTGGCCTTCATCACTGAGGCAGATTGTTCACGCCTGTACCGTAGTGGAGTATAAAATGTGGATCTTCTTTTAGTGAAGACATTGGAACTACCAAGGGCCAGCATCTGACATCCATTCTAGAAGCACAGATGAGGGAGAGGATGAGCTGAAGAAGGAAAGAACTTTCTTTTAAGGCAGTTGGGAAATGAATTGTAGTCTGGAGCACGTATCCTATGACCATACATGCACAGGACCATACTTGTGCAATTGTGCTGTAGGTTGAGAGGAGAGATGGCTTGAGGAAGGCAGAGGAAGTTGCCAGAGAATGTTGCGCTGCACTTTAATTCCCTCCTAGAATATGTTTCAGTTGGGCAAACTCCATGCCAATCCTGCTGTTGATTCTTAATGCGTAGGATCAATGGGGAAGCCATCTGGTGGCCTATACACATAAAAATTCACAACCATTTTCTTAAAGCTTTTTGCTTTGTCATCTGAAAGCATACCTTGGGCCAATGAAATGAAGCCACATTTCCCTCTTTTTTTTGCTCGGATTGCTTTTTTTTTTTTTTAGGATAGGCGTGAGTATACTTGCCTTTATGTTATTTAATATTAAGGCTGTGTTTTAATTGTTATAACTGGCCCTGGGACCTTCAGGTGAAGGGCAGGCAATAAATTGTTGTTACAACAACAACAGTTTGTGAGGCTTGTATGCTTGTATTGCTTGACTTGGAACCCTTTTTTCAAAACCCTTGAACAGAGTCTCGGGGATTGCCAATTCCAAAACCAACAGAATTGAGAGCCTGTGTTGGGTATAGAGCACCCTTCCTTCCTTTTTGTTGCATACAGAGCAAGAAACTAAACAAACCATCAGAGTTAAGCAAGACAAGAAGGGCCACATCTTGTGGGCCTGGGAAAATGGTAGCCTGCGGTTATCTTCTCTGGCTTGGAAGTCAACTGGTTCTTGCTACCACTTCCTGCAGCCTCAGTCCTGAAAGACAGAGATGGAAGAGAATGGTTATTTTTAATTGTAAGCATACTGAGGAATAGTCCACTTATACAATCTTCCAGCAAATAGATTGGGTCACACATCAGAGGTGGATTTAGGGGAGCACAACCAGTTCAGTCCTCGGGAGGAGGAGGGCTGCAGCTATGATTCAGAATGAAAGGCAAGAGGTGGGGTGCCTCTGACATTTGAGAGGTCTGCCACTGCACACACACACCCTGCAAAACCCTTGGGCAGTATCTTTCCCCGTACAGACTCTGTGTTGGCCCATATTATTGCTTATGTGGCCAGAATATAACTTTTTCCCCTCCCCCTGTCCCTGCTTACCAAGTCACTTTTTCCTGAAATATACTGCACTGTTCTGAAATGCTCAGTGGCGTCCTTCTTAAAATAGTTAGGTGGGTTTTTTTTAAATTTCAAGTCTAATGGGAAGACTATTGTGTGTTTGATGCATTTCCGCACACACCCTTTTCATAAGCTTGCATTTTATGTGACAGGCGCATGGTACCTGAAGGATCTCTCTCATCTTCCCCTCTGAGTTTGGGTTGAAAATTAAATATTAGAGAACCATTAGCACAGCTGGACAGTTTTCTTCCTAGTTCGCTACCTTCTTTTTAATAGTAAGAACAGAGGTGTCTACGGTTGTGCTTGTTGTTCTGTGACTACTTCTGCTTCCCCTCACTCTGTCCACTGCCCGCCAACTTCCTTCTCCATGTTCCTGACCTCTGTTGCCTTGGGGAACTTGAGTGATTTCCTTGTTTTACCTAATGTGTAATCTGTCCTGTGGCAGCACAGTTTGCCTCCAGGCCCCTGGCAGGCAAAACAACTTTTCAAGTGACTCAGCTTCTGGCTTCTGTGCGCTGCATACTTTGTTTTGCATATCATACTCATCGGTTTGTGTTTTGGTTGTTGGAGTCCCCTTGATTTTCTGCTCCGGTCTTCAGAGTTCCATTTTATGTTGTTGGAATGGCAACTTCAGAGTTAACAGTGACTCCGTCTAGTCCGATAAAAGCTTGGCTGAAAGTTTGGAAGTGGCCACACCTTGGTCTTTTTTAAAGATTGGGCCAAAATGAATTTTTTTTTAACATCCACGCCATTAATAAAAGTTTGCTCTCTTGTGTAAAGTGCTCAGCTGCTTGAAAAAAATCTATTTCATTGCACCAGATGTCCCAATTAGCAACACAGTGATGGAAATCAGATCTCAGATATTTTGAAAAATTACTTTTAGATTACACTCTGTGAGTATTTCATCCAACATTATTCCTTTCTTCTGAATTCTTTCTCCTTATCCTCAGAACACACACTTGCACACCTGTAAATGTCTTAGGAAGTTTTTTGAATTCGACACTGGCTGGAATAACATATAACAGATTCCTTGGTATTTACAACAGCTGCTGGATTGACCGTATCCCACAAAGGAACATAATTTATATTGTGTAGGACAAGGTTGAAGGGCACTTTTTTGAGAGAGAGGTGGGGTGAGGTGTCTGCAGTGGTCATGGGAGAAGCTGGATCTGTGACACTTAAGCACTTTTAAGTTCCGGAAGCTGGTTCTTTTTATTTTATGCATACTGTTCTATGCTGCCCATTTCCTCAGCACTGAGAAGTTTCCATAGGACAGGAGTGGGAACCTTCAGCCCCAGGGCCACATTTTCTGTGGGCAACCTTTCAGGGGCGCAATTTGGGAGTGGGGTGGGCAGAGGTAAAAGTGCATCAGACTTTTAGCTATATACAGGAGGGCTCATTCCAGTCAGCAGAACTCAGAGGTTTCTACAAATACATTTCTCCATCTAGGCAAGCAACAGGCATGATCACAGCGCCAGGAGACATTTCCACCAAGGAGGGCATGGAGCAAGGCTGGAGAGGGGTGTGGTCTGGGGAGAATCTTGAGGGCCAAGAAGAGAGGCATGGAGGGCCACATTGGGTCCCTGGGCCTCAGTTTCCCAATGCTTTCTGTAACTGCAGCAATGCTCCCAAAATACACAAGGATAACATAAATGGAGAAACAAGCAGCATTGCACTCCTGTTGTGCATCCAATATACTACCTCACAGCTCATCCCCAGACAGAGGGATATCCTACACCTCAAAGTGTTTCTTGCCTTCTTTTAAACTCTCTGCCTCTCCCCAGAACTGCTATTCTGCACACATAACCCCACTCTTCTTAACTGGGTAAAAAGGTTGTCACTTCCTGGTTCTTGTAGAGCAGGGGTCAGCCAGGTTTATCTTGCCTGGGCCGGATCGGTTCCACAGAGATCCCTCTGTGGGCCGGATCACGCAAGCTCCATCAATTTTTGGTGTTTGCTCGTGCACAGATGCAATTTTCGGCACCACGGAAGCAAGACCCCATGCCGTACTGCGCCGGTTTAGCGCAGTGCGCGAGCGGGAGGTTCGGTTCAGGGGCGGCTCGTGGGCCTGTCAAACTACCTCTGTGGGCTGCTTCCGTCCCATGGGCCTTAGGTTGCTGACCCCAGTTGTAGAGTGAATATATATGTATATATATTCTCCAAAAAGGTAATTATTGGGAGTTCAGAGTTATATCCATCATTAGAGCAGACCTGACTCCTGAATTTACCCAAGCAGTCAATTGGGGGAGTTGGTGATCCTGCAAGGGAACCAACTGGTATGCTTTCAGAATCCTTTCAATGTCACAGAAGATACTGGAGTGCTGCTGCTCTCAGCCTGCACAGCTGAGATGTGAGCTTTTTCGGTCATGTGGCACAGCTGCTTGGGCTTTCTTAATGTCTTGGGTCAACCCTGGTCAGCTTAAACCAGGCTTCCATTCTCTGCCGCTTTGGAAGGAAATAAAAGCCCATTGTTAACAAATGAGGCATTATGAATGAGAATAAGCAGACTTCATGCTGATAACTGAAGGGAACCAGAAAGAGAAACAGTCCTGAAGTTGCCAGGGGTCCTTTGTTTTAAGGGGGCTTCCCCTTTAATCTACATCACAGCGTTATGGGATATAAGGGAGGCAACACACGTCATAAGCGTGCAGTGTGTAGAACAATGACAATGGCTTGAATCCAGAGTCGGTCTTCCACAAATGGAAGAGCTCCTTCCACCCGCAGAAGGAGGTACAATCCAGCAATTGCCCCTGCTGTTTCCTGCACTGCTTCCCATTCTGTTCTGGATGGCCTTCTGACACTCTGGAGCAGATTTTGGGGGGCTGCAAAGGAAGGGGGAACTCTGATAAATCTCCTCCCCCTTCCTTCAGCAGCAGCATGCTGTGAGCACAACTCTACTCACTGGATCGCTCCATCCAACCCTGTGTCTGCACACGTCTCTGATTTTTGAAACTGGGATCTGGCATCCATTGGTGCCTAATTTTAAAAGCCTGATTACGGCATTTGACAGGAGATGAGTGGCCGGGTGCTCTTGTCCAAAGGTAGCAGCATAAGGTTTCAGTTTCTCCCTCACCACCACCACCACCCCAAACCAATTTTCTACATTTGCTGCTTGATAATGGGACCTGAAATAACCCCTAGGTTCCCCCCCCCCTGTTTTTGTTTTCAAGTGTGTTCTTGCTTAAGGTTTAATTGGCTCCAGTCAGTAGGAAAGGGCTCCAAGACTGATTATTTATGGCTTACTGTCAAAAGGAGCTATAAAAAGGGGCAGTATTATCTTGGAGATGCTGGGAAGCAAAGCATGGGGAGGTGGGGAGAGAGAGCGCATAGGAGTGTGTTTTCTTGTACTGGATAAAATCAGTTTTGCTGTCTCAGCAGTGTGGTTTAAATTGAAGATTAACCCTTTGACCTTCACGGTGTCAAATCACTTACAGATGGATCACCAGCTACACTTCTCTCTCTCTCCCTACCCTCTTTCCCCCCTTCTCTTTCTCCTATGTTTTGGGGGTGGGGAGGGGGGCACCCTCCTTTTTTTAAAAAAAAAAAGGAGGGGAAAGAAGTTGTTTGTTCTTGCAGCTGGGGCTTTGAGTGGCTCAGAAGCCAATCTGATTAAAAACAGCACTTGGCTAAACTCTGCAGAATCCTGCAGAAAGGAGGAGAAGAAGAAAAAACCTTAATCCTTTTGTGCACAATACATAAAGGGTCTGCTCTTTTCTTTTTTACAATGTTGGAGCTACAGTGATTCCTGGAGGATCTACCTCTCTCTCTCTCTCTCTCTCTCTCTCTCTCTCTCTCTCTCTCTCTCTTTCTTCTTCTCCCTCTTTCACATTTTGGGCCTGCCCTTGAAAGCATAACTGGAGTTTTCACTGGAAACTTGGGCGATGAGTTTAATATGAGTAATCGTTGTTTAGACCCTTTCCCCTTTTTACAGCACCAGCAGAACCGAAACCAGGTCTGGTGGCAGATCCTCCTTTTCCTCCATAACGTGGCGTTGAACATGGAGGCCAACAGACACCACGCGGGTCGGAGGTGAGAGCTACCCTGCTTCTTCCGGGTCCCATCCAGTCTTCTGGGAGCACTGAACAAATCCAGGGCAGACATGTGTATGCCACTAGACAGATGTGAGGCTCCTGTGAAACTGAGGACACTTGTACAAAGGACTTGCTTTCTCTCTCCGCGGCTTCCTGTCCTCTGAGGTGGGAAGCTTTGGTCCAACACTGTTGAAGAACAATCCTCCAATCAAATGTGTGTGGCTTCCACTCAAGAAGCAAGCGAGCAAGGAAGGGGCTGGTATAGGGAAGCTTTGGTTTTAGCCAGTGATGGGCGCATGCAGCATTTTGCAACATTGCTTGCCGGTTAGAATTTAGGGACGATGAGTCACAATGAATTGGGGTATTTTGCAAATGAGGCACACTTGTTTCGGGAAACCTTTTTTTTTAAAAAAAAAAATCTGTTCAGGAATAACTATGAAATGGCATACGTGTATAGCTGGGGGAATATTGAATCCTTACATTTTAATGCTGGGATACACTGGTTTAAAAAAAGGAGCAAAGCTTGACTGGAAATATACCTTTTCTGGAATTCACGAAGCCATGCAGCTGGGTCCCCCATCCCATCTTTTATTTTGGGGGGGAAATCGAAAAATAAGGAACACCTTCTCATTTAAAGTACTAACTGCACTACTTTGAGAACACAAAAGTGTATTGTGTTTAACCCAGCAGATGAAATTGTGCTGTATCATATATTTATGAAAATTTTAAGCATCATTGCCTTAATCTTATTCAAATATATCCAGTGTTAGAGGTGGAGCTGCAAGCTACTGCCTCTAAGATACCTATCTTTATTTTGTGAGTTGGGAAAAATAGGAGTAAAAATGATGGCAGAAGTTCACCGTCACAATCTTCCAATCGTTCCATCAGCACAAGCAATTCCAGCTTCCCCAATGGAATGATATTCCTTCTCGTCGCTGCGCAAGCTGTTCTGGAGTTCTCCTGGCATCCCCCCCAGAGCCAGTTTGAGAGGGTCTTGGGGGTGCAGTGGGATTTCCCCCTCCCTCCACTAGCTCCCACTAGCGCACCTACTTAGTTGAATCCTACCCATTTTAACAAATATATTATTGATGGACTACAGAAACCAGAAACATCACAGTCAACTTGAGGGTGGGGAATATTACCAGGACTTAGATAGAGAGACCTTGATACACAGCTATGAAACTAGTTTGGCACTCCAGGGCAAGTTTGGGACTTGTGACACTTTCAATCTTATGCAAGTAAAAAGTCAGAGGGTCTCTTTTCCCAAAAAAACCAAACACCTTTCCACAATACTGCAGAAACAATATATCAGATATTTGGCAGAACTCCTGCACCAAATCGCCAAAGATGTTCTGCATTCTGCAACATTTAGAGGTCTCTTTGCTAACATCTAAGAGTGTTCCTCATTTGGTGATCCAGCCCAGATTAATAGCAATTATATCCTTGCTAACTCTACTTACTTCTAATATATCGGATCTAAGAAAATAAAAACTTAATTAATTGATTGTGTCAGTATGATTTTTAAAGGCTGCTTTTAAAAGCAATTCACTTGTTGTGAAAGAAAATTTATTTCACAAGGGGTTTTGATTCGCTATCATCCCAAATTTCTAATTTTTCAACTTTTCCTTTTGGGGAGAAAGCATGGCATGGGGAGAGAGAGTTTCCTCCCCCCCCCCGCCTCTCGGGGGCCTTAATTCTACTTCATATTCCCCTCTTCCTTTGCTGCCTCATGCTCTCGTGAAGCTGACCTTGCAATATTTGCACGAATCAGTGCAACTATTTCTTGTTAGATTATTTCTCAACGTTTTCCAGGATGACGTGGTAGCTTACTGCTCAAAGGACTGTTTTCAGCCTGTTGGAAAGTGGTCTCCCTGGACCCATTCCAGACCCTGGAGAATTTCTAATAGTTCATCATGATGTGAAAATGGATCATTTAGGAGGTGTGGTTGTGACGATGAGACTTTGTTGGCAGACTCCTTTGGGAGGTCAAGTTTGGGCTTTCGGCCATATAAATATATGCATACTCAGGGAGTTATGCTTCTCAGAGTAACTCCCTGGCAAAATCAGTTGCTGAATGAGATTGCACAACCTATAATGGCCTATGGAGTTAGTGATGGTGTCGGTGGATTATATCTTCTTTTTTAAGGACTCGTCTAGTTTCATTTTTGGCAACCCCTTTCACAGCTTTTCCTGATCAATAAAAGTAATTCCTTTCCCATGTGTTACAGAGCTAATGCCTAAAGTCCATTTGATATATCCCCATTTGCCAGCAGTATTGGAGGTTGCCATGAGTGAACATTGGCTAGCAAAAAATAAATGTCATGAGAGTTCTTATTGGCTTTGAATCTGAATAATACACAGTATTTGAGCAATATGGAACAACGGATTATGTAGAACAAAGGATGGGCATCTTTAGTTAATATTGATACAGAATTATTATCGTTGAGTAATAAATAATATTTGATTGCATCCAACAAATTGTCCTGATAATGCGAGGGCTTCCACTTGCTCAACAGCTCCTCTTCTCCTCATGCTCTCTCTCCCAAATTTGTTCTGGGGTTCCTCTAACTACCTGGAACCCCCAACTATAGAAGGTGGAGAGGGAGAGGAACTCCTGTTGAAAGGATGACTTCATTGGATAGAACCCTTCATGTGTTAGTTACTATTATTATTGTCAGTATTGGCTGTTGGTTAATACTGAACAATTGTAATAATACATACATATTTAAAAGTGTGACCGAGAAACAAGACTTGCAGCTTGGGCTGCACTGTAGGATGAAAGCAGACAGCGGCTCCATCCTATCTTGAATATCTAAGGATGCGAACGTCATACCTGAGTGACGATCTGGGGAGCCTTCAAGGAATTTCAGCTTCTCATTTCCTGGAGAACAGTAAAAGCTGCTACTTAAGATATGGTAATAGAAAATGAGGAGTTCCCCATTTGCTGCCTCCACTGTCCTTAGGCTCTTTTAAAATATTAAACTCAACTGCACAGGCTAGAAAGACTTGGCTTATTATGGGTATTCCCTATGAGTTCTGCAGCTCCATCATGTTTCGTTTGTATACTTTAGCCGGTCTGTTTTTTCTGGTCTCTGTTTCTGGATAGTGTACATATTTTAACTGCCTTGTGATGCCGTATTAACATTTTGTTATTGTGACATGCTAGGGTTGCCCTCTCCGGGAGTCAGCTGTCTTCTCCAAGTGTAATCTTTGGGAGGAGTGAGTGCTCAAGTGTGTAAATGTATAACCATTCATTGCACACACTGCCCCTGTATTTGTACAGCACTGGAGAAGGATTTTCCCAGTGGTCTTCAGAGGAGTACTTGTCCCTATTGCCATCTGTGAAATGCAGGAGGGCATATGTTTGTACTCTGTTGTGCATTTGAGGACCTCTCTGTTTTCTCTCAAGTCAATATAGGCTGTAAGGCTGCATTTCCAACCTCCATTGCCCTGGGCTGGGAGGAAGAGGCAGACTGGGCATGTGGCCTCCACTTGCAGAGTGTTGCCAGCATCACTCTCTAGCACAGAGCTTCTCTTCTGCAGGTGATGTGCCTGCTGGTGGCAGCCCCCAGGAAACCCCCAAACAGGAGACGGAACAGGGCTAAGATGGCCTAGGATCCACTGGTTCCCAAGCCAGCCCTGCCCCACTGCCATAACATGTGACAGAACAGAACTGGTGCAGTTGTTTGCAATGAATGTGGTGGTAGCACTGGGGTGTTAGACATTTGCAAATGTCAGAGTTTTGGAGTGGTAGCTATCACCATTGGACTGTTTGGAAGATAGTGAAATTTGTACCTTTTAAAGTATCTTTATGCATGTTTCCATAAAGCCATTGATTTATTTCATACATGTGCACACTTTTTCAAGCACAAGTTTTAAGGTGAATCTGACATTATTATTACTATTTTAAGTTGCATTCTGCACACCCTTCATCAGCATATTTGTCCTTGACTAAAAGTGCTTCCAGGCAGGGGTTTATTGTGGATTTGGTACTGTCATGCATCCAACTTTGTTTGTAGGCAGCATCCACACAATGTCATTGGCAATGAAACACCAGCTCATATTCCCTCACTGCCCCCTGCCCCCAGCTGCCAAAATATAATCCGGATTTACCCTTTGGGGGGGGGGAGCAAATTCAGTAAGGAGAAAGAACCCTATTGTTGACTACCCATTTGTGGTATCTCCAGGGCCTACTTGCAAATTAAGTCCCCATCTGGAAGCATCCTCAGAAAAGAGGATTTAAATAATAATAATTCTGGGCATCTTTTCCTTTTCTATCTCTTTCTCATTTTCTGTTCTTTCTTTGTCAGTCCTTTTTAAACTTCCCTTGGATTTTTTAAAGCCAGTAATAGTGCTTTTGCTGCAATTCTTGGAAACTGAGACAGAAATCATAACAAACTGCACTGCCTAAGGTAGTTTCCAGCTGCCAAGAATTAGGGCAAGGTGGGGAGAGAGGAGGGAAAATGGTCTTCAGATAAAAAGAGCAGCCCTTGGGAAGTCCGGCTTTTCACAAAGTGCTGATGGTCTCGGTGCTAGCAGTGCTCTGCTGCACAACTTCTGTGGCTACAGATGCACCGCTACCGTTTTTATGTTGGTTTCTGAGGTTTCTCTATGTTCCATGGCCTTTTTATTTTTCCCATTGTACCAGGCCTGCCTGTCTTCCCCTGCCAACCTAAGCAGCCTGTTGGCAGCAAGTTCTTGTCTGTGTTCCTGAAGGATGGAACTCTCTCGTTTTGCATGCTGGCCCTGAAGCAAGGCTTTCCTGCTCTTCCAGCCTCTCCGCCGCTCGCAAGCTTTGTCCATATCAGCTGCTAGAATAAGGGAGCAGGAAGGGTAATCCAGTGCCTGCATAGGAGGCCATGCCTGTAGCTTTGCTTTTTCCTCAGATTGGCTACTGGTCTTGTTTTGCTCCATGTGGAGTATGAATAAGGGCTGTTTTGGCATGGCGATAAAGCCTGAGTTAGATAAAGCACCAAGATGCTGTTCAAAAGGAACTGCGAGCTGGTATTGATTCACATTAATAAGTACTTTGCACAAATAAGCACATACATAGCCCCCGATTCACAGCAATAGCTGGCTTCAAGCCCACTTTGACAATGCTGCCCTGTGGAAGTGGGTCGGGGATGGCATTAATCGCACATTCTGAACCTGGCACAACAGGTCGAATGTGCTTCATGGAATTTGACATACACAATGGTTGGGAGAATCTTGAGCAGAAAGTTGGAAATATCAATGCCTCTGAACAAAGACTTATGGCAAGGCTTAATAGAAATTGCCCACTAGCCATAAGCAGAGTAAGTGTATACTTAATGGAGAAAATGCTATAAGCACCACAAATGAAACCAGTATATATATTTGCTACTCCACATTGTAGTCACAGACTGCCAAATTGCATTCTGGAACATGGGAAGGTGTCTTCTGCTGACACAGCCCATTGGTCCTTTCTCCTTAGCTTTGTCTACACTGATTGACTCTCTGGGGTTTCCCAGCCCTACCTAGAAATACAAGGGATTGTTCCTGTGACTACGTCCCTCCCTATGCCCTTTTAAAAAAAAACCCGAATGCATCTGTAGAGACTTTGCCCACCTGAATGTGCCTGTGTGTGCTGCCAGCTACTCTTCCACCACACACCAGTATCGCACACCCACCGTCCAGGGAGCAGGGATTGGGGTGGAAGGAAGAAATCACTGCAGGGCCAGCCCATTCGGGGAAATGGGGCAGCCAGCTTGACCAGCAGGTGCTGGTAAGCAAAGAACAGCTGTGCAAGCCTGGAGTTTAAAAATGCCTTGGGATTGGGCTGCTGCCTTATCACCGGGTGCATCAGGTGATTTAAAGGTATTGGGTAGGTTTCTGGATGGTAACCTGGCGATCCAAACACACCGCTTTTTCTGGCATGGATTTTAATACCCTTTGCAGAGCAAGCATGTTAATGATGACATGTGGGGATAGCCATCCTGGGTGTTGTTTTATTATCTCCTAACCCGCCCAGTTTTGTGTTCTGAAAGCAGGCATTGTTGCTCATTCTCCTATTACGTCCTATTTTTAAATGATTGAGTTCCGCATATTAGCAGTGGGCAGAGCTTACCTGACCTCCCGTTAAGAATGTCGCTGCAGTTTACCAGAACGGAGCAGGGGGCGATATGCAGCAACAAGGTCAGCACTGTGCAAACGCCAATCCGACACTCACGCCAGTGCACTGGCAAGGTGCCCACTCCACCACTGGGAATGGGAGGTCAGCTACGTGCTTCCACCCTGCTGACAGTGGCTGCTTCCACTGTGGATGATAGACTCAGTAGTGGAGCTAGAAATACGCAAAGCAGGCCTGAGGATTGTTCTGGTGGAAGATACCAATTGCTGGCAGATTCTGCCAGCAATTTATTCGAATGGGATGGAGGGCTTTCCTTTATTGGCAAGCTTGTTGCATCTGAATTGCTTTGTGTTAGTTGCAGATGAAAGTGTGTTCTCAAAGTAGCTGCTAAAGTCCGAAGTGAGCTGAAGGCACAGTCCCGTTGCACTGACTGAGTAAATCCTACTGAGCTTTGTAGGACTTACTTAGTAAGTCGGTAGGGGGTTGTGCCCATGTCATGTCAGTATCTCTGCCGCTCTTCAGAGCACTTCAGCAAATCCTCAGAAATTTACCTTTGAAAACCCAGATATGTTCTCAAGGTGCGACGTTTTGAGACATCCTTCTCAGTTGAGGGCTCACATGCCTTAGTTACAGCTCATCCATTTCATAGCTTGGAGGGAAAAAAGATTGATAGGGATGCCAGCTTCTCAGCTTGTTGGTGTGCCACTAAAAGCTGCTTGATTTGCAGGAATTAGCTGCCGACATCCCCATTATAAAAAGGTATATTTGCTGGTTTCTGCACATCTAGCTGCTCTGAAATGTTAAGTCTGAATGCTCCCCCCCATCAGTTGGCAACCCCGGTTGTCGTTCCAGTGATTATAATCCAAAACTGCTTAATATGGCCATTAAAAATAATAAAAGGTTGCTTTTGATTGTTTAGCCAGCAGGGGGGAAATGCATCAAAAAGGATTTCTTAGTGAGCTGTCCAAGAACTCTTTCAGCATGTAAAGCACAGACTGGGAACCTGTGGCCCTCTGGATATTGCTAGACTGCAGTGTCCGTCAGACAGCATGCCCAGTGGGCAGGGATTGTGGGAGTTGTAATCCTGCAACATCTAGTAGGTCACAGTTTCCCCACCTCTGACGGAAAGAGTGCTTGGGATCATTCAGTTTCATTTGTACATGGGCTCAGAACTGGTACAAAGTTCTAATTCTTAGCTGTAAGTATATGGAGAAAACAGGCCAAGGGTGTCTCCAGATGAGTGTTTATTGTGGATTTGGTGCTCCTCATGCATGCAAGTTTTATGCAGCAGCCACACTATGTTGTCAGCATGTAAATGCCAGCCTGTCTCCCCTGCCCTCTCTCTGGAGAAAAATCCAATAAATGAAAACAAACCCTTGTTGCCAGCAAGCCATTTGCAATATCTCAACAACCCATTTGCAAATTAAGCCCCTTTTGGGAAATATCCCAAACACGAAATGTTCTGGAATATAATTGTTTATGTGTATAAATAAAATGTAGTCTCTTCTATCCCTCTGCTTGAGATACGGTTGCTCCTGTTTCAAATGCCTTGCTGCCCTGGACCTCTCTCAGCAGCTTGACTTGCTGGGCTTAGAAGGGGGGTTGATGTTCATTTCCATGTTGTAAAAAGCTGTACCCGGTTATTTCATTCCAACCAAGCCGCTGTTGAAAGGCGCAGCGACAGAGACTAGTTCAAATATTGGCAACCCTCCCCTCTGCCTGCACAGACACAAACACACACTTGTATAAGAAACACTTTTCCTTTGAAATTAATTATGGAACTTGGCATCTTCCAATGAAAAATCTGAGTGAAGGTTGGTTGTGTTTAAAAGAAGCTCTGCTGAAAGCAAGTGAACATCAGTAGCTCAGACCTAACTTTTCCCATTGATTTCAATGGGTCTTAAGTGCAACTGTCTCTGGGTGGGGCCTGTGTCTCAGGAGGGGGCACTGCAGATTATGGAAGCCATTTCCTGTGTTTATGAGGAGGGCTTTTGTCTATTTGAAGCCTTTGAGTAAAGCGGGGTGTGGGATGGGGGAGGCAACTTAAGGGTGCTAAGGGGATTGAATTGTTTAGACGGTTTAAAATGGTGTTATGAAAATTATTGCGTGTACAATGCTTTTTCTATAAAAAAACCCTAATGATTTCTTCTGTATGGTTTTTTCTTCTGAAGAGCTTCAAGGAGTCAGATATAGGCATACACAACCCGGAAGGCAACTGTTACATAACATCCTTTAGATGACTTTTCAAAGTGCAAGGTGCTTTTTATTCTTACTCTTACGATCTTGTTCACCTTCACAAGAGCCACTTAAAGCCAAGCTGTCCAGAACGTCTTGGCCAAAGAAAAAATAGGCAGGTCTAGTTTGTCATACAGGCATGAAGAACAAATAAAGAATGAAGGACTGTCCCTTGTAAAGAAGGCTACATGGCCACTGTGCCTCCCCTTTCCAACTCCTTGACACCATATTCATCACATTGATGTAATATCCATTAAAGAAGGCTATACTATTTCTCTACCCTCTTCAGACAGATAGTCTGGTCAAGCGATGTGAAGAAGACCAAATATAAGTCAAATGTTTTGAAAAGTTGGGTTCCTAACTGAAGCATCAGCCTTCTTTCGGGGTTTTAGAAAATCCTGTTACTATAATGGTGTAACCTCCAGGTGAAGTTTAAATTTGGTTATTGTGCCTTTTTCTTTTTTCTTTTGCAATCCTCTCCCTTCCCAATTGCAGATTTTTTAAAAAAGGGATTTAGATATGCGCCACGATTCTTTCAGGAGTGATATAGAAAGAGAAGTGTGCGTTGCTCCCGCACTGGACTCTTGTACTTTTTATAGAAAGAAGTTAACTTGACAATAGCCAATTGCACTGGGAAAGCAGGTAACCTTTCTAAAATTAAAATTAGTTTTAGCATATAATTCACTCATGCTGTCTCCCCTCCGATCCTCCCAGCTTGCAAGATGGCTCTCCAGCCAGATCCTTGGCAAACCTGGTCCTGAAGCACACAAACCTCCTTTTCCATAGTCAGAGACCCAGCGAGAATGTAGCATTTTGTCTATCCTGGTTGTGTGCCTTCAGGACTCTTCTGCCTTGGCCTGTGGCAACTTTAGAGGAGATCCTTTTTTCCCCCTTTTAGTTTTTGGTACCTTTGCAATATATTTAGCTCTGGCTTTTCTCTGTTTTGGTGCTTTTAAATATATTTGAAATTCGTCTTGGATTTTTCCCCCATAACTGGTACAATTTTTAATAAAATGCTTAAATCAAATCCTCTCGTTCTGTGTGTTAATAATAGCTGCTCTTGAGTTCTTCTAGTTTTCACCTCGGTAAAAGATGGGAGATGCGAGCAGCACCTTTCCTATGGATTGGAGGGGACATGGAGGGGTGCATATGGGAGGAAGTGCCCCTTAGGTTACACAGTTCCGCCTGCAAGTCTTTGAAGGGCGTTGAAGGTCATCACTGGCACTTTCAATTGGGCATTCAGCACTACAGGCTTCTGAATGTTTTGGAAATGCAGCTCAATAGAGAGCGTCCTGCAGTAATCAACTTGAGAGATTAGCCAAAATGAACTCTGAGGTCAAATATTTGTGTGAAGACATGGGTGGGGCACCTTTTTGGGCTCCATGGACCAGATCCTTATCTGTATTAGCCTCACGGACCAAATCTGTGACAGGTGGATAGCCTGTCAATCATATGAGATCATTATGCCAGTCAAAATCCCTTGCATGGGGTTCCCAAGTACCTGACATCCAGCTCAAGCCCCTTGCCCAGGAAAGGGAATGTTAGCGACTGGCCTACAGTTGTTTACATCTTCTAAGTCCAGTTTAGGTTACCACCAGGACCAAGAAGATGCCAGTGTGTTTGACGTGCAGAATCAAAGAAGCTCTTAGAGGTAAGTCTTGTCCAAATGAGGAGGGAGTAAAAGGAACGTGAACTCTGGCCAAAATAAATAAATAAATAAGCAAGCTGACAATAAGGGATGCTAAAAGAGAATTTGAGGAGCACATTGTTAAAAACATAAAGACCGCCATCAACAAAATATTTTAAATACATTAGTAGTAGGAGACCATTTTGGGAGGCTTTGGACCCTTGGATAACAAGGGAGTGAAAGGTGTGCTGAAGGAGGACAAGGAGAAGAGAAGCTGACTGAATTCTTTGCATCTCTCTTTATAATAATAGCAATAATTAATAAATAGGGTGGGTCCTTGTTCCTGAACATTTGCAAGAAGTTCAAGGCCTAATAGATGAAATAAATGTGAAAAAATTGTTGGGACTAGTATGCATCCACTCAAGAATTGTCAAGGAACTCAAATGCGAAATTGTTAATATGCTAACAAAAATAGGTAACTTGTCCCTAAGATCTGGAAAAGATAGCCAACGTAACACCAATTAAGTGATCTGGGTTGGTAGGTTGGTGGTCTGGAAATTACAAGCCGGTTAGTGTAAAGTCTGTTTGGGAAGGCTGGTGGATAGTATTGTTAAACCAAATAACCAAGCCTATAGAAGAACAAGGCTTGCTGAAGCAACAGTAGCAGCAGCATGGCTTCTGCAAGGGTAAGTTCTGTCTCCCTAACTTACTAGAAGTAACACACATACACAGTAAAGTAGAGGCAATCCAGTTGACATAGTGTTCTTGGACTTTTAAAACGTTTTTAACAAGGTATGCCTCCAAAGATTCCTGAGCAAGCTTACGGTCAAGGAGTAAGAGGAGAGGTCCTTTTGTGGATTAGGAACTGGTTAAGTGGCAGGAAGCAGAGAGAAGGAATGAATGGACAGGTCTCCCAATGGAAGAGTTTAGAAGGTGGAGTCCCCCCTCCCAAGGACTGCTTTTGGGGACCTGTGCTTTTTAACTTGTTCATAGAGTTAGTGAGGTGGCCACGTTTATTTCACATATATTTTCCATGGGGTCCGAACTGCCAGTGAGTGACCAGATCAGGACAGTAGCAACTGTGGAAAAGACAAATTCCATGCTAGGGATAATTAGGAAAGAAGTTGAAAATAAAACTGCAGATATCATAATGCCATTATATAAATCTATGGTGTGACCGCATTTGGAATACACCAAATAGTTCTGGTGACCTCAACTCAGAAAAGGTATTGTAAAGCTGGTGAAGTTTCAGAAAAGGGCAACCAAAATGATCAAGGGAATGCAGAATATCCCCATGAGGTAAAGTTATAGCATCTTGGGGGAGAGGGTTTACTTTAGAGAAAAGGTGAGTGAGAGGCAGCATGATGCAAGTGTGTAAAATTATGCATACAGCATGGAGAAAGAGGACAGAGAAGAGTGTTATCCTCTCCTGCACTAGAGCTTGTGGACTTCCAATGAAGCTGAATGTTGGAAGATTCGGGAGAGAGAACACTGTGCATAAACTTTGGAGTTTGCTCCCACAAGAGGCTATGATGCCTTCAAAAGAGGGCTGGACAAATTCATGGAGGACAAGACAACCAGAAGCCAGTTTGCAGGCTTCTCATGGACCGCTGGTTGGCCACTGTGAGAACAGGATGGTGGACCAAATGGACCTGATCCAGCAGGGCTGTTCTTATGTTAGGTTTCTTCAGGAGCAGTCTAATCACTGTCCCTGTTAAAGAGGCTAGGACTACTCCCTCACGGAAGTGACTACTACTTCCTGGACCCAACCAGCCCATAACTGTATCCAGTTATTTGTTCAACAACAGAAGTACTGCTTCTGGCTCTGATGGAAATTGCAAATACAAGTAGGTTTCAGCAGCATCCCGTACTTCAAATACACGAACAATCTCTCCTGGTTCAACTATACAACTAGAATAGATAAAAGTGTCATTACTTTTAAAGGAGTTGATGGGTTATTTCATTTGGCCTTTCAGAAACTACAGTGGTACCTCGGAAGTCAAACGGAATCCGTTCCAGAAGTACGTTCGACTTCCAAAACGTTCAGGAACCAAGGTGAGGCTTCCAATTGGCTGCAGGAAGTTCCTGCAGCCAATTGGAAGCCGTGTTGGATGTTCACGTTCCAAATGTTCACAAACGGGGACACTCACTTCCAGGTTTGTGGTGTTTGGGAGCCAAAACGTTTGACTCGCAAGGTGTTCAGGATCCAAGGCACAACTGTACTGCAGTCCTGATGCTGGAAGGAAGCGCATGATCCACTCATCTCATGTGACTTTTGTAAGTGTCGTTATCAGTGCACCAGGGACAAATCCACATGAAATCCGGATCCCGTGCCACAATGGCAACATGAATCGACCCCATAACAGCTTGATTTCTTATGCACAAATTGCAGCCAACACTCTAAAAGAGAGCAGGGCACAATCCAGGTAAACGGAAGCACCATTTGAAGTGCCATCTGTTTCCATGAGAGGGTTAGGCATGTGCTTAAATTTCTCACATTCAATTCAGTGTGATTGAATGGGGCTTAATTTTAGCTGGCTTCTGACTCATTAAAAATAAATAAATTATGGAAGGAGGGGAAATCTCTCCTTGGATTTTCTGAGAGGGGTTGCTTCAGCTCAGAACCCCCTGCCTTGTCTCAGCTCTTAATGAAAGCTCTGAGGAGAAAGAGGTGGAATTGATTCAGACAGCAAGAAATTCAATCTGAGTTGTTTTCAAACTCTCCTGTAAATTAAAAAAAAAAAATCTTAGCATGGGTTGTAGTTGATGAAGTGTTTTTTTGTTTTGAAAGAGCTGAGTGTGCAGGTGTTGGTATAGAAAAATACAATGAAAATTGATGACAAGTCCTTCCCCTGGAGACAGAACAGGACTCTGGCACATTGAGCAAGCATTGTAATAATAAACAATTCTGCCATGAAAGGGCCAAGCCCATCTTTACTCAATTGTAAGAATAAAGATGCTATCGCAGGTTGTGCTCGTATGAATTCTGAAAAGTGGTTTGAAAAGAGAAGTATTACTCCGTAGAACCTGAGATGATCAGATAAGCAAAACCTGGACTCTCCTAATGCTCTCCAATGCTATCGCTGGGCAAAATGTCAATGATGCAGTCTTTTATTTTGAAAGGATCTCTTTAAATCAACAGAGGATAAATTCAAGCAGAGGTTGCTCCAGTCCCCCTCTCCACATACTAACGAAATATAAACCTGAACGCATGTCAGAATTCAGTGCAGTCAAACTGTCGGTTGCTGTTCTCCCTTCTGCTATAATTTAGGTTGGGAAAACGGCCACTTGCCTCCTGTGATGGCAGAACTGTTGCTGCTTTATAGGGCTGCTTCAATCTTGTGCTTTTATTTTATCTAGGACATGAAGCTAGTAGGACTTTGTGTTATGTAAAAATAGTACTCACCACCCTGTGAAAAAAAAAAATATTTACCCTAAGTTTTAGTAATACAGTGGTACCTTGGTTCTCGAACAGCTTACGTAGTTGTCAAACAAATCAGCTCCTGGACGCCACAAACCCAGAATTAAGTGTTCCAGTTTGCGAAGGTTTTTCGGAACCCGAACGTCTTACGTGGCTTCCACTTGAGTGCAGGAAACTCCTGCGGCCAATCAGAAGCCACACCTTGGTTTTTGAACGGTTTCAGGAGTTGAGCGGACTCCTGGAACGGATTAAGTTCGCGAAGCAAGGTACCACTGTATATGTGATGCACACCAGTTTCCAGAGCAGACTGTATCTGACATAAATTCAAGCCACACTAAGAACCCACTAGATGCCTAGGGAGGAAAGCCACAACATGCTTTTCCAGCACGTGTGACACAACTGTCGCCTCTCTCCTCCCCCCATGCACTCTGCTGGGGATTCCCTGCCCCCCTGAGCTGAGTGGTGGCCCGTAGGGAGAGGGAGGAAGTCCCATTGCTCCTGCTAGTGCACCTACTTAGTTGAATCCATCTGTTGGTGTTTGTTACAAAAGAGTACGGTAACTTGATGCAGTTCGATGCATGTATAGGAAAGGTGAGGAAACTGTGGTCCTTCAAATGCTGTTGGACTCCCAGCTCCCATCATCCCTGACCGCTGGCTATGCTGGCTGGGACGGGTGAGCATTGGGAGCCCAACATAGGATTGTTCTTGAAGTACCAAATGATGGAGGGAATGAATCACACTGGAGGCAATCCTACTGTTACTGTTTGGGCACCCACTTGGCTCAAATGATTTGCAGGTGGTCGTTGTAGCCATGGCTATTCAGAAACCAATATATCCTTTGAAAGCTGCCAGGCATTCTTCCCTGAAATTTTTCTCCACTTGGAATGAAAGCAGCGAGGGAAACATGCAACATGATTTTTCAGCTTTCCCCCCAGTGACCTCTCTCCTTGACAAATTATTGCCTACAAAATGGGCG